TATAGCTACTAAAGTATTAAGAAAACCCTAAAATATATCTAGATATATTATAATTAAGAAAGAATTAGAAAAACAGTAAAGAAGGTCATTAAATAATATAACTTATATATAAAAACTAAAGCATAACAATATAAACCTTACGGCCTACTGCAACTACTAGAAGTAGTAAAAAGACTATAAAGTTTAATTATAATAAACTGCATAACTAAGCTACCTTTATTAGAAGAACCCTTAACTAGAATCTTTTATAATAGTATCTTAGTTATAATAGATCGACTTACCAAATTCTCCTGCTATATACCCTATAGGGAAGACATAAACGCAGAGCAACTTTCTTATATCTTCTATAATAGGATAGTTAGAAAACATAGACTACCTTATGAAATCTTAATAGATAGAGGAATAATATTTATAAGTAAATTTTAGCAGGCATTAATATTATATATAGGACTAAACTACTAACTCTTAACAGCATTTAGACTACAAATAGATAAATAAACTAAATAAATAAACCAAGTACTAGAATTATATTTATAATACTATATTAATTATAAATAAAATAATTAGGTAGAAAAGTTACTAAGCGCCTAACTTACTTATAATATAGTATATAATAAAAGCATAAAAACAACACCTTTAGCAGCAAACTTTAGATTTACCCTAGACCTATACTATACAGCGCGAGAACTAAAAACAGTTAACCTAGCTGCCATAATTAAGAGCAAAGACCTAAAAGCTCTATATAAGGAATTAAAAAAAAAATTAGAATTTATTAGAAAATAAATAAAGAAATACTATAATATAAAAAGGATTAAAAAACTAACCTTCTTAAAGGGAGATATAGTCTACTTAGCTACAAAAAACATTATAATAAAACAACTAAGCTATAAATTAGACTATAAGTATATTAGGCTATATAAAGTTAAAAGAAAAATCTTAGAAAATAATTATAAACTAGACCTACCCCTAAAAGTTAGGCTTTATCTAATCTTTTATATTACACTACTTAAATTAGCAGCCGATATAATATATATTAAGACTGGTAATAAACTAAAAGAAATTAAAGAACTAGAAGTCTATAAAGCAAAAGCAATTAGGGATATAAGGAGAATTAATAAATAAACAGAATATCTTATTAAATAGAAAGACTACCTAGAAAATAAAAACATATAAGAACTATCTAAATACCTTACTAATACTTAATAACTCCTAAAGAATTTCTACTAAAACTAAAAAGATTAAGGAAGGCACTAAGACCTAATAAATCCTACTTAAATTACTTAATAGCAGCAAACTAATCACAGAAGGATTTATTAATTATAATACCTTTTAAAGCTACCTGCTTATCCTGTTCTGCCTTCTTAAGTTTATTTATAGAGTTAAAACCATACTAGATTATATCTAGGCCCTTTACCTCTACTTAATAATGCTAGCGCCTTAAATAAGTAATTTTGGCAAACTAAGCATTTATTGCATTATAAATATAAGTAGATTCTACTTAAAGAGTAATTAATTTATCTTTAGTAGCCTCCTCTTCCTATTCTAAATAATACTTTTTATTAATAATCTTCTTAGCTAATATTATATTAGCAAAACCTATAAAACAGTTTTATAAAGGAATAAACATACCTACTGCTATAGAAAGGCTATAACTATTATAGGATATTCCTAACTTAATATATAGATTATAGTAATTCGATTTTGCAGGGTTAAGGATATATAAATCCTCTATCTTTTAATAAATACAGTTAAAATAAGATATAATAGGATTCCTAAATGCCGCAATAAGAATATAAAGAGATTTGTAATTTTTAATAAAGGTTTTCTTAGCCTTTATTATATAATTAGATATCTTAAAGGGATTATAGGATTAAGATTAAACTTACTAGGGGATAACTAACAGAAAATATGTTAACCAGGCCTTGAGGATAAGGCCTAATAGAGGGGAGAGATTGTATTATAACCCTAGCAGTTCTATTATATATACCCTATATTTTCCACTAATTATTACACCTATACTAAAAGAGATTAGCGCCAAGGCTTTAAGATTATAAATAATCTATTATAATTAGTACTAATCTAATACAATTACTACTAATCCCGCAATAACCTTACTAATTACTATTATTATTTACTAATATATAGACTATATTTATTAGCACTTTTATAGAACTTAGCCTACTAGCTATTAATAAGACTTCTTTACCTAAATATGCCTAACCTGCTCTATTTACTATTAAGAGATGTAATACTTTACAACTGCTTAGTATAACGCCTTATGACTCTGTAAATATTAAACCTAGTATAGACTAGTTTACCTATTTAAAACCCATTCCATTATAAAAAAGTACTTTATATAGCTTTTAAAATAATTAATAAAAAAAAATAAGCTAAAAGGAAAATTAAAATCCTTAAGTAAATTAAATTAGCCTTATCTTTAAGAATAAAATTCTTATAACTTATAAGTAAATTACTATAAGATTAAGATATATTAATATCTTAATTCTTTAATACCTTTAAGGAATTAATTTAAGTAAAGTTATAATAAAAAGATTAATTATAAACTCTAGTTAAATATATTAATATAATTATAAAAATTAATAATTAACACTTTACTTTAAAAAACCAAGGCTTTTAATATAATAAATACTAAAATAATAAACCATATTATAATACTAATTAAAAATAGAAATATAATAATAATATTCCTTATTTATATTAATAATATATTAATATTATAATTAATTTACTTATTTAATTATATAATTTATTTTATAACTTATTAAACCCTTTATTTATTACTAATATTAAATTTATAGCTTTAGGTCTTTAACTTTAAGTAATTAAACTTATATAAAACTTAATATATTTCTTTTAGTTTCTTAATCTAACCCTGCAATTACCCTGCTTCTATCCTTATAAGTCCTTAATCTTCTTTAATACCTCCTTAGCCTGCTATTAGATATCCTTAAGCTACTTATTATATAAGCTACTTAAATTAAAGGCCTTAAAGAACTTCCTTTTTTTCTTATTTATTTATACCTTTTTATATAATTTCCTTTTTAAACCTTTAAGTTTTTATTTTTTAAATTTAAATAAATCTTTATTAAGTAAAAGGTTTTTATAAATAGGCTATATAAATAAAAAGATTTTATAATTAAATAGTATTATTTTAATATAATTAATATTATTTTTATTAAATTAGGCCTTTTTAATATTTATAATTATTATATAAAATATATTATTTTTATTTTATTTTATTTAAAAGCTTTTTTAATCTTAAGGATTATAGTATAGCCTTTAATTAAGTAAGGCTTATTAGGCCTAAGTACTTATAGGCTTTTTTAAAGTATTATAATAAGGCAGCTATAATATTATTAATAATTATAGCTAGAAGGTATAGAAAGTTAGGTTAGATAACTTACTATATAATAAATAATTAAAGTATAATATATTATAAGGGTTAATAAAAAACCTTTAAAGTAAATTAAAGAAAGAAAGTTAGGGCTAGCTAATAGGTAGGTAAGGCTTTTTAGCTAGTATATATATAGCTAGGTTTAGGCTATAATTAAGGTAGCTAATTATAATAATTTAACTTAATAAAGCTTTATTAGCTATAAAGGTAATAAATATTTAAATTATATTAGATTTTATAAATACTTAAATATATCTTTTAAAACTAATTTATAAACTTAAAAAATAATAATAATATTATAATATATAATAACAAACCTTATATATAATAATTACTTATTATATATTTAGTTTTATATTATTTTAAAAGGCTTAAGGGGTAAAAAAGATTTTAGCTTTATTAAATTAATGTAATATATTTAGTAATTAAGAAGTATTTAATTAAATAATAATAATATAAAATAAGGGATTTTAAGTTATATACTTATTTAAGTTATATACTTATTAATTATATTATATTTTATATAAGCTTAAACTATTTTTAAATAATAATTAAATCTTTATATTTAGCTTTTTAATAATTATATTTATAAAATAAAAATATCTTTAGCTTTAATTATTATTTTATAAAGTTAGAAGCTTAATATTTACTAATTAGTAATATATTATAATTTATAAGTAAAGAATTATCTATTTATTTTAAAAATATAATTAGAAAGAAAAGTCTTTTAAATTTAAATTAAAAATAAAATAAATCTTTTTTATTTTTAATTTAAATAATCTTTATAAGTTTAAGATAGAATTATATTTTAATTAGATACTATTTTTCTTAGTAATATAATCTAAGCTTAGAAATAATATATATCTTTATAATATATTAAATACTTAATTTTTAGTTATTATAAAGGGCTAAAGGGCTAAAGGGCTAAAGGGCTAAAAAGGGTTCAGCTTTATTTAAAGGTTATAATATTATTAGCTATTAATAAGTATCTAATTAAATAAAAAGTTATATATAAGAGGGGAAAATGCATCGCTTGCTTATCAAACACATTAGGCCTGTTTTAATTATTACCTATAGTTGCTCTTTTGTTTCTATCAGTATGGTAAAGAGGTGCGTTTTAACATTTGCTCTCAAGTGACCACGGCGTAGGATCTAATTTTATGCAGCACTCAGAATGGCGTCAATTGCAGGCCTCTCCTGTTGTAACGTTGCGCTAGAATGTATTGACTCAGGGCAAAAGTGAATCCACCAAGACGACGAATCCCGTGGCGAAGGCGAAAGGGATGCGTTTGATCACATTGTGTTGTATCTTTCTCTCACGCAAGCGAGATTCGTCCCGCTCAATGAAGAGTTGTTGTCTGTTAAGTGTCGTAATGCAACTTGAGGAACGTAAAACCCGCGACACGGCGGAAGAGGCTTGACACGACCTTCAGCCAGGGGTGGCTTCATTGCCATGACGTTGTTGCAAATAGCTTCGAAAACCAAAAGAATCATATATGACGCGCAGTATCACAAGACAAACACATAGGAAAGAGCACAATAATGGATAGAATAATGAACATTCTGCAACGATGAAAAGCAAAAGGAACTATGTAGGATTCGTCGCACTGTTGTCTGCTGATTTGCCCGGAACACAGCTTGAGACTCCGCGCCTTTCTAATTCCTCGTTATGTGCCCGAGTTTTGGCTTTATCCTCCTCTGTAAATTTCCTGGGAATATTCTCCGCATCGGGGCAGAACATATCCCGTAGGGATATGTTACGGCCGTCGGCGCTGAGCAACCTCTCGGGCATCGGCAGACCATCGTAATATTCTCTGATCTGGGTTGGGTTGAGGCCAACTGCGTCAAGAACATTCCGTTCGTCGTCAAAAGTACGAAGCACACCATCGTAGCCCAGTGCACTTATGCCATGTCCGTCTGGATCCTTCTTCATCGATCTTTGTATGTCGCGCAGAGACATGTTATCGTCCACAGGTTGTCGGTCTGCGACGGCTTGGGGCATGATCGGGTCCTGGAGTTAGTTAATTGAATGGTTAGTATACTAACAAATCAGAGAGTTCGAGGAGCAGTTACTGGCAGTTTGTCCGCCATATTGCCAGCGAGTGTTGATGCAAGTAATAACGGCGCGGCTTGAAGATTTCGAGCAAGAATCAGCTGCAGGGGTGCAGGTGAAGAATGTAGTAATGGTAGAAGTAGTCGGACGGGCCGTGCAGTGCGTAGATAAGGGGCACCTATGTACGGACCAACTGAACTACCGTATCTGGAAGTCACCGCAAAGTCGTAGGCGGAATGCGGTGCAGGGTCATCACGGGCCCCAACGGCCCGTCCCAGCCGCACGCGCGTGCCGCTCCCCGGCTGCCCGTTTGCACCTGATGTGTGTTAGGTAAGCGGTGTACGGGGTCTCTTAGTGGCAGATCTCAGGCATACGAGATATCTGAGAACCGCATCCAATCTCGTCTTCATTCTGGAATCGTCCCCGCTTGCATGTTGCCGATTTTCATTCTGCGCCAACCTCACTGCGCTCGAGCTGCAACAATCTTTTAGGAAGGCGATTCATGACCCAAAAGTTCCACTGTTGGTCCGTTGGCCTGCATATCAAAAGTCCCTCAAACATATACGTCGAACGACCAACAACAACGCTAGAGACGATTCGGAATCGTCCTAACAAAGTGACTGTTGGAAGACAACTATGAATCACAGGGATTATTGCTATGTTCCGTACGAGACGCAGCCACTCTGACCAACATGCAGTTTCTTTAACAGGGATTCAGCAGCTGACAACCCCAATTGAGGCCGGACTATCGCCGTGTATCGTGGAAGAATGCCGACGATAAGGTCCCAGATGGCAAGGCCCGAACGGGATCACGAATTGATCAATATAAGTAGAGCAGCCTTCTCCCTCAATGCCTACACTTTCTTCATTATCCTGCCAAAGATAACAATATCGTATCGCCCAACATGCAAGCCAACCTCTTCAAAATCCTCGCTATCACTGCCGCGTTTTCGACGGTGCAGTCCGCCCCAGTAGAGACTGCTGAGGGCCAGGTCACCCAGGAACAGGTCAACGGAACTCAGACCAATGAGACTCACGCCAATGAGGCTGATGTCGATGATGTAGTACGTGCTCTGCCTCAGCGTTTCAAAAAAAAACTCATATAATGCCTTCTATCGCTTCTTTGAAGACCAACACTAAAGATCCGTCTTCTCAGGCCCCGCAGCAAATCTGCGTTAGGGAGGAAGCTCCTCATATCAGCACAAGAGAGAGGGAGGGAGATGTTTTCGCGCGGTCTTGCAGGTCATATTCCTGCCACACAGACACTCAGTGTATCAAATGGGGATGTCTTGAATGCAATCTTTACTTCACACCGTGTGGCGATTCATACACGCGATGCTATTAGCGTATGGTCGAAGGATTTATCACTATGGAGGAGGAGAAGCGTGGACATGGGTATAGCTTAATCTGCGGTACAACCTCGAATCTATTCAACAATTTTGCTAGAGCTGGAAATCGTTGTTCGTGCATTATTCGGATGTCACCTTGACTTTTGTGTGTTACATTGATGAAAATGGCTACCTAGATTCCCCGGCCGGGTAACATAAGCTCAACTCATATTGTGCATTACTGTCTTGGGACTTGCTCGCTCCAGAGAGGACCTCGTTAACACATTGTCGCGCTGACCTAATCGGATTCTTCTCCAACCCCTGCTCAGCCTGGGTACCTGACTTATATGTGTTAAGCTTCCCGCCCCTACATGCTAAACCTTGTGCTGCATCTGACCCCTGCTCCGGTGAATGTAGCCCATAACCAAGCAAGGCGCAATATGGAGTGGCCCGAGCGGGAGTCACTCTTTACGACTCTTTACGAGGAGACCTAATGATCCCCTATCTCCGGACGGCCTCGGACGACACCCCATCTTCCGCGCAACTAAAGACCCCCTACCAAGAGCAGCAGCTGTGAATATCAGAAGGAAGGGGTTGTAGCATCAACAGAAATACCTATAGAGGCTGCATCCTCGGACACACTCACCCCTTGTCCTTGCGATAAGACTGAACTTTTGGAGTCTGTGTCAGCTTCTGCATGTTTAAATGGGATCAGGTCAATGGCACGCGCCGTAACGACCAACAAACACACGTCAGTCATCGAGATCCATTATCCTTGCTCTAGGACGTGCATGAGTGACTGTGCCGGAACGGTCCCTATGGACGTCGGCTGGTAATCGATGCTGTTTGGATGGTCGAAACTCCCAACTTGTCTTATTGTGACGAGGCAGTCTTCAGCGCTTACTGTCTTCTTGGACAAATTGGCACCATGATGTCCCTGTACAGCACGTTGCCCTGCTCCTTGGCGTCTTCTCCTGCTTAGCAACGGCTCAGAGCCCGCATCCCGCAGGCCATGGTGGTCTTGGAAAGCAATGGGTGTCCATCTTCGGGGCTATAAGGCGGCTATTCTAGTACCATGATACCTGAATTATCGAACTATTGCTTTACTATTTTTGTAGTATGGATAGGCGTATCGTCATGGTACTAATAGTGCATTTAGGGAGACCTGTTGCGGTCGACAAAGGATTGGTCGAGGGTGTTCTTATGTCAACACCTGCAGATCTCATCCTTTTCATGCTCGGCTTTAATGACATGGGTTGGTTTTAAAGTGATGCTGTTGGTACTCTGGACAGTATCAATACCTTTGTCACCAATGCCCGAGCTGCAAATCCCAACGTCAAGATTGCCATGGCTGATATACCTCAGAGAAATTTCATCAGGGGTCAGAATGACCTCGTCAAGAACACAGAGATATATAACAAGCTACTTCCTCACTATATATCCAAATAGTCTAGCAAGCAATCCCCCATCCATTTAGTACCACCTGCGGAGAACTATGTAAGTATATCTTATCTAGAGGCCATACATTAGTGGTAGACATTTGCTAAAACTTCTGCTTACTTTCTTATTAAGACTGCCAACCCAGTAGCTGCCCTGCAGGTATATATTAGCTACTAATTATGGTCAGATACAGCGTTTCATTGTCATTTTGTTAACACGAATAGGTACTGATGGCTTACACCCAAACGCCTTTGGCGAGTTCTAAATTGCCAGCGTTTTCTCTAAGACATTAGTAAATGATTTTAACCTAGGCAAGGATCCAATTCAGGTTCCTGGCCAGGGCGATTCAACTTTGGCCCGAGCCTTACCGCAACCATCAAATTTCCGCGTCTTTTCTTCTCCACAGGGTGTCACCGCCACCTGGGATCCAAGCAAATAACACCATCTCTAATTATCTGTTCATATATCGCCGAAATTATATCGTGTAATCTGTATCTTCATCCATGCTGACTAAACAATTGGTAGTTTATGGTGCTTACAGTTACGATGTTACAGTCTCCATTAATGGGGGCGCTAACACATACTCCCCAACCACGTTATCTAACAGATGGGACTCACAGTGGCCTCTTGAAGGCTGGACATACACCGTTTATGTGCGAGCTCGTTACGGGGACTATTCCGTGGGCCGCTATACGTCACAGCTATCGGCCAAGGCCACTCCGAAACTGTCTGATCCCCCGCAGAATGTAAAAGTTGAGCCTGCTGCTGATGGCTTTACTGTCACATGGGACCCCCCTACAGGTGCAAATACTGGTATGTCTGCTTCGGTGGATTGGCCTCCTAATTGCCATTATTTATAGCTAATTATCTGTACTCTGTTTCTAACAAGTAGGCTCTATTGTCGAGTACAACATCTTGTACTGGGATTGGAAATCCGCCGACTGCGAGATCATTACTGGCGCGGCGTTCACTAGTTCGCCCGCAGTTATAAAGGGGCTCACTCCCGGTCGGAACTATTTGATTGCGCCAGTTACATGGAATGAGAATGGGCAAGGTCTGCCCTTCTTCGGAAATAACGCTGTGCCAGGCGCCGGAACGCCGCAGGTTCCAACAGATCTTAAAATCATGTCTATAGACCCCACCAGTGTTCAGTAAGTCTCTCCCTAGCTTTGAAGGTCTCGCTACTATGGGAAGTATTGACATTTTCATAGCATCACTTGGACCGGGTCTGACTCTGTTGGGGGCTATCATGTCTGGAACCGGAATGTCAACGAAAAAGGCAGCAAATTTGAAATCGTTGCTAACATTACCGGGTCGACCTGTCTCGACGACTTCCTACTCTTTCCGGGCACATGGAACTATGAATGGTGTGTTTCTTCTTACAACGGAAACGAGGAATCCCCACAAGGGCCAGCCAAGCTCGCACCATCTGTTGCTTCAGACAACAAAGATGGTTCTGGTCCAACATGTCCTACGGTGCTAGCTTGGTGTCCTAGTGGAGGAGGCGTCTCAGTTCCGCCCGGCCAGAGCGGCGCACTTCCACCTACAACAGGTGTTGAGACCATCACTACAAACGGCATGACGCTCACTCTCACCTCCCTGCCGACTTCCGCGGATGACCATGTGACTTCAACAATGACTGCAATTCCTACTGGAGTTTCTCTCGAAGATTTCACTGATTTCCCAGTCACCACCAACATCTGGATCACAACAACTGGGCATGACTCATCCACAACAGTCTTTCCTGTGATATTGCCTTGTCAGACCTGTGAGCCAGTCATAGTCTGGGACACCCCCAAGATTCCACGGGTGAAGTTCAGGTGGCCCAAGTTTCTGGAACTGCCCACCTTTCACTTGCCATGCATTAAGATATTTGGTGTCAAGGTTGCGGGCCAGTGTCCCAAACCTGAAGGGCCGGCACCTGTAAACGATGATCCTCCTCCACACCCAAGACCCTCTGGTAGCCCTCCTGATACCAAAGCTGACCCTTGTGAGTTTGACACCGAGTCTGGCATGTGTGATAACGGTAACTACCCCATTTATGATGCCAGCTCAAATACTATCAGTTGCGATGTTCCGAGCGATCAACTTGGCTCTAAGGTCAGTTACTGCCAACAGAAAATCGACAGCAAGATAGATACAATTAAGGATTACTTGAAGGGCGAGAGGTCGTGTTGTCCGACATCCTCCAAAGCCAAGCGTCAAGACTCTGGAGGGGTTCTCTCCTCGCTGATTACCCACGGCCTAGACTCTTTAGGCTTGAGGCTGGACAGACGTGGAAGCGACTTCTGTCCCGCTAAGAAGGAGGATCCTAGGAACCCGGGGAAGGATAAGTGCCATGCAACTTACACATGTCCACATGACTGACCTCTTTCCCAACATCTGCGGCAATGCAAAATCAGCTATCGAAGTTCGAAGGGGCGACATCTATTTTGACTCATATAAAGGGCTCAAATATCCATGTCACAAAACGCTGGTGAGTAGCTTAGCCAAAAAATCCAATTGTTCTCACAGGTCGTTTGTGTTGACGAAGCTTTTTCATCATAACAGGTACAAAGGGCATTACTTTGCCAAGAGCACAGACAACCCAAAAGGAGGCTGGAAACTTGAAGGATGCGAAGTGGAAGAATATCCTTTTGGTTCTGGTAATCCCGACCGCTCAAAAGACGCAGATGCCATACTTCGGCTCATTCCTGGAGGCCCGTGGTCTGAAAGGTTGGAGAATCAGATCGCTGGCAGCCACCTGAAACTTTGGGTCGAGTCAGTGGCGAAAAGGTATAACGATTTCCAGGAGAAAGACACAGGGACAAACCCAAAGATCGATACAACAGGCATTGTCTATTGTATTGATTTTGATTCCCGCTTTACCAAGTACCTGCCGGAGGACTTGGTGGATGAGAATTTCTGTGCCGCTAGGTACGTTCCGGAGTTCACCTTGGTTAACAACTTTGTGGTTAATAAAGTCCGCACATGGGATCCTTGGTTCAATGTACCTGACACCGGTCGCAAGAAGCCCGAGCTCATGCACTACCTCGACTCCAAAGACAAGATGGTGAAAAGTCCTACAGACGATAATTATGCAGTCTACGCACTTGTCCCTCTGACGTATTGCCGTTATCCGTCACCGGGAAAGCATGACTGGGACAAGGATACAAATTCATGGAGTTTGGACCCTGATTATCGAGCCCTAGGGAGGAAGGACAACACCGTGGCAAATGAAAGGTGTACTGACCCACCAGGGAACGTTGGTAATGTCGATAGAATGCATGCAAAACATCACAACAATCGACTCTGGAAGAAATTGACGATGTCTTCTATCAGGTTGCGGCCTTTTCATCGTTCTCACCCACTAGCCTACGGGAAAGAGTTACAACAAAGCATGGCAGATTAAGCCGTGCAGATAACTTGCTTCGGAAAGTATTCACGGTCCTGCAGAGCTTGGGGCCCAAATGGGTTATTCGCATGATATCAAAAGATTACAGCCTGGCCCACGTTCCAGAGGCGCTTGGAATGAGCAGATTCCGTTTTCTCCCGCCTGACCTCCTTCGATTTCAAAATTCAATCCTAGCTGCCGTAGGGCTCCTAGGCAGCCCGACTATCCTGCATATGCCCATCCATCCAGCCAGCCGTGGATACTTGCGAGGAGCTAAAGTAAGTCGCCAGTAGGGAGCTAGAGCTACAGGTTGGGATAATAACCGCGCGTGCAACCTACGAAAAAGCAAGGAGCATCAGGCATTACTGCCAATTGGCTGGGCCGAGAAGGATAAGCATGGAGAAGAAGTACGATAGAGAATATTATCAAATCCATATCAACTTAAACAAGTCCGGAGCAGATTTGACCAGCGACCGCATGGGAATTCATCGGGCACTGCGGGGACGGCCTTAAGCTTGATACAGCAGTCTGCAAGATCAAGAAGCGGTGCATCCCGGAGGGCGAGCTGCTCGTATGGAACGACGACAACAGGAGAATTGAGCCTTTCTACAAATCCGCAGACATGTGAAACGATCGGGACTGTTTCTTGGGGCTGCTCGAGATTCGCCTGTCGTGTGAGCGAGCATCTCATGATCATGTTCTACGATATTCTATTATTGGACGATATTATCTGCGGCTTAGAGACTTAGAGACTCATGGTGAACGGCGACGACTGCTTCAATCTCTGGTCCGCCGCATTCCTGGCCGGACCGACATTGGGTCCCGCGAAGTAATTGAATTCTCGTCTTTCGGCGCAGCGGAGCGGCTCCGTGAGACGTTCGCTCGAGCTATCACACAACGGTGGGAAGGATTTGTGCTCAAAGCTTGTGACGGCCCTTACTTCTCATTCAACGGAAGCAGGCCATTCATTAAGCTCAATAATGGTTATATTCCAGGCCTTAGTGACGCCGCAGACTACGCCATTATTGGGGGCCGTCGCGACGCGGAAGAGGAGCATGAGCTCGGCATGGGTAGCCTATGGTAGATGTCATTCTATATTGGGTGCGTCGAAAAGACGGACGATGTCTGCCGCTTTAATGCCAACCCGTAGTTTCGCATAATCGATACGGTCGACAGACATGGCATCTCGGAAGAAATGATCACGTACCTCAATCGTCAGGGATGCTTCACATGAGAACCATTCGCCAATTCTATGCCCGGGTTCAATATCATATTCGAGCCACTCGCCCTTGAAACTGAACCCCTCCATATGCAATCTCACGGGTTCCTCGCCGTTAGCCTGGCCATGTTTTGGGTGACACCGAAGCCTAGTGGATAAGGTTTGGTGGCAGATTCGAGCCTGTCCAAGGCCGTCAGGCCATGATAAGATTTTAGCTTGGACTCACCTGAAGAAGGCTTGTAGATGGAGGAATAAACACGTGTGTTGCATTATAGGTGCTGAGGTGTTACGTTTAGACCAAAGGCCAGCCTTGTGCAGGGATCTTGAATGAAGAGTCAACCTACAGCGTCACATGTGACAAGGACTCGAGCTGAAAGAGCAACTAGGGGTAGGGGACCTTTCCCCGCGTTGAGCTGATCTGGATCTCTTGGCGATGGTCATGTTTCGTTCGTGATCTACGAATCCCGAGCTCTGATCCTTGTCGGTAGTACAGCCTCCGTGTCGGAACGGCTCTTGAGAGATATTTTTGAACAAAACATTCAGCCATGCATCAAGGGGTTATTTGTTACCGTGCGGCGATTGCCACGTCTTACTGCGTTTTGTACCTGATTAGTGGAAATGGTAAACGGGTTGCTCGGCCGATCTTCCGGTAATATCGCACCAGCTCCGTCAGCCCTCCTGCAAGCAGCCTTCCAATTACGAGGCTGATAGTTTGATACCACATTTACAAGAGGCAATCTTACGATCATGCGAGGTTTCAAATTTCCTCACCAGAATCTGATTCAACCAAGGCTCTTCTCTCGCATTGATACGCAAAATGAGTTTCAGTGGAGGCGATGAACCGATGATGACGGAAGTATTTGGATTATCCTGCATCTCAACCTTCAATACCCCTGTAGTTGAGCTGAAGACGGACCGCCGGCAGATCTATTGGCGACGCTATTGGCATGGCTTGCAGTAGTCCTCCACCCCACCACCCTGAAATGAATAAAGTTTAGGTGACCGTTGACCACTAAGGACGGGTGTGAACCTACACGGAGATATTTTTACATTCCCCCACATAACAGCTTTACTAGGGCACGAATCTAGATGCCCTCTTCTCGTCCATAAACCTTTGCCTATTAGTGGCAATACAACCTATGGACTTCCCGGAGGTGCTGGGAGGGGCTGGCTAAACAGTGGAAAGTTTCAACGCCAACTTGTCTTTCTTAGCACATTAGGTTTAAGGCACTAGGTCTACTATCTCGGGTGCGTGCAGGCCCTCAGACCCTTAGCGGCCGCCCCAAATGTAACTGCTCAGGTCTCAAATCAGCGGTCCGAGGGTCGCTGCCGATGGTCCGATACAAGGGTGTGAAGGCCCAGCTCACCACTAATGCCGCCGGAAAATAAACAGTCAATGAGGGCCGCTAGGCCCCGTTTCTGCGGTCGACTTTGGACCTATCGGATATTCGCCGCCACGCCTGGGGACCGTCAGTTTGAGAGATGTGGGACTGGGGTCCCCAGGCCTGCCTACTTCGGCCTTAAGTCGTGAGGCTGTTCCAACTTGAGCTTGCCATCTATGACCACTCCAATTCTTCCATATAACAACTCTGTTATGAAATCCGTCTCTGCGACTAGTGGGAAGCCTGTTTAGACCTTGGACAGGTTACCCCTTGGAGTATGATGTGGGCTGCTATGAAGGTGTTGAGCTGGCGTCCCGTTCCTGGACATAGACCACTCGTGGATACAGCCTAGGCAAAAATTTAACGGGGAGCAGCCATGAAGTTCGATAATCTATGTGCTGGAGGTAGCCAAACATCGGTCTGGGGACTCTGTCCGGAGAATTTGACCCTGCCTAGTGCTTGGTTTCCCCCAATACCATGGAGCCGCCCAGTGGCAGGAAATTTCCAATCAATTCTTGGTAGATCTCAGAACCCAAGATCCGATTGTGGACTCGGCAGTTGAGAACACCAGAAGAAACGGTGTGGATGGAGCTTCCCGAGAGACAGCAACGGCGCACCAGCCCAACGAATCCCGACCCGGTCTGCCGGGGCTACTGTCACAGTCACAAGGAGGCAGCTGAGTTGTGACTCGCCGGGCTTCCGACCGCTCATTCAAGTCGCCAGCAACACCGCAATTCGAGGTGAGGCTCACATTTCAGCTTTAGAGGTTTGGATGACGGGTTCCGCTAGCTTGCTTCAAGCCGAGATCCGTCGGCCTCCGTCATCGCCTACAGATCCGATGGCCTGGTCGTGCATGATCGTGGCAGTGTGCTTTACAAACAAGGTAGAAGAGGGTGGTATTCATTTACTGCATAAACTACAACAATTCGAAAGGAACGACTCCACCCTCCGGGGTCTTCAATAAGATAAAAGAATGTAAGAAACGAAAGTAGCGGGCAGCCTAGCCCTATGTCATTTGCACCGACAGCCCCGTTTTGATACTGAGACATCGACTTCCGGACAACACGAACAAAGCTTCTACTTCCCGCCCTTCTTGCCCTTGTTGATGTTGATGTTGATGGTGACGGGCATGTTGAAATCGATCTCACCAATGCACATTTGATACTAGGTAACTTGTAAGTCTTGAATTAGGGATGAGAGGCTGCCACTTACCCCCATGTTATTGTTGCAGCAAATGATCTTTGAATCGGTGTTACAAGAGTTTGAGATAGCACACTTGGTACCTGTAGGATATTTAAGACTCCTCGAGTAGTAAAAAGGGGATTCGGATTACCTACCACCGTTTCCATCAGGGCTACAGCAGTATGAGCTTCCCGAAGAGCAGAGCGCTGTCTGTTCGTTCGACGGGCAATTGTTGCTACCACCGGCCGAGCCCTCTTCAGGCGGGATCTCCCGTTAGACTGAACACCCAAATTTCTTTATTCCCGACTTACTTTTTTTGAGGGATGGGAGGGTTGGGAAGGGCAAGTCCCCAAGAGCCGGAGCCCTAGGCTCGATATTTCGAGTTTCAAGGCCCTCAGGCTCGGTGGCCCGAGGTTCAACATCAGCAGCATCTGCGTTACCAACCGGGGACGCCATGGCGCCCTGCAGGAAAACGAGCCCGTAGAGGATAGTGGAAGCGTGCATGATTGATATTTAGCACTAGCGCAAGGGAGTGAACAGAGGCAGCGGAGGGATGAATGGAGGGTAGAAGAACGAGACAAAGTGCTTCTGTAACGAGCGGATGGCGAGATCTAGAGTGATGGAGATGTTGAAAGGCGGACAGGATAAACGAGATGGAGGCCGGTATTTGTGCAGAACTCTTTCCTTAGCCTCGTATTCGGTACTCGGTGGTAGACTAACAAACAACGGTCCAAAGGGTAAATCAACCCCTTGAAACGTTGAGCATTCCCTACCGTCACGTATGACTATATATGACATAATTTTGATTAGTTATGTGGCTAGCTAGGACCACTCCCCGTTCCCAACAGAACATAAATAGCTACGCACTTAATATTTCTACTATTTATAACTTTATATCTCTTCTCCAATCAACGTTCCTTATTTTCCGGAAGTTGCCTATCAATAGGTGACCAACCTTATTCTTCATGTTCAGCTAAGATGCACATGCGTGGTGACTTAACGACATGGTAATGACCCTCAGATCTTGGGCAGTCGGAACATCGCCCGTGCTAAGTCTATTTGCTGCCTTCCGCTTAAATTTGACGCTCAGATAACATGGTCGCACCCAGCCATCACGCCACAGGGCAAAAGATTGGACTAGCTCCGGAGACCATAAGGCTGCAACGCAGTACCGGGAGGGGTTGCAGCTAATTGGGAACAAACACGAGCAATAGCAGAGAAAAGGTGGACAGGTACGAATTGCAGCATTATGGGCTCTCAGGAGATAGAATCCTACGGCGAACCAAGCCGTGACACGATGCTCCCGCTCCGGTGGCTTTGCTGCGGAAGAAGGGTAACCAACCCCCTGTACCTACGGTTGCAGCTACCACCCCTCAAACGCATGCCTCACAGTTGCCCTTCAGCGCATGCCAAAGGCAGGCTTGTGAGCAGCTATGCCAAAGGGATTCAAATTATCAACCTCCGCCCGCTTATAGAAATTATGATATAACAGTCGCACCTAAACATTATGCTACAGGGCATAAGACTAAGCTATAATTACTATCATAACAATTATATTGGTGCTTACAGCTGCTTGTAGGAACCTACGGTGAGCCAAGATGTAACAGATAACCGTAAGTTCTTCGGCCTGTCGGTCGGCCTAAATATAGACTGAACGAGCTCGGGATATCTACTGTTGTGTCGAAGTTCAATACCTTGGCAAACGCGTTCAGCAGCGGGGTAAACAGGACTGTCGGGCCTGCTTCTCACCTCCGACGTGGCAACAGCCCAGGCTTCCGGCCTCAAAGTCTGTCGGCCTGGACCCACCTAGACCACACCTAGACCCAGCCTCAAATCAGCCTCAAATCAGCCTCTTGTCATCTTTTCTGGCTATTCGACGAGTGGTGGGAGGTTTATTGAGTTCAGCAACACCAACTCTTCGGCAGCATCATGTGTGTGTTCATGATGGCGTAAGGGCCGCAAAAGAGTTCAATAGCTTCAAGTTCCATCTGAGAGGCCGAATAAAGCGTCTAGTGGCGAGATTGTGGTTATGTTGTTGAGAAAAAAATGACAAAGACTCGTGAGAGCTAATAGGGCAGGAAAGGATATATAAAGGGGGCCTTCTTCCCCCTTTAACCATCTATCCTCATCACTCAGTCAATCTTCACTACTCAGCCAAACAGACTTCAATCTACTATTCTCTTCAATACTCTCTTTTGAGATCTCAACACTTTTCAACTCCCAAAATGCAGTTCTCCATCGTCGCTCTTCTCGTCGCCGCCACCGGTGCTCTTGCTTCTCCTAGCCGTGGTGGAGGCCATGGTGGTGACCGTGGAAATCGGGGCGGCGACCGCAACACGCAGACCGTCACCTGCACTGGTGGTTCTGCTTACTGCTGTTCCCCTGAGTACACTGACGGAGGCCTTTTCACCCACTACCAGTGCAACAAGAACATCAACAGCTGCAACGTCCAGAGTACCATTGTTTGCTGCGCCCAAAATGTCCAAGGAGTATGTGAAGAGCAAGTGATCTTAGAAGAACTACGCTAACTGAATAATGTAGAACAACAATCACCAGTCGCAGAAATGCTCTGCCTTCGGCAACCAGAAGGTTATCTTTGACTAAACTCCTTCTCTGGAACCCGAGATTAATAATGGCAACCCTCTGTAACTAGAGTGGGCGGCGTATTATTAACAGACTTCGGCATTCATGGTATTACCAATGGAATGGAGGGGTTCTCAAATTGACGAGGGGTATGGATGACAGTTGGATTATTTCTTTCTTCGGTTCGAGTAAGGGGATAGCTCTGGCCAGGATAACCTCTTCCCAACCACCCACGCTCCTTTTATGCTTTATAAGGAAATTTGTTTAGTTCTATGAGAAAATGATGAGAAATAAAAATAGTTTCTGGAGCTTTTATTCAATCTACAGTGAATCTGCCTAACGTTCTTAATTACTAGCTCTTGAAATCTAGGGTTCTAGAGCATGCTATATAGCTTACTATAAATAGGATATATAACGCTTAATGTACTAGGCGAGGTAAGACAGCCAGCATAATATTTCTATATATATTGATAGCATTTACTGATTTTATTTATAGCTATTTTACAACTTATAAAGGAGAAAAGTAAATAAAAGGTTTTCTAGGAGAAAGATATATAATACTATTAATTAATAGCTTTATATTTAAACCTTATAAATTATTAATAGGAAAGCTATAAGGATTAAGTCTATCTCTAATTCTCTACCTCTTTTATAACACAGATCTCAGTGAGCGGTTCTGAGTCCGGACTATCTCGCTACGATGCACTAACAGCGCGGACAGCGGTATGATTACCTGTTCCTCCCTTGTCCATGCTACTGACCTAACACCCTGCAGTTCAAACCTGCTCCAACTCAGAGCTTTGCAATGCAGAGGTCATTTGCTGCAACAACAACAACAGCGGCGTAAGTACTATATACCCAACCCTCGTGCGCTGTACTCACAATTACCCAGTTCTAAATGTGCATTCGTGAAATTGACTTCAATGCGCCCGTGACCATCAACATCAACATCTACAAGGGCGGAAAGGGTGGCGAGCGCGGCGGCTACAAGTTCCTCAAGGAGTAAGAGAGTGTCTTGTACATACTACCAGAGTCTTGTATCTACGCTCGTTAGCTGTAACTACTTTCTTTTCTCACACTGCTTTTGAATGATGGATTGGGGATGATAAGCTTGGCCGATGGGACAAAAGAGGGTCGTAACATAGCCTTTAGTCAACCTTAGTACTCCAAAATAGGCGATTTGATCCTGCAAAGACTCTTGTTTTCTCCATACATTTGTTTGATCTGTGAAAAACATGGGGTATTGTGGATCGTGAGCTCCATCTTAGCGTAGGCCCAAGTTGGGCAACGTTTGGTGAGGAATTCTTCCAGCGTCTAGGACGAGAACGGCAATCAAACAGTCGAGAGCCTCTCGTCCCACTAGCTCTGACCATCACGGTAATAAGCATGGCTTGCACTAAATCGAGACTAGCCGTTACATTTTCCGGTGATACCACGTTGAGCCGCCTTGCCACGTAGGAGAAGCCACTTAGTAAAAGTGTCGGGTCATCGGCGTCGCGGTTTGAGGCACGCTGCTCTTTGTGCCTGAAACTGGTACCTGGGCTTGAGATCCTTGATTGTTGTCAGCCTTAATATGGGAGTAAGATCTTAGGGTCGAGGGGCAGAGATAGACGAAACTTGGCAAGTATGGGGATTGTCAAGGCGTCGATGGATCAGTGCACTAGTCTCAGATTGATCTTTGCATCTAGACTCCAACAAATATGCATTAGTGACGTTTACTTCAGAATCACGCAATAATTATTTCCTAAAAGAGCAGGACTTTGTAGATAATAAGCTATTCCCAAATGTCCAGTTCATCTGAGAAAAACGGCCAAGAAGTGGCTTTGCGGGGGATCTAAAAATTCTTGTGTGTAGGTTCAACAACGACGTTGACGGTAGTGGAAAGGAACACCCGCTCTTAGTGCGCCCAACGGTGATCATTTCGGGTATGATCAGGGCCCGTAGAGAGCGCCACAAGAGAAAAACGGCCAATAATTCCTCGCCACAGATTTGGTGGCGGGGTTGATGTGAGAAGGTTTATGCTACTGCAAGCCATGCCAATAGCTCTTCAATAGACCTGATTTGGAGGATATATACAGGGTATTGGAAGTTTAAGATGGAGAAAGGACCAGTGAATTTGATTTCGTCATTGTCTGATCATCAATTGCTGCATCTGTTCTTGGATATCAATGCGAAGTTACGGTGATGAAGAAGATATTTCCGAGGAAGGGAAATTGAAACGTCGCGTAAACTTGGGCGTTTGCATTTGTTATTGTAACACCAGCCTCGCACATTGAAACGGGCTTACAGGGCGAGGGTCGTATTACCGGATGATCGACCCAGTAACCCATTTGTCGTGTCGCTAATCAGGTACGCAGTGAGACGTGGCGATGATCCGATAGTAGCAAATAGCCATTGACGACCCTAAATGCATTGCATTACCATGCATGTCCAACATTCGTTCGTAACGCCTCGTCGGGGCCGTTTCGGCAGAGGACTAAACACCAAGGCTCGGAACTTGAATGTCTTGGGTCAATAGGAAACATCAAGACAATACTAGCAACAGGTTAAACGAAGAGGGGCGAAATAAACTATCACTAGACACTCTCAGCTAGACTTTGAAGCTTCAACTCAGAGTCCAAAACCTCCTGATCATACCCCTGTAACTTGACCACCGACATCCGGTGCTGCATTACCCCCACAACATGGCTTCGTCATCTCGCTTGAGTGAGACCATATTTTTACTAACTATTGGAAATGTATACCACCGCATCTTGCATATGGTGAAAGACTAGACGAAGAAGAGGTTGGTCGACTAACCCCGGAAATGCATCTGTCCAGAGCTGAAATGTACACCGAGAGCCTTCGGGTCCACGGCAGTGAAATAATACCTGTAACTGAAGTCCTAGAGCCTCATTTTGTGAGCTAACCACCGCTTGAATACGGAGGTCTGGATGATGCCGTAACCAGTTTACGTTGATTGAGGCCCAGAAGAGAGAGTTTACCCCCGGCCTGAGCTCGTGAAAGTGAAAGGGCCGGAGCTTCTCGGCCGGGAGTCGGCTCATCCGCCTAACACTTCCCATTCGGAAACATATGGATACCTATTTATGGCCTGCACATGCCAATTGTTTCCCCTCTTCAGCCTTCAGGTGAGGCTGGTCTAAAATCTCACTTTGATCGGATTGTTCAGGCAAGGGTGCTCAAATCAGCTGAATCGAGTCTACTGGGCGCGATGTTACCCAATATGACCAGACCAAAGCGAAGATCTCGTTTATTGTATATCAAGGGTGTGATTCAGTAAACGGGGCCCTTTGATGCATGTGAATGTCACTAATCAGTACGAGCATCGGAGGCAGATCGAAGTACATCAATTGGAAGATTGAGGTGATGAATCGTAGTGAAGGTTTTGAGCTCCATCTTGATATGGAGGATATGTTGTGTAAGTTCAGTAAGAATAATAGCAATGTCTCAGAATACTGGAAGGATGATGGAAGTTTAGATATAACATTATTGCGAACTAGAGGATTAAAAATGTTCTAGGCGCAATAAGTAAGTGTTAGTAATTGTGAAGTAGGGGGTGATTGTTCTTATCTTATCTCCAATCAGCTACCCTAGGTTGATCACTGACGGATCTTATGGCGCAGAGCCGCATTTCCTATATGTCTCTTCAACAGTTGAAAAAAAAAACATAATGTCAAATACGATATGCAGATTTTTCAATGAGTTAGCCTTGTAAGACATTCAGGATTCGGCCGGATTGAGAGACTTGTTATTTCACACTTGCCACCTCTTTCTCTTGTAGAAGTGAGCTATAACCTTAACCATATTCTGTGCAGGATTTATGTGCTTGGAGCAAGTAAAAAGTACAACCTTATTTATTCTTCTCTTTAAGTCAACAATGTGAACGGTATAAGTTAGGGCAGTACCGCGCTAGGATGGTTACTAATATACAATTTCCTCGTTATTTAATTAATCCATCTTGACAACCTCCCAGTTCGTCCAGACGTTACCATTGACGGCCCTAGTATAAGGACAAACCCTCCTAGCCTTCGTGACAACCGATTCCAACATATCCTGCTCCAAACCCCTAACCATAATCTTCACATCCATACGAAGACACATCTCAAGCTCCTGCATATCACCGACAAGATGCACCGTCGCCTCAACGATACTGTCCTCGGGAGAAGTAGGCATGGTGATGCCGTCCCTGGCAGCCACGGCGTTCATGGCGGACTGGAAGCAAGCGCCGTAGCCAGCGGCAAACAGCTCCTCGGGGTTAGTCTTGCCTGCGTCGCCGGGACCGCCGAGGGCTTTGGACATGGTGAGGTCGACGTTGAGGGATTCTGCCTCGACGTGGCCCTTGCGGGCGCCGACGACTTTGGCGTGGGCGGAGTAGAGGACGGGCATGTCGGTCATGCGCCTTTTGGGCTTGGGGGAGGGTTCGGATGAGGTTGTTTCGAAGCGGCGGGTTATGATTGAGGTTCTGAGGAGGGTCGATGGGCTGGTGCGCAGGGCTGCGCGGCGGAGGGATTGCGAGATGCGGAGAGACATGATGGCTGATTTGGACGGCTTCAATTGTTTGTGAACTGAATTGAATTGAGAACTGGTGTCAAAAGACTTGGATTTGTGATGTTGACTTTGGTTCTATGACGTTAAAGTCATGAGCAAATTTAGTCCAGTCAACCACGTCACCATGAGCCTTAGAGTCGCGTCTCTGTAGCAACTCGGTACGTCATTAATCCGAGCCGTAGAATGTAAATCAACAAGTTATTATGGATTTATTTTACGAGAATTATGTAATTAAACTATTATCACGATGCTCTTTAGAAGATAAAAGGAAGCAAGTATAGAGACAAGACATGCAATGTCAGAGAAGGTCAGCGCGTACTACGTATGAGAAGGCTACTATGGTACATCTCAACGTGATTGGGTCAGCTCTGCTCTCGTTTGATTGGTCAATTGATTTAGAATTATGGACCACTTGAGCCAAACGTGCCTCTACCAAGGAAAGCTTCGCGACAAAGAACGACAAGCCATCTTCACTGAGCCCGAAAGCCGAGTTGATTACTAAATGAACTGCAACCAGTTGCAAAGTCAGAATAAAAGACAATCGCTTTTGCTTCTAGAACAATCAGAGACTTATCGGGCTTAATGTGGCTGTTGGTGGCCGTCGCGTCGCCAAGGCGTCAATTGCAAACTCAGCCACAAAAAAGAACAATGTCTAGTGCCGTGACCTCAAGAGGAACAATATCTAGCGTCGCGAGTGGAAGCAAACAGTTGCCGACTTCACATGGAAACGGAAGAATGCATGGCATATAATAGACGTGGAACCTCTTGCCGTGATGGTCGCCGTAAAGTCCACCAACGAGTCCAGACCAATAATTCTAAGAGTGTCTTTACGCGATGGCAAGCAATTCAACGATGGATGTCAAGTTTCCTTTTCAGCAATCAACCGGCACAATCTGTAACAATGCTCAGTGGCCGATGCTAGTTGCCGCTGGACTCGTGGCCTTTACCTCCATCCTCTTGGTCGCTTTGAGATTCTGGAGCTCGACCGGAACACCCAAGGTCAAGATACTCCTTCAAGATGAGATCAAGAGTGCGAGACAGAGGGCGCTTGAGTATTGCTTCAACCCTCGGGCGGTCATGGCAAAGGGCTACGCAAAGGTATGGCAACGACTGTTGCAGATAAGGCTAAATGCTGACGGCTTAGTTCAAAAATGAGGTCTTTGGACTTGATACACAGGATGGTGAGGCGCACGACTGATACGTGGCCGGCTGGACTGACATTTGAACAGGGGTCAAGCTTGTCATCCCACCTAGCTTTCTTGATGAACTGAAGAGTCATCCCGCCCTCAGCTTCAAAGTCTCCATTGATAATGTCAGTGTAACAGGCTCAACCAGGATCGGATCCATGAACTGACTGACCTAGGATATGCAAATCGAGTATACACATTTTGGTGGTCCCACGGAATATGTGATTCATGCTATCAAGGCCAATCTGACTGGGTCGCTTTGTGAGTAACTTCCCTGCTAGAAGCCTCTGGATAAACATGGACTCATGACACCAGCCGCCTTCACGCCGCTACTTCATCGCATGGTACAGAAGAACATGCCAAATATCCTCGGAAAATACAAAGGTTTATCTCCATAATACATTCACTTCTGGCCTTACTAACCAGCGACCAGACTGGACTCCCGTCAAAGTCCACGACAGAGTACTTCGCCTCATCGCCACCAACAACGCCCGCGTCTTCCAAGGCACAGCCGCCAGTCTCGACGAAGAATGGCTCGAAGCATCTACCGGCTACGTCCTAGCATGCTTCGACTGCATTCGCGCTCTTAAGCAGTGGCATCCTTGGCTCCGACCCCTCATATACAGATTCATCCCTGAACGCGCAGCAATCAAAGATCAATGGACAAAAGGTCGCAAACGAGTCATGGCTTCTATGCGTGAGAGACAGGAGAAAGGGGGTAATGTGGAGGATCCGCCTACTATGCTGGATCATTTGAGTAATGGGAGGAATGAACCTATTGCGAATGATATTGAGCTGCAGTTGCTGCATCAGATGACGTTGATTGCTGTTGGGACTGTTACTACGTTTTCGTCGACTACGCAGGCTATTTATGACCTTGTGGCTCATCCGGAGTATATTCCTATTCTTCGAGAGGAAGTTGAATCTGTGCCTCGAGATCAAAATGGTAATTTCACTAAAGACTCGACGGTGGCTATGGATAAGCTTGACAGCTTTCTCAAAGAAAGCCAACGTTTCAACTCACCTGATCTCAGTAAGCTCGCTCCAGCTATTACAACTTGCTCATGAAGAGCTAACGGGCCATAGCAACTTTCCAACGCGCAGCTATCGCAGACATGAAACTCCCAGACGGGACATTCGTTCCCAAAGGCACCAAACTGGAAATCAACACTTGCTCCATCCATAAGGACCACGAGTTGTATGAGAATCCAGAGGAGTTCGATGGCCTTCGCTTTCATAAATGGCGCAAAGCTCCTGGTAAGGAAAAGAAGTACATGTACTCCAGCAGTGGGACAGATGATCTGTCTTGGGGTTTTGGACGACATGCATGCCCAGGGCGGTATCTGAGCGCTATCAACATCAAGCTCATCATGGCGGAGTTGTTGATGAACTATGATATCAAGTTGCCTGATGGCGTGAGCAGGCCTGCGAATATCGAGTTTGAAGTGCTGGTAAGTTTGAAAACTTGAGTCGATGAGCCCTTTTCTGACGTGTGAAAGTGCTCTCCGGAACCAGACTTTGAGATCCTTCTTAAGGACAAGAAGCATTAGATGACACGGCTTGGCCCGGAGCATGTCTAGATAGATGGAGGTCTGGTAGAAGCAAACGGGAGCCCGACAAATTCGATATATTAGCTTTGCAATGGCCTTAGTCAGCCGAAATCCAACCATCATTCATTATTGTGGCTCAGATAACAATGTTAAGTTCACGCACTAGGGCTGTCACACGTTGAGCTGCAGTGACGACGCCAAGCCGTAGCAGACACCGCCGCGCGGGTGATCGCCCAGCCATGTCGGAGAACTCCACATTCCAGCCCGGAGCTATTCTTTGGATCTCCCATGCGATGGGGCTCGGACAAACACCTTAAAACCCTTGAAAAAGGGTAGCTTGGGTACTGGGAAACGCAAAGCAGGACAAGACTAGGTTATGCGACGATGCTTTTCATACTATTAAAAGCCGTAATCGATATCATCCAGTAGTATCTAAACCTTGATCCGCCCCAGGCGACTAATCTCTTTGTTTCTCGGCCTTTCTATCATGTTGTTTGTTGACATACTCAACATCAAGATCCTTCCCAACGGCAAGTAAATCCCTCCTGAGGATGGCTCGAATATGGAAAGCCGTGCAGATGAACCACAGAACAACCAAGAGGACAGTCAAAGCTGATCCAAAGATTTTGATTCCCCTCGATGATAGAGTGTTTCCGACATTGATAGTCGCAAGAGCGAGACCGACATTGGGGAAGACGAGTGCCCACCAGGACAAACTAAACTCCATCCTTTGAACGGCTCGAAGAACAGATATCGCGGATAGGGCTGAGAACCAGATTGCCATGAGCCAGATGAACAGTCCTGCTGCGACTGACATGCCAGACCAGAGTTCACCGGCCGGAATACTAGGGGTGCTGAGAAAGTCGTCTGGGAGAGCGGACTTGGCTTCTGTACCAAGTGCAATCAGACCAGCGCATGTAAAAGCTGAACTCATTAGCATTGGAACAGAGGATTCATCGATCAGGATATCTTACCTGTTGGTCCAACGGCAATAAACATGCCAGGCCTTTTCGAAGCATCAGGCAACTTATGCTGAATCAACCTCGACAAATAAACAGCATAAATAAACAGCGCAAGCATCCATCCAAGTCCCTGACCCATCAAACCAGCAACAATAATCTGCACGGCACTCCACAGCGGTTGACTCCCCGCTACTTTCGCCGCCAATATCCCCGTCACCAAAAACGGATACGCAGGTAATATCCACCCAGGCAACGCCTCCGAAATATCAAGCCTCTCCGTCTCGAAGATAATATGATACTGTGCCACAGCCACCACCATCTCACAAGCGTAATATATCCAGAACACAATCCTCATAGCAGTAGTCAACCACGGTCCTGTTTCTGGACCACCGTAAGACTGTGCGCCCGTTAGGATTAATGCAATGGAGACCCAGAAAGCGCCGAAGAAGAAGGATTCAGAGGGATGATGGAGACTTGTTGAGAATGCGCGGGGTTTCATGGCGAAGCGCGCGATGATTAGGGCTGTGAAGGTTATGAAGAGCATGAGGTTGAGGATGAAGAAGATCTTGCCGATAGTTTTTAGACCGGTGAATGTGTAGGGTTGTTCGCCGAGGAGATTGGCTAACCCGCCTGTTGACATTGTACAAGGGAACCAACTCCATGTTATTCTGACGACGCGGTCTTTTAGACTTAAAGGTCGAGGTGCGTTCTTTGGAAGGGCTCTATCGCGTGCTGAAGACCCAGATTCTAGGTCTACAGGGCGACCATTGAGGGTTCGTGTATCATCCCCTGCATGATACTGCGGGCTGGATGGTTGCGACATTTCGATCGCGACAATTTTCGTATAGAATGTACACCCACGCGATCACATCTCGGACAGTTTATTTATGTATATTGCTCTCAGATAATATCTTCCTTGATTTTTTAATTCTTGGCTTCGTGACGCAGGCCAAGATGTCGTCACTCGGACAGTTAGACCCAGTCTAATTGATCAGAATTTGGGACTAAAACTCCGCTAGAACTCCACTGAAGATTAAGTTGTTTGGCTAGCCAAGGCTAAGAAACGGCAATCGGCACGATGAGATACAGATGCCAGCGAGTCATGGATCTGTTTTTCTGCATTTCCAAAACAAGTATGTCACTAAGCTTATTGAATCTCATAGAGCATTTGCTCGTTAAAAGTCAGTGTAACTTGATATAAACTGCTATTTTATTGCTGGGATAAAGAATGAAGATAATTGGCAAACAACCGAGTCCAAGAAGCCAAGGTCAGAATCCATTACGTTCAGCTTGAGGGTGCCACGCCTTATATATCCCATACAGATACAGGTATCTACTTAGTTGTTATTGCCAAGATAACTTTTTCAATGTAGATCTGAGGCTCTGCTTCCGCTCAGAATGGAGATGCATAGAGACAGAAAAGTAGGAACAAAACATAATTGGATCATTAAAATGACTTCTAAGAATACTGATGAACAATAATTGACCTAAACTCTATTATTTATAGCCAATGACGGCACTTAGATCCTCCAAATGCGGGAATCTCATTATCATTACCGCAGTGACGCAGTTCGACTCCAATTCCCACCATACAAATCCCTGAATCACATAAAGGCATCGCTCGCTATATATCCCTTTCTATCATAGCTTCATTAATCAAATCGACATTTATTCTCATCGTCATTTGCAACGTCTCTAATGCTGTGAAAATTAGTTGTTTATCCCGCACAAAAGCATTTCAACAGATCTCCTACCTCCGTAGCTTCCGCGTACTTAAGAATACCCATGAGCACTATCCGATCTCAATAATGCTATCCCCGTCGCCATCATAAGCGCAAACACCACACAGACAGCGACGATGATTATCACTGCATATTTCGTCCAGTCGTCCCCCTCGAGATGTCGCATGTCTTTGGTCCATTCTGGCATGTCAATCGAACCACCCTGAACCAACCACGCAATGGCGAAAATGGCGATGACAATGACGGTGAAGATGAGTTGTCTGGCATTACGAATAGCCTCTATGAACGGCTGAATTCTAGATTTTGTCTTTGCCATGGTTGTTATACTAGGTGTATTATGATAGTTGAAAAAAACGTCGAGGCTAGATGAAAGGTGGAAAAGTGGCATCATCAAAGGATGACAGGTTGGATTAGAGTGAGGCGTCTCCCCGCATATTATAGGTAGTTTATTAGATCACAAGACGTTGGGCTGATTGAGATGATGCGCTGCTATTCGCTTGTCCATCTGAATATGGCGAATCATGTTGGGTTTCGGATGCTTCGGAGCGTTATTCAGCCAACTGGTAACGTATGTTTGACCCCACCTCTGCTCGGGTTCCAAGAAACAGGGCAGTCAATCAATCTTGCTGACATGGAATTGGGTGCCTAAACAAAGACGTTAGCCTTGTCAGATATTCCCCGAGAGTCCGTTAGTGACGCTTCTGCGTGGCACGCGATCTTCATGTCAATCAGATCGGCATATCCTCGCGGATTCAATCACCGCTCCAAGATTCATCTTGTATTCAGATAAAGGTGTGAACTGAATGCTTTCGCTCATCTACGTCGGCTCAAATTCTGTTTTACTCTCGAATTCATTTGTGCCCCTGGTCGCAATCCCCGCAAGCCTCGTCGGCACTTCGTCCTCAAAGGGACCCATAATCTAAGGCGAGGGCCGCCATCTTCTAGCTGAAGGCACTGGTCTTGGCATAAGCTGGTCTGGATGAAAGTAATGTTAAATCTGTGAAGTGATTTACTCACCGTCGTGACTGTCAATCCAACAACGGTTCATCCCAGTATTCGTCCACTCGATCCACAGAGTTGTCATACAGAGTGAGCTTGCGAGCACTAACAAGAGTTCATACGTATCGCCACTATAGTCTAAAATAATCATGACCAGGGCGGGTTATCTCAACAACTTACAACCGAAGGGAAAATTGATAGAGGCTTACAGTTACCAAAGCATAACGTCTACCAGATATTTGATATTTCCGACATTTGCATGTCATCTTCCTGCTAATTTACTCGCTTTGCGCTCACAAACAAGTCCATCTCTAATGCTCAAGCTATTTTCTGTAGTTGATGCGACGATTAATTAACCAATTGAAGGTTTAACTCCAGAATTAATGACGTGAGACGGTATTGATCGTTTTATAAGCCGAGCGAGAGCTAGACCAGGTTAATCTGAGGCTTGACAAGTCGAAGCTAGCCAGAACAAGATAGTTTCTCCAGAACGGTCTCGATGCTTGATTGATATGCAAGCCATGCACTCCATGAGCTTAAGTGATTGGGTACCGGTTAGGAGCGCCATGGCAAGATCAGATCAGTTTAGAATGCCCCAACCTTATGCTTAACCGAGAGGCCCTACACGAATAGATGGCCTGCTTCATCCTTCTTCAGAATCCAACTCTTCGTTACAGCCTTGCACCCCATGGGCAGGTTGCGCCAACCAAAATGCTTGTTTAGATTGGGCTGCTTTGTGGACCCCATCACAGCCCGCTTGACCAAAATGAAGTAACTAAAAACAACACCTCCACATTAGCCTGGTGTACCCCGCGTTCTAGACTAGCTTCCCCATAAACCGCGGGACTACGGTATCAACATGCCTCGGCATATTCACCACTAGCTCGAAGGCCTACAGGTATAAAGTCGCTACAAGCCAAGGAACCGATCAAGGAGGCCTCGACAAAGATACCAACACCCAATCACAACCCGGAGACCATTACACAGCAAAGATGACTGAGATTCATGGCAACTGTGACCCCAAATTCCACGAGGTTCGCTCTCTTCTTGCGAAGTTCATCGAGTCAGGTGAAGAGATTGGTGCTTCAATTACCATTGACATCGATGGCAAAGAAGTGGTGGATATCTGGGGTGGACACTCAGACGAGAAGCGAACTAAGCCGTGGGAAGAGAATACTATCGTCAATGTGTTTTCATGCACAAAGACAATCACCAGTCTCGCGGTTCTCATCCTCGTCGACAGAGGACTGATCGACGTCAATCAGCGCGTCTCGCACTACTGGCCCGAATTTGAGCAGAACGGCAAACAGGATGTTCTTGTCAAGCATTTGCTGGGGCATACGTCTGGTGTTTCAGGCTGGGAAGAGCCGCTATCGACTGAAGACCTTTATGATGTTGAGAAAGCTACTGCGATGCTGGCGCGGCAAGCTCCGTGGTGGACCCCTGGAACGGCTTCTGGGTATCATGCTTTGTGTTCGGGGCATCTTCTTGGGGAGTTGATCAGGCGTGTTTCTGGAAAGTCACTACGCGAGTTTGTGGACACTGAGATCTCGGGTGTCTTGGATGCCGACTTTCAGATTGGCGCTACTGAGCAAACCTGGGACCGCATTTCTCCAATCGTTCCCCCGGACTTCTCAGGAATTACCCCAGAGTTTGAAGAGGGATCTGTCCAAGCCAAGACATTGCTTAACCCACCACTCGATCCTAACTCTGTGAACACCGGGCCTTGGAGACAAGCTGAGCTGGGCGCTGTGAACGGCCACGCCAACTCTCGCTCACTGGCCCGCATCCTCTCCGCAATCACCTTGGGAGGCTCAACCAGAGGCAAGAAGATCCTATCGGAGGAAACAATCAAGTTGATCTTCCAGGAACAGTTTGCTGGAAAAGACTTGGTCCTCGGACTACCGTTCAGACTTGGTATTGGCTATGGACTGACACCTTCTCCGGCGCTTCCCTGGATCCCGGAGGGCAATATCTGTTTCTGGGGTGGTTGGGGTGGTTCGACTATTATCATGGATTTGGATAAGCGTATGACGATTGCTTATGCTATGAATAAGATGGGTGGTGGACTTGTTAGTAGTGATCGGGCTGAAGCTTATGGAAGGGCCATTTATCAAGCTTTTGAGAAGTAATGCCCAAAGAGAAGGATATTCTCATCTTTATTTCTTCTGGCCATCAATCTTTCAATAAACAGTTTTCTGTCTTCCCCTCTGCTCTAGTCTTACCCTCATTCTACCCTCCACCGCAATGTCTTTCGTTGCATCTGAGTTCCTTGGCGCCGCCTTGAAATATCTCGGCAAAAAGGCCAGCGATGCTGTAGTCGAGCACATCTGCAGTTCGCTCGTGGACAGTCTCATGGGCGACCACAGTGGTCAAGCCGACGCAGAGATGCTTGCCAAACTTGATGAAATTCTGAGCGGGCTGCAAAAGGTTCAAGATACTCTTCAGTAAATTGAGGGACAAATCTCTCAAGTTGATGCCGATATTGACACTGCTGCCATACAGCAAAATGTCGCCAGCATCAATTCATTGCATGACTCTTACTTTGACTGCTTGAAGGGTCTAGCTACTGCAGCTAAGAGCTCAGATGCCGCGTCGCAGAAACAATGCGCAGATTTTCGCGCGCGTCTCGTTGATCTGTCTATTGAAGTCAAGAACGACATGCCTCAATGTCTTGCGACTATTCACGATTTTGTTGCTGGGCAGGGTGAGAACAGCTGTCTTGACAGAGAAGCAAAGGTTACCATTGTCTAGGCAAAGGATATCATCGACTTCTACTGCAAGATGAAACTGCCTTTGATGAAGATCATCATAGTCGAGATGAATGGTGTTCATTTTCTTCGACTTGCCGCGGCGTATCCAGACACTGAGGTCAACTTCCCCGACGGCCCAGCTGCTATAAGTCGTGTTCTCTCCAATGTCGATGCGCAAGACAAAGAATTGCAACGCGTTATTGGAATTGAACAGTATGGACTGGTGTCCGCTATATTCAGTAGATACCCTCAATCGACTCCCGCCAGCATTAGTCTATCCGAGGCACGCGGACTGAAGAGCGTACCGCTCAATGGCCCGATGCACTCGGCCTGGGCCGCGGGGCAGACTACTCAGCTGTGGTACTTAGAGCCTGCTAACAATGGCCCGATCATCACTAATGACTCAAAGCCCAACGCATTTCGGTTACTCAACGTGAATATCAACTACTACATTTCTGTATCTCACAAATCACTTGTCGGGATTCCGATCTATTACGTTGAAGCAACGGGTTCAACTGAAAATGCTGCAACTTGGACGCTGAAGCTGTCTCCTGACTACTCCTTCCATATCGAGCCTCAATCCCCATCCGATCAACTATTCGAGGTCCATTCCGACCAAGGCCAGTTCTACGCTCTTCTGAACTATCGAGACACACCTACAACTAGTTCCCATCCTTTCATCGTCCAAGTGTACCAGGGATCCATCAATAACCTCGGGCCACGTCAACAGGACATCCTGAAACCTGGAGAACTCCTGATTCCGGGTGCCTACCTTGAATCTCCCAGTAAGAAGTTCAGACTTGCCTTTGAGGGTGGAAGGTTTGGGGTATAGGATGTTGATCAGAGAACTTGGCGTTGGGACTCAACTGCAACTGTTGACTCGGACGATGCGCAGGTGGAGTGTTCTCCTAATGGACAGCTGATGTTGGATCAGAGTTCTGGCAATAGAAGGCAGTGGGGGGTGCCAACTGATATTGATCTTGGAGTCAGTGTTATTGTCTCTGACAATGGTAAGATGGAGTTTCATAAAGGTGATGGTAGTCTTCATTGGTGGATTAAGTTAATGAATTCTCTGACATTGCAACTGCCAAATCAAAAAACGCAAAGCTAATAGCAAAGCAATTGAATGAGAGATAGACTTGCAAGCTTTTATAATAGTTACTCAATGTGCAACTGATTAGCTATAGGCATGGAGTTAAGTAGAAATGATCGCCTCTGAGGCCGAAGCCGAAACGCGAAATCCGTAAACTGATCAGCATGGAATTTGGAGAAACTGCGCTGCGAGATCATTGGTTGATCAACCACCGAAGGCGCATTTGCCCCACAGCAAGCAACTTTTATCGAGGCTAAGATCTTACTCTATGGATCATGATGAGCACTGCCGCGAGCCTGCATAATTAGGACTGACTTATAAATCAGCCGGCAATGGAAGCTGGTAGTAAGACCAAGAAGTCAAAACGGTATATAAGTACTGGCTAATACCTTCCCGACAATAATACCATCTCGTTACACTTTCCCATATAAGCTTCTTACCAATCATAAAACATTCCAGTCCCTCCAGAGACTGAACTTCAATCCTACTGCTTCAAGCGTACTACACATCACCAAATACACATACAACCCCCCATCATCAAAATGTCTCACCCAATCATCTTCAACGGCAGTCTCGGTCTAGGCCTCATGCTAGTCGGCCTCGGTCTCAACGCCACCTTCCGCCCAAACAATCATCTTCAAAACCTCGAATTTCCCATCCCCACCGAACCTCTAGCGAAGAAATTTAGTCTCGCGCTTATGAAAATCTGGGGCATTCGCAACATCACTGTCGGCGTGTTGATCTCACTTATCTGGACCACAGGAGAGGAGAGATTGATGGCCAAGGCTTTGAGTGCAGCGCTGGCTATGCCTATTACTGATGGCTTTGTGAGTCGCATTATTATTGGGGGTGGGGAGACACAGCACTGGGTGTTTCCTCCTTTGCTTGTGGTGATGATCGCTGGTTTGTTTGGATACTTTTAATGGTGGATCTGGTACGGTCACTATGGTGTGATTGTAAATTCCATCCGTCAACGGCAGATGTATCATGATAATTCCAACTAAATATACTGATAAAATAATATGATAAATATAAAAGGTTGCCTGAAATATAGGACAAAAGAATTAAGATTTGCATTTTGGCACTTATGCATATACTTACATAATAAGATAAAACTTTGCAGTTCGGCGTTGCCAGCTCAACGTTGACACTAAGAGCAGAATACGTGTATATAACAGCAATCATACTCCCGAAGTGAGATCATCTTTCTAATTTATTTTTCTTATATAATGATTTCCTATGGAATGGCGGTTTAAGGGGTAGTTTGTCCCAACGTCTTGGCGAAAAGCATGGCTCGTTTCGGACTGCTTGGCCAAGAGTCTGTCATACCACGGATGACCCTGTATTTACTTTATATGAACCCCATAGCACTTCGTCAATTTGAATTAGGATCGCCATACAATACTCGATCTATTCAGAATGACAGAAATGGTACCCTGGTACTGTTTTTAGGATCCCTATCCTCATCGTAATCCTCAAATAATAGCAAAAGGGTATTAACCACATTTATACAGTCACTAGGCCATCACTCTTTAGTAAAGTTTCATTATTTACTTAATGGCTAAATGGCCTGACAAATCACTTTACCCAGCATCAAGACCTACTAAATTTGCAGATGTGAATTTCCTGCAGGGGGTTTATGCCTTGGGAAGTACAACAGCCTTGAAATCAGCTTGCTCTTTGACTGTGGAGTATTAGCTTTATTGATTACGTGTTGCCGCCTATACGCGTATTACATAACTTGGCAGAAGTTCCGCATTTGGTATAACTTGACTCGAAACACAGCCCGAAACGCTAAAACCTGGTTATCAGAGGGCGACGTCAGCTGCGAGGCGATGCTAGCCTAATACATCTATTTTCGTATTTTTGCTGAGATTTTCGTATCTGTCTAATCTTCGTATTGACTTTTCCGCGTATTATGTACCATAACGTCAAGCGTATCCAGTTAAGACACCAGGGATCAGCTTCCGCTGATATATAATGGGAATCGCTCGCTTTAGGGAAATGTTTCATTCAATCTTTGTACACGCTGCCCAGAGAAACTTAAGATGCGCCTCTTATACCTCCCCGCGCTTGCCGTGGTAGGATCATTTGTTGCGTCTGGACTTGCAGAGGACCAATGTCGATGCGTAAGTTACTTTACATATAGCTTATCTGCTCTCTAACAGTGTATTAGACAACTCACGATTTTTGTTGGCCCTCTACAAGAACCTGGAACTCGTTGAACTCAACGGTTGACGGACATCTGATCAGATATATTCCGCCAGGTGCTGTTTGCTATAAGTCCCACCCTAGCTACAGCCGTGAAGCCTGTGATAAGGTTATTAAAGAATGGTCTCAGTCAAAATTCCACTCTAGCGATCCTGCCAGTCTTCACACCGAATGGGCCAATGCTGGCTGCACTCCAGTCTATGAGAACGGAACTAGCATCTACGGCGATCCCAAGGCTGGCAAACGAGGTTGTTCAAATGGAGCGCTTCCTGCTTACGTTGTCAACGCTACCACGGCAGGTCATGTTGTAGCAGCATTGGCGTTCGCTGCCGAACACAACATACGATTGGCCATCAAGAACACTGGCCATGCTGGTAACGGAAGGTAAAACAAGATCAGCATCGCTTTTTATGTGTGAACACATGCTAACGTAATTTAGAAACTTGGGAAATAGCAGTCTATCGTGAGTGGAGCCGTAATTCAATACTTCGCGACTCAATGCTAACCTATTTATCAGAATCTGGACCCATAACCTGAAGAGCATCGAGCTGCGGGAAGATTTTAACCTTACTTGCCCCAACGCTAAGGACGCCCCAAGTCCTCGTATGGCAGCCACTGTTGGTGCCGGGGTTCAAGATGGAGAGATGAACGAAGCTTTGGCAGCACAGAATGCGTTGGCGGTTGGCGGTACCAGCAATGTGAGTCTTAGCAGTCGTCCGTAGTGCCTTTACTAGACTGACCTTTGCTATAGGATGTCGGAGTTGTTGGCTGGGCCACTGGAGGTGGTCACGGATTTGCAACAGGCAAATACGGCCAAGGAGCGGATAACATTCTTGAGGCAGAGATTGTCACTCCAGCCGGTAAAGTCTTGGTTGCCAATCAGTGCCAAAACCAGGATCTCTATTGGGCTATTCGCGGCGGTGGCGGTGGCACGTTTGGTGTCATTACAAAGCTAACTGTCAAGGCTTATCCCGCACCCAAATTAGTTATCGGAGGCTTCGACATCAGAGCCAAGCACCAAACCTCGGAGGATCAGTTCTACAAAGTCATTGCTCATGCCCATGCGCTCTTCCCTGCAATTCAAGATGCTGGTATCCATGGCTACTATACAGTTACAGGTCCTCCTGAAGCCGAGGCATTGACTTTCAGTGGATCTTTTATGGGGTTTGACATTTCCAACAAAACCTACGACAATGCTCTTGAACCTTTCAGAAAGATGCTTGAAGCATCCAACAGTACCGTTACTTGGTCTTTGACTAAAATTCCAGTCAGCACTTGGCAAGGACTGCTCAAGGTTTTACCGGATATTGGGACGGTCAGTGCAGGCTATGGCATTAGGGCTTCTCGATTGATCTCACGACAGACTGTCACGGAAAAGACAGAAGAATTTGCAGCTGTATATAAGAAGATTGGTCCTACGAAGGAAGCACCATTGGTACAGAAATTCCCATGATCCTGCCCCGTTCAGAGCGCTAACATACTGATAGAACGGCTTGCCTAACCTCTCTATATCTGGCACCCTCACCATCAGCCCTAAGCCTGTTAACAACTCTTTAAATCCATCCTGGCGAAACGCGACCGTCCATCTGATCACAGGCCAAAGCTGGAGTGATTCAACAAACGAAACTGAAGTCAGAAACATTGTTCACGATGTGACATATAGAAAACTCACATTGCTGAGGGAATTGGATCTTGTCCAAGGAGCATACTTAAACGAGGTAAAATAGCACTCTATGCTCATGCCTGACGCGCTTGGCTAACTGTTAGAAACAAGGCAAACTCAATCGAGCCTGGCTGGCAGTGGTCCTTCTGGGGACCAAACTACGCACGACTGCGTGATATCAAGGAGAGGTACGACCCTGAAGGCCTCTTGTGGTGTCCTCAGTGTGTTGGAAGTGAGGATTGGGTCCAGCGACAGGATGGTAGACTTTGCCGAGCTTTTACCCCTTGGTAAACTCAGTCGTCTCTTATTACACTTCTTATATATGCTTCTTATGTATTATAAAACATCTTACTATTCTAGACTTATTATATATAACTAATTATATATAGTTATAACTCAATGATTTTGCCAGCCAAGCCATACATCCAATTATTGTAAAATCACCCGTAATGGAGAGGCTACACAGGTTCCAGGTCTCTACAATAGTTTAATTATTCTTATTCGGTTTCCTTAGTAGGATACTCTTCGCATGCCTCCATTATAGCAGCAGGACACCCTCATCCATCGATGCCTAGAAGAGCATTGAAACCCTATTCTTTACCACTAATCAAACCTGCCTCCATATTTTCAGTATGTAATAGTTTCTCTAGGTAATAGAGTTTCGGCATTCTCGTCCGGTAAATGGTGTATTAAGGAGAGGGTTTGGTGATCAATTTCCGAGACTGGCATTCGTTGCGTGAAATTTTGGTGACCCATGTTTAGAGTTTAGGGTTCCGGACTATCCGTAAAGTGACAGGCGCTCGACATGTGTATAAGTACTACTTCTTCTAAACAAGATTTTCAATTTGAAGCCTTAGAAATACCTATTAATTTTCCCCCTTTCCATGCTGTTGCTACCCCATGTTTAAAGAGCCGCTGAACAAAACAACTCAGTATGAAGCATATGTTCCCTTCCTTATTGGTTACCTCTTTGATCTCAGCAGCCTTTGCTTCTAATTGCGCAACTCCGACGTGCCCCCCAATTTCTGGCGATATCTTGATTCAAAATGAGTTCCAACTCTACCCATCTCACTATCGGTGGGATAATCAGCGTTGCGTTCTGTACCTCAGGCATGTTGCCCCTTGACGTTCAGTAAGCAGTTCTGGACTAATCTCTTTGCATTACAGCGCGATTTATAATGCGAGCATCGTCATATGGGACCCCTACAGCTCATCAATCCAGCGAGTTGTTTCCATCCCAGGAATAAGCCACAACGCCTTGCAAGCTTCTGACAAAAGACTCTCTGGTATTGTTCTTGACGCCACAAATAACGTTCTGTCTGCTGTCGTTGAGGCAGACGAGTTCTTCCTAACTGCGGGAAACGATGTGAGCGGCGATAACTTTGTCGTCAAGGTCGATCTGAACAATTTTGCAATCAAGAAGATCAACCTAACGACTACCACCAAGGGGAAATACGGGGCGTTTATTGACCTTGATAATGGCCTTTCTGGAGACCTCTATGTTAATGGTGGTTATCCATCCAGTATCCTTCACATTGACCGCAAGGATCATGTCTCGCCTTTCTACGTCCGCGAACCAGCCACTGCTCCGCGCCCTTTTGGGTTTGGAGGAGTGGTTCGCTTCCACGATACTCTCATCGCTAACGACAATACCAACCATCAGCTCGTCAGGTTCTCTCTTCACAGCGGTAATAGGTCACCAGTTGTTATCCCGCAGACAATCTATCACAATTTTTCCGCCGGAGCTTCCCTAAGCCTGCCTCATAGGTATGGCGGAAGAGTTTTACTCCAGGCAGAAGATATCCTTGTTAAGAAAACAACCGGAGTCTCTGTGTTCAGCTCAATGGATGGCTGGAAAACAGCAAAGTTCGTGGGCTTCATAGAGAGTGTTGACAGGAAGTTGGAACCTGCCTCGGTGGCTATTAGTCAGACTACTGCACGGGAGATTGGTGATCGCATCTATTCGAGCGTGTTGTTCTACGACAACAAGATGAACCCTTCGATGGCGGGCAATCGAACAGACTTTGCGCTGCGGGATATTACGGATTCAATTGACGCGCTGTTAAAGGCAAATGGATTTAATATGTAAGGGTATAACTATTCTAGCATAGTGGTTAGAAAAGGTCTAGATGTTAAAGTCTCGTAATAGTACTCTCTCGTTGGTTTTCCTGTCGGCTAGCATGGCATGGACTTGATGAATGACTTGTTAGTCCTGCTCGGTTATAAAGCCGATCTCTATGTAAGCAACTTTGTCGGCTAGCACGGCTCGCAAACGGCCGAAGCGCCACTTCACCATTACCATACGCAACGTGACCTCGAGCCAAAAGGTCCACGTGCCGGTAGTTACAATGCTCCACTATGCTCGGCTCGTCCAACTACTAGGTATTAGAGTTTTCCCGCGGAGACCGACAGATAAGATGGTGTGTTGAAGGGGCATCAATTCTTCTCCGTCGATTAGACGATAGAAGATAACTCAACTGGCGGTCTAAAACATTGTGTGGCATCGATCGCAGCGTGCCAGATGTCTGGTACTTCCACCGTGTAGAAGGTGCTGTTCTGTCAGACTCGTCGTCGCTGTGTGACGTTGCAAACTTGGAACCCTAAAGCCTGTCTGTAGTTCGTAGACCTCATAATTGATTTCATGCTCAACTTTACCGTCTGGGCAGCTTTTTCATGATTTATATTTGCCCTCTTTGGACTGCGTAATGGAAAGTCTGTCTTGTACCCAGAATACTCATGGCCGTGCTGCCGTCGAGTGATCCAGGATCCTTACTGGACTGGAGTTGCCGATGCCATCCTTGTCCAGCCTAGTTTAGTATTCGCCGATAACTCCTACGTTACCATAGTTATCCTGGACCACTAATGCCAGTTCTCCCCGCCTTGGGTTTTGGAATCATCCAGTAGTTAATTACAATTCTGCCCTAGAGGGAGATGAGTCGGGATTTCAAGCCAGGCCCGATATTAAGGAGACAGGGGGAAAACTCTATTAGGTCCTGTCACTGAAGAACATAATGCGTTGCTAGAACTTCGGTGATATAATATCATCCGCGGAGTTGCTAAAGTTAGATAGAGTGATGGGGGCACCAGCCATAATGAATATAAGTAGTAAAAAAGAGTTTATGCAAAGCCGTATTTTATGAATAACTAATAACTCAAAGATGTGGATCTTTCTTGCAGAAATAGGTATGTATATCACTCCAGTCACTTCAATCACTACTCGCACAATCTCTTTAAAGTATTGTAAAACTTGTCCATTTACGTCCACGAGATTCAAACTCGGCCTACTTCTCTCGTTCAATCTTGAGCTTCGACCAACAATGCGCGTCACTTCTCTCATTGCTGTCGTTGCTTCCGCATCTCTGGCCTCCGTTGAATCAGCGTGCCAGGCGGATGGCACTATTGGGAACTCACTGCCGGCTTCTAACTTGAATTGCTGCAGTGGCTATGCTTGGAACAGCTACATCCGGAATAATATGGGCTCCCCAGAATCTAACGAATACTCGTCTTTTTTCTTTTTCTTGTTTTCTTCTCTTTTTTCAGAATTTGCATCTCTTGATATCTGGTAGGCTTATATACATAGAAAACCAGGTAAATGTATAAGCCACATGTTATACAGCCCGTCATAGCGTAATCACAGGCATTGAACTGAGTGGTGTTATTGGTAGTAATAGCGTTCTCCGATTCCAGTAATAATGCCTCTCTATCTATATGTGCAAAACGCATTTTCCCTTTGAACTCCAAACAATGGACCAAAACTCCTCGAAGTCAAAGATACTCCCGGAATACAGTAATGCAAGCTAAACGTAAAGCCAAACGGCTATCATGGTCTTCTCTATCCAATGCTTAACCATTAATTAGCCTCAAATCAAGTCCTCCATGATGCGCAATTACTGACAGGGCTGTGCGTATTTGCGAAGGGCTGGGTGGCAGCGCGTCACACCTGCAAAGTGCCCTCTTCCTACTAAATGGAATGTAGGCTAAGAGGGCCCTGAAGAAAGGCATTAATATCGCCTGATTGTAGGAGAACAATATCTCAGATGATGGTTACCATGGAGTCGGGAATTCCACCTCCGGACATGTTCTCTTTTCTCGTCGTACTAAAGTTGGGTCTCCGTAAACATCGCGACAAAATGTGTCAAGATCGTCATCTGTCTCGGTGTGGGGAAACTCGGTTCAAGATGGTTTTCAACGGGAGCACCAAAACCATGTGTAGCTGGTCAAAATGGCGAATAACCGGAACTTCCCTCTCAAACAAGACTTCCAATGAGCTGTTGGAAGAAGGCGCGTACAGAATAGGCGTTATTCCCGCTTTAATAGCACCCTTGATATCAGCCTCGACAGAATCGCCAACCATATACGCGCAATATGGTTTCACCTCCAGCTTTTCCAAAGCATACTGGAAGGTCCTGACATCAGGCTTGGGATGGCCAACTTCTTCGGATGTGGTGATGCATTCAACGAGATCTAACACACCAATGGCTCTAGCCTTCTCCACCTGGTTGTCGGTCTGGTCATTCGTGATAATAGCAGTGCGATAACCATTCTCCCGAAGTCTAGTCAGGGTCCGGATACTTCCCGGCATAGCGCTTCGATTCTTTCTGTATGCTGTTTTATACACATCCCGAAAATGCTCAATGCGTTGAGAGTCCGGTTCTTTAAGGCCCAGACTCATAAAAAAAAGGCTTGAACTTTTCTGCATCTTGATCCTCGTATGCTGTCTCATTTCGGAGATATCTGTCGTAGGCATGATTAAGTGCTTCGTTGTACTTCTCGATGAGCACCTTCAACGGGATATCATGAAGGAGCGGCGATATATGTCGTACGGCGGACATGGCCTGGTATAGAGAGTGTTTATGATCGAATAATGTGTTGTCAAGATCGAAGAATACCATGGTGACAGGTTGAGACTCCATCGTGGAGATTGTACTGGGCGATGGTGGTGACATGGCTGGTGTTTCGGTCTTGCCCTGGGTTGCTATTTCTGTTGGGATGAAGATTGAAGAAATAATGCGGATGAAATAAAACTCAGAGATTTGGACGAGAGGGCGGGCTTAAGTATGTAAAAGTGCTTAAGGTTATGTTTACAGAAACCTTGGCAGATGGTGTTCAATGTCGCCATCCTGAAAGTTATCTCCCCAACCTTAGCTCTGTACAGCCACCTGACCTTCAAGGCATAGCGTTTCCACCAACCAAAACAATCATTAAAGGAACTCAGAAAATAAAATGACACAATGCTCACAAAGCAGAAGTCTTTTCCATACGCTACGGACTCTCAATGGTCCCCTTGACCTGCTTCGCAAAGCGACTATCACTAAAATGCTTATCCAAACTCAAGCGCCCTGACTCAGACATAGAAAGGATATCCATCTCGTTAAATGCTTTCCTGATGGTGTTCGTGTCTGTCGGACTTGTGAAAAGAATCTTGACATGTGTCTTCAGCCTTGGGTCATCCGTCAACTGCAGTATCTCAAACAACACCTTTTCGACATGCATGCCCTGCATGATGTCTTCATCTTCATAGACTTCAACACTGTCGATCACACAAAACAGTGTTGTGTCGTTGCGTAGGCGACGGACTAAGACGGTGAAGAGCTGGCAGAGTTCCTCGACGCCTCTCTTCAACAGAGGCAGATTTACCTCCTGGGCAACTTTATCAAGATCAGCATCATCGAAGCGATGTTGACGAAGCAGTTGTGTCGTGAGACTCTTGATGAGCCCGATTCCGCCGGTGAGAGGATCATCCGGGTCAGTATGCTGCCCGCAAAAGAAAGCCACTGCACAAAAACGATCAACCTGGCGCAGGCTTCGCACAATAGCGGCGCTAAACAGAGACAGGGGCGTGACGCTCGTTCGGCTTGGCTTCATGTGCCCATGGACAAGAAGTTCCGTTGAACTCGTTCTGACGACCCACTGCTTGAACTGTGCACTCTCAACTAAATGTTCAGCTCTCCCTTGATCCCGACGATTCACGAGCGCAGCTGAGTCCGATATCTCCGCCATATCGACTTTATCAACTGCAGAGAGGTCAAAATCCAAGTTCATGTTGAGAATATGTAGAAGTCGAGCTTGTGATATACGTGCTGGACCAACCCATGGTCTTCGGTCTCGACTGCGTGATCGTTCCGCTTCGAGTTGGGTGTGCAGACGGGTGTACTTTACTGCAAGTCGAGCGTTTTTCCTTTTTTGCTCTATCATATATATACGTCAGTGAAGCTTGTATGGATAATGCAGAAATGAGCACGAACCGTTCAAAGCAGTGAGGTTGGTGAGGTACTCCTGTGATAGTCTCATGAATGCATTCATGGCATCAGAAGCGGTGGCAGCGTTGACCATATTAGCTGCGGCGTTTTGTTCATTCGCGGCAGCATTGCGTTCGTTGGCTGAAGCGATTCTCTGTTGTTCAGCCGCCATTTTGCGGCCTGATTGATTCATTTCTGACTGGGCATCTGCAAGTCTTGTTTGCTCCTTCATTATCTTCATTTGGTCTAGTTGAAGTTGCTTCAGCTTGTCGATTCCTAGCTAGTGTTAGTCGCTCTTGATGAAATCCTGGTTGCCAGGTTACTGACCTTCTGATGCCTTGATGTTCACTGACCGAAGCTCACGGAAGCTCCCGATGTTGGCTTTCTCCATCAGTCTTGAGCTGCTAGAGTTGAGATCCTCCAGGCATCCTGTGAGATCAGCCTTGTAGCTATCAGCTTGCCACATCGACAGAAGCATCTTCTTGCCTTGTTATATGTCAGTAGATGTATTGTCAAGTATATGGTGTAAGCTACCTTTCTTTGCCCAGTAGTAGTCGATGATATCCTCGATGGCTTGAAGCATTGAGCTGAGGACTTTCTTGGCAGCAGCGAAGATATCCTCTTCTTTCTCATAAACAGCAACTATAGCCTCGACGTCTTCTAGCTTTTCACGAAATTGGCGAAGGCTCGACTCAATCTCTTCTCGAATCTTGGCCGTCCTCTTAGCCGCCTATCTTCCGTTAGCCGCTTCAGGTTATCGAAACATATGAACCCAGCAAGCCTACATCAAACACGATGTCAAACACACAGTGGATTACTGAAGAGTAATCAGTATTTGGAAGAAGTGAAAGAAGTCTCTTCCCATCGTCAACATGGTCTGCCATTTTGTGCGATGACCGTTTCCAGAAGCCGATAAAACCCGAGTAGTTATAATAGTTCGCCCTCGCCTTCTCAAGAACATTCACTATGTCAACCCATCCTGACAAGTCGCGAATACTGCGTGTCGTCCCAACAAGTCTTTTGGGTTCATCGCGCGTGGACTTGAGCTCTTCCATTGCTTCAGGAAGCATCTCTTCCCAGAAAGGTCGCCGTTCAGAATCCTCTTCGGTATTATCAGGGAGTATATCTGGAAGATCATGTTCGCCAGGCTGTGCAGTGCCAGCGTCGGTCTCTTGATCACGTTTCATTGGCTCAAAGCGTCCCCGAGCTGTGCTGAATCGTACATCAGGGTTGGCAAAAGCCTCATGAAACTCGGGAAGACGCTCTTCAATGAACTCGAGACAAGACTGTCGTCTTATGAGCCCTTGCGATGTATTCCGTCTATCTGCCATGAGATTGACGATGGCAAACAAGCTTGAATGCGGCTGAGAGGAAGTAATGGGGATATTGGCGCATCAGAAACTCAGCCCCATTGCATCAGCACAGCCTGATTCTTGACACTAGTCAGGAGACCGCTAACAACGAGATGGAGTGCAATGCGCGTTTTCGGAAGTAAATTGTACTGGCAACTCACTGTCAATACGCAGATAAGTGGGTGAGACTCTGCCCGTTAGCGAAGACCACGTAGAAACCACACCCCGCTCGCGATATCGCCTCCTCCGCTGAAGATGTCTGTCACGTTCTGTAAATGGGCAGCCGGCCAGCAAATATGGATGATCCAGTTTCAGCTCCAGTGGATATTGCAGCATTAGCGCACCAGCTTATGCAGGAAGCTAGCACAAAGTCCAATCACCAAGCTCATTTCAACCCAGGGTCTAATGCGTGTAAGCGCTCGGTTTTCCCAAACTCTTCACTCAAGGCCAGAAGACAATATCATGATATTTGAAGTAAATCAGAGGCCAGGCGTTCTACAACGCCCCAATGTTCTAGAAATTAGTTGAAGGACGCAGCAAGTTAGAAAGGGCCATGCCATGATACTTGAAGTTGATATTCGGCCAGAGATAAGCGCAAGTGCTCAAGGATGCATGGTGATGTGACGTGTCTTACATGCATATTCCTGCCTGATCAGCCTCTTCACCAATAGTTCGCACACCCTCCAGTCCCTGTACGACCACTTTGAGAATCAGGCTCTGGCCTGCAGTTGAAGCTGCGACCGTGAATCCTTCCGCTGAGTGATTTAATTCTTCCGAAACACAACCGGTTGAAGGCCATCACGAGTGATAGCCCAGCAAGGTTGTGTCGATTCAACTAACGATCTATTGAATCGGGAATACGATGAAAGAAAATCCCGCGATGCCTCCTCCACCGGATGTTGAGGCTCCAACCGGGAGCAATGAAAGTTCCGCCATCAGTCCATCCAACGAAACAAGTGATGAATCAACATCGAGCTCAAAGACCACCGCAGAAGTCTCTCATGACTCCAGAAAACTTCTCCCAAGTCAGAACCAGAAGAAGCTTCCTGGGAGTGCAACTCCACGCGATGAGACAGGAGATATGAAAGCCGAGATTAAACGGCTCAATCGCCAGATCCAGGACCTGAAGATGATACACCAAGAAGAGCGAGAACAGCTTGAAGATGCATGGGAGGAAGACTATGAATTCAGATGGAGCAAGCGCGAAGTCAAAGCACCCGGAATGCCCTTCGCTCGAAGCCATCACGCCTATGTCAGCGAAAAAGTTGCTCAAGATTTCCCTGATGAACTGGATCAAGTCGAGGTTCTTCACTATGCCCGAGAAGCCGAGAGACAGGCGATCCAAGCGTGGAGGCTTGCTCATCCTGGACAAGAGTATCAGGCTCCGCAGTCAAAGAGCGGTCCGCCGAGTACTTCAATGTTGAATCGCGTGCCATGGACCGAGTTCCAAGAGTCTCTCGAGGTTACGCTCCAGTCCAACAGATTTGCGATAGATGTATTGGTTGGGGAGCCCAATGTCAAGGTTACACACCCCAGCCTTCGTTATCGCACTAGAGGAGAAGCTGCAAGATACGGGTTCGACAACAGGGTTGATACTACTGGCGGTGCTGCCAATGCTTCTTCGGCAGCGGCAAATCTACGAAAGCCCACCGGCAGAACTATGTCTCGCGGCCAGGGACCACTACCTGAGCGTATTCGTATCAATTCGACAGCCATCCTGAGAATTCTCAGCAAGATCTTCCAAGAGGAAATCTCAACCAACTTCGAGCCAGTCTTGATGATGAGGCCATTTCGCGGTTTGATCTGGTACAAAGACGAGATTCGAAAATGGAGAGACGACCTCGAGAAGAACGTCATAAAGGCTCAGATAGAAGCTGAAAAGACGCAAAAAGAGGAAGGAGACAAAGCTGATAAGTCCGAAGAAGAGGCTTCTACTGATGAGGCACCTGGACCCAAGGATGATGGAGAGCCCTTGGTAAACAAAAAAGAGCCGGGCGGTGATGGGGATAAGCCCCAGGAGGAAGAAGCCCAAAGCGGAGGTCCCTCTAGAGATTTTATAGATTTCTGTAACAGTATAGAACCAAAGGAACATACCAAGAAGACTGAAGAGAAAGCGGATACCAAGGAAGACGAAACGAAGGAGAGACGGGGTAGTCAGGATACCCAGATTGCCGACGATGACGCTCTCATAAACACCCAAGAAGCACTGGACGACCTCAATTGTCTCGTCGACTTCATTAACCATGATCTGGAAGATAAGTTAGCTTACCTTGCTAGCGAAGAGTGTACAAAGGTTGTCTGGAGTGACATATGGCACATCTTCAAGCCGGGTGACTTCGTGGTCAGCAAAGATGAGAAGCAGGCATACCGTGTCATCCAGGTCAAATATGCGACACACAGCATGAAGCCGCCTACTGGAAGAAATCTCTGGATGTCTGAAGCTAAAGCCAAGCTTGACGATTCACCCATTACCATCCAGTGTGTTTTCCTAGACTTTGATGGGGAGCGAATCGGTCCCGTTACACAAACCATCGACATCCATCGATATGAAGGTGAGAGGAGCATTCGCTCTCTTTCAGTAGTCCCTCTACGATGGACCAAGACTCGCAACTTGAAGGAGACATTGATCAAGCGAGGTTCGATGTTCATTGAAGCATGCGACCCTCAACGCCGTGGTATTCCAATGCACTACTCTGGCCTCTCCTTAGAAACACAGGAAGAAATCGACAGCCAAGTTGTGATCGACTTCGAAGAAGCATTCGCCACCAACGACGTCGGAGGCAAAACCAAGCCCTCGGGCTGGACGATCGAAAAGCTGGTCCTCGAATGCTTCGCCGGCAGTATAAAAGATGAGATGCAGCTGTATCTACACGACGTTCAAACAAACTGGAAGCCTGAACTCAAAGACATTGATCCCGGTGGTGACTCTGATACAGACTACACATCTGACAGTTCAGACAGCCGAGGCGCTATTCGTAGTCGCCGTCGCCGGGCGCAGATGAATCGAACTTGTCTTCCACAGTGTTGTTCCAATGAGAATGTTCACGATGATGTTTTCGTGGAGCATAATAGGAGCAGTGAATTTGTGCAGAGTCAGTTTTGGGAAGACGATTTGAATGAGGGGATGCCGTCTTTGACTATTACAGCGAGATCGTTGAGAGAGGCGATGGAGGATGAGGATTATATCACTGATGATGATAGGTTGATTACGAGTTATAGGGTGTTTGGGTTTATTATGAGGAGTAGAAAGTGGGGTGAGTACCATATTCCCAGAAGCTAGACCTCTGGCATCGTACCTGGTGTCTTCTTGAAGAAACCAGGTTGTAGTCAGACTCTGAACTGACATAAAATACTCACAGCCAAGCTCGACTTGACATATCTCGGGCCTATGAAGGGACAGAACACTTTCGACTTGCTCGTTCTCCCGCCTGGGCACAGAGAGATGGTGGAAAGTCTAGTCACACAGCACTTCTTGGACAAGGCGTCTGCTTACGATGAGACGGATGAAGTTGATATTGTTCGTGGCAAGGGTATGTTTTCCCCTGCCATCCTGTTCGATGGGCACTGACACGTAGTATAGGCAAAGGCTTGATTCTGCTTCTGCACGGAGCACCTGGAGTTGGAAAGACGACTACAGCGGGTAAGCTTTTAAGGCTACAGACAGGCATAAGGATCGTGAGCTGACTGAAACAGAATGCGTTGCCACATACTTCCACAAACCATTGTTCCAAATTACCTGCGGTAGGCCCCGAACCGCTCTTCCAGATCTGCCACATGGTCACTAACGAAAGGTTACAGGAGATTTAGGTTCGACGGCAGACGTTGTCGAGAGCCGTTTGGAGAAGAACTTTGCTCTGGCAAGTCGATGGGGCTGCATCCTGCTCATTGATGAAGCAGATGTTTTCCTCGAAGCTCGACAGACAGAGAACTTTGACCGCAACAGTCTTGTCGCTGGTAAGTTGGGTGTCCCATGAAGCACTGCCGTATGTTGACCACGGTTCTTCACCTCACAGTCTTCCTTCGCACGCTAGAGTACTACACCGGAATCCTCTTCCTGACCACCAACCGCGTTGGCACTTTCGACGAGGCCTTCACGTCACGTATTCATATCAGTCTATACTATCCTCCTCTCAGCCAAGCCTCTACCCTCGCCGTCTTCAAAGTAAATCTCACTCGCATCCAAGCCCGATTTGAGAAAAAGAAGGAGCGAGGAGAAGCTGAGCTCGAACTGGATGAACTTTCCGTCAACGAGTTCATCCTTGACTACTTTGCAGAGAACAAAGATGCACGCTGGAACGGTCGCCAGATCCGCAACGCCTGCCAAACTGCTCTTGCTCTCGCTGAGTTTGAAGGCCAGAAGCTGGCCAACCCAGCTGCCAGTGGCGGACGAAACGTCATGGAAGTGGCAGCTATGTCGAGGAAGATGATCAAGGTCAAGTTGACAAAGAAACACTTCCAAGATGTGGCAAAGGCTTATTTGGCATTCATGAAGTATCTTCGAGAAGTCCATGGTGTCAGTGCAGCGCAGCAAGCTAAGAACTTCCGCTTGAGACATGACCGATGGGGTCTTGGAGAGTCGGCTAGTTTATTGGCTTCAAGGCAAAGGGGATATGCAGCTGAGGGCAAGTCAAACTATGGGCAGAGGTATGGTGCCAGACCAAGTGGAAGACAGGGTCAGCAAACACGGGGACAAAGGTATCGACAACAACACATGGAAGATGAGGATATCACATACGAGTATGGATATGCCGATGACTATCACGGGCATGAAGATGATCAAGGGCTCATGCAGGATGACGATGATGGTAGGGATTTTGAGAACGGACCATCCTTTGATGAGGAAGATGACTATGACGAAGGCTACGAAGAGCGTCCATCTGCGCGAGGCAAACAACCAGCGCAGAACTATGACGAAGACTTTGAGGATAACAAGTACTACCCTGACGATCAGCAGCAAACTGCAAATTATCGTCCAGGTCCATCGCAATCAGAACCAAGAGAGCGATATCCTGCCCGTGGTGGAGGTCGGGGAAGAGGCTCCGGTCCAGGACAACAGACATCAAGGAGAGGTGGTCACGTCCCTAAGAGAAGAGTCATACCAGGGGCGTATACAAAGGTACCTCCTGCTTTCCGTACAGTTTCTCCTGATATAGCTGATTGAAATTCCTGTTCAGGAGTAGAGGGAATGTTACATGTTGAGAGATTGCTGCGCACTTGGAGATCATGTGACGGTCGTATAAGGTACACAGATAAGAAATCCCAGAGTGTTGTAGTTACATTTATTACCCTGGGTCAACCTCTGAGTCACCTGTAGTACGGTTCACTATTGAAACACGCCTGTTTCTCTCAGCTGATGTCGTATGATGTCACACTATTCTACCGTTGTGTAAGGTCGGATGTCTTGATAGCGCAGGGAGTTTCATAACACTCTGATTCATAGACCTAGCGTAAAACAAAACAGCCCGAACGTTACGAATATGTGTCCTTAATGCCTGATACTCGTGTGTCCTTGGCGGAGATAAAACCCTCATCCACTGGAGAATATGAAATCTTCCCATTCCATCCTCCACTAATAAATCACATTTTAACCATGTACATCCAATATGAGCGGTCCTTATCAACTAACAGTGATTGACAGAGTCGAGGTGCATCTAATCTCCATGCTCAGAGAAGACGGTGCATACATCGTCTTCAGTCTCAACGACAACATGATATCCGTGTGCGTATCCCCTCACAAAAGCCTAATTACACAAGCTTTTCCTTTTCTAAGAACAAAGAACGACCGTCTTCAAGATCACTTCGTCAAGACTTTCATTGAGGGTGTTCAATCACGTAACCGCGAGGAATATGAGCAGGCAAGGACAAACTGTCTTAATGTTATCCTTGCGGCTGGAAGGCATCATTTCCCTCAGTGGACATCCTCTCCTGACAAGAGTGCCGACTGCGAGAAGCGTCTGAGCGACCTTTTATTCCCTCAGGTGATATACTTTCGCCTTGAGGCTGCCAAGGGCCGCGCAACTATTGTGCCCATCAGCCCTGACGATGTAATGAGCCGGGTCGTTATCGATCCTGTTCTTGATCGTGGTTTAGTGACGCCGGTCTTCAACCTTGGCCTTCCGTGGTTTACGCCCGAGCAGATCATAGTTAAACAAATCTTGTACACTGGCGCCGCTTATGCCATTGCCGAGGTGCAGGTAGTCAACAGAAAAGAATCATTGCTCTGCAAGGCTAGTGGTTCACCAGGCGGCGGGATCCCTGGTCCCAGCTTGCGACGCGAGGCAGCGTGTCTTGGCAAGATCCTCCGAGCATTCTCAATCCCCAAAGACATACGACTTCCTCGCCTGTTTGGCTACGTTTCGCACAAGGATACAAAGGAGATTATCGGGTTTCTTCGCCAATGGGTCCCTGGACGCAAACTCAGTGAGATCGATATTACGAGCGTTGAAGAAGAGACTCGACAGAAATGGATATCTCAAATTCGTGAAACTTTTGACCAGCTTCACAAGAAGGGAATTGTATGGGGTGACCCACGACCTGGAAGCGTTGTTATTGATGAGAATGGTGATGCATGGTTGACTGAATTCGCAAGGGGATGGTGGAAGGATATGGAGATGAAGGAGACGAAGGAGGGGGATGAACATAGTCTAGCTGAGGTCATCGAATTATTAAAGTGAGACAATGATGTAACCTTCTCGTAAGGAGCAAGTAAAGTCGAGAAATAATTGCCTGGAGTTTGGAGTTTCAGTGACAATACCACTTCTTACATTTTCTTATCAAGTTGAATACGTTGTGCGCGTTTTAGTGACGAACCAGATTTGCTCGTCAAAGCCTACAGGTTCTTATAGACGCTTCATGTCGTACAGTAAGAGGTATAACGTTGACGCCATTGACGAAGGGATGCTCTTGGACTAGTACATGATCTTGTAGAACTTCGCATATTAAGTAATAGCAATTCTCTTTCGTTATTGACATCCTATCAGATCCACATGATTATACTCCTATCCCACCATGGGTATCCTTCCAACGCAGCTCCAGTTCCAACCTGCTCGTATCAACCATTATCATTTCTCATCGTCTTTTACTTCTCCGTTGTCGCGTGCACAGGATCCTCTTCATGAGCGGCACCGAGCTTGGCCTCAACATCACCCTTCTCGGCCTTGGTAGTAAGGTGAGTAGCGACATGAGTCTTCCAAGCTGGAGTACCGATGTACTTGATACCATTTGGATCCTCAAACATATCCGCAGTCTCTTCAAGTGTCTTTCCAGCTGTCTCTGGGAACATGAAGAAAACATGGATGAACATGGCAACGTTGAAGACACCGAAGATGATGTAGCTCTTCCAAGTAATGTTCTCAAAAGCAACTGGTGTGAAGAGTCCAAGAGCGGTGTTGAAAGCCCAGTTGGATGATGTAGCAAATGCGACACCTTTTCCTCGAAGGCGAAGAGGGAAGAGTTCAGGAGGGTAAGTCCATGAGGCTGGACCCCAGGTTGGTGCGTAAGATGCGACGAAGAGATAAGTGCAGGCGATAAGACCCTTTGCAGCACCTCCACCAACACTCATGGAGACTTGAGGAGAGTCACGCTCATCCTTGGGGATTTCAGTGCCATGGGCTGCTAGGATACCGGCGTTGGCGAACATCCATGTGCACATGAGAGTAGCGCCGATGAGGAATGTAGGGCGACGTCCCCATTTATCCATCCAGAGAAGAGCGGGGATAGTCATCAAGACGTTGATGATGTACTGGATAGATGAGGCGAGAAGGTTGGCGTTGCCCTTGTAGCCAGCCATTGAGAAGACGTAGGAGATGTAGTACACTAGCTATCTTTAGCATCAATTCGGTAAGAAAGAGAATAAGAACTTACTCATAACGTTCATGCCAGTAAGTTGAGACCAAATCTGAGTAAAAATGCCAATGACAGTCCTGTTGATCATGTTGGGCTTGAACAGATCAAGGTACGTAACATCAGCAATCGAAGCCTCAAAAGCACACATATCCTTGATATCCTGCAACTCAAGCGCAACAAAAGGATGATCAGGGTCTCCATGTCCATGAACAAGGGTAAGTACACCATGGCACTCATCCCACCGATCCTTCCTCGCAAGCCAACGAGGAGACTCAGGCAGCAACATCATCATGAAGAAGAGGAACACGGCAGGGATCATTTGAAGACCCCAGGGCACGCGGAATGCAGCGGTGGAGTAGTCGGATGAGTGACGGCCGCCGATCATGGCGCACCCGTAGGAGATGTAGTACATTATTAGGATGCCCCATGTAATGGCCCATTGCTGCATGCCGATGAAGCGGCCGCGTTTGGAGGGGGGTGATATTTCGGCGATGTAGACCGGGACTTGGGCGGATTCGATGCCGACTGCGAAACCGTTTATGATGCGGCCGACGACGAGCATGCCGATGTTTTGAGAAGCGCAGGAGATGATTGAGCCGATGATCCTATTCTTGTCAGAGCAGTGTACCCATACGCATGGAGTAACTTACCAGATGATGCAACCAACCATGATAGAATACTTCCTTCCAAGACGATCACTCAGAATGCCCGATACCAAAGCACCCAGCCACGAACCAGCAGCCATGCTCGCTGTTATACCACCCTGATTTAATGAGGTAGGTCCACTGCAATCCTCATCGTCATCAAAAGGCGGTCCCTTGGGTCCTTGGTTAAAGTAACACTTATAAGAATTCTCGCCCAACTGAGCAGAGATAGAAGAAATATCGAAGCCGAAGAGTGCACCGCCTACGACGGAGACACCGGCGATCACGTAGATGTTGCCGATAGGCATGTTGGTAGAAGTGTAGTTAAACCAGTCTGTAACTGTTGGAGTTGCAAGTTGGACGGTGCAGGTGGGAGGGGATGTGTTTTATATCTTCTCTTGTGATGGGTTACACTTGTTTGAGGTGATGGCCTCGGGTTAATGTGTCCCGTTAATGTGGACGCTGAAGAATTTTGTTTGTCCTACGGTTACATACATTTGAGCTCCTGATGTTGGAGATCCTTGCTGTTGGGAGTGGGAAGCTTCTCCACTGGGCACGGGGATAACGTTCTGGGGTTGATGGAGGTGGGTAGGGATGGGTAGAACATGGAATTGTTTGTGATATGACGTATTGTTGAATCCTTCGAGCTTTTGGGTGTCAGTCAATTACTGTGCTATCACCTAACGATCCATTGGTCATGGTCTCAATTCAAGCTCTTGGACTGTTTACAGCTTCAGTTGCTGAAGTACACTACTCAGATATGATGGATAAAGTCAAAGGCCCAACTCTATCCCCATATTCTCCTCTCCATACGAAAAACCTCATCCCCAAAGATCACCACTTTTCAGTGGATCTTCATCCGTGACGTTACATCTTTACCACCGAGCATTTGGCCGTCTGTTCACTCTCCTTTCGGCAATATGCTGCCGCGGAATATTAGTGGTGTCATGTCGATCATGTCACTTGAATCAAGAAAATGCCCGGGCAAGTTCGTAAGCATAAGCATAAAAAACGGGCTGATCATTTCGGATCCGAAAAAAAAGAAGAGAAAAAAATGGTATGTTTTCCCCAGATCTCCACTGTGGAAAATAGGTCCGAATACAAAGGCGATAAGCGCTGCAATGAGACCTGAGCGTTTGGGGGAGAATGGGACTGAGAGATGGAGTCACATGTTGGGTGTGTTTTGACAGGCGAGGGTTGGTGAAACCATGGGTCCTGTGATGGGATGAACTTGAGAATGGCATTATTTGGATTTTGGCTAAATTGAACCGAATGCTTTTTGCTGGTCTTTCTTATCCATGTTATTGTCTTGTGCTTTTGGAAGGGTCTGATGGTCATGTGGATTTAGTGGGCTGTCCGTACTGCTGGGAGCCCAATATCACATCACCAGTAATTGTCAGCAAGTCGTTGAACAGTCAATTCAGCCTCAGCTTTGTGGGTTATTCTGCAGCTCTGAATTGTAGAGGTTCAAAGTTCTTCCACTCCCGCGTCAATTGGCTTGCTCTACCTAGATGATCGTGAGCCGGCTCAGGCGCCTACACCTCTAAGACGCGCTGCGATCGCGTCGCGTTTCTTGAGTGAGACATGAGCTGAACTTGGGAATGAATGCGACTCGAGTTGTCATAGGTCGCCAACAATAAACGATAAAGCAGAATCTCGAGTGTATCTATTTCTAATAGATAGCTCTTGGTAATTAATAGCGATATAGTCAATAGCTCCAGGACAATTGCGCTTGGCGTGCCGTGCCGCATGTCGCGATTTGCCGGAGCTACTGAAACACATGCCGACGCTTCCTCTTTCGAGGATGGTGTTGATTGAGCTTCACCATCACAAATTGTCAACACATCTCACTACCACGCCACTATCAATCAGAGACATCAATCTATATCATAATCGCAAATTCTATCGGTATTAATCTCATAGACGAGTGCTCATCGCTCATCCTGTCATGCAATGCAATGCTTCAACTCCAAACTCCTCGTAAGTTTAAAATGCTCAATCCCACCCACGCTCATGCTCGCTATGCCCCAAACTCCTCAATCACACTCCTCCCCTCCACAAAATCATTATCAACACCCGTATACGGAATCTTCAACCCAAATCCCTCCGGTCCACCAACCTTCATTCCCTTATCCGTCTTCCACAGCGGGTGCGCCGGCAATGCAATGACATTAACGCGCAATCCGTACCTCAAATCCTGAGATCCAATGCCTTCACCGTCTTGACCGAGAATGGAGATTAGATCGGGGACCGTGCATACGACTTTTTGTGAGGCTTCTGAGCCGTCGGCGTCGCTGAGGGCCGCGTAGAGATATTCGTTTTGGAAGGGGATTACCATGTGGCGATCGCTGGGTACGTCTTGTTTGTGGGATTCGCGCTCGTCTTCGCTGAGGGGGGCGATTACGACGGAGCCCATTGTGTAGCCGCCGCCGATGTAGCGACGGACATCGACAATTTTGCCGGTGAAGAGAAGTTTTCCAGCGCAGACGTCAAACTAAACAATCAGCAAAGGCCAAATTGAATAGCAACGCTCAATTGAATAGTAATACTCAATTGAGCAGGGGGGAAACTTACAATTGCGTCAACGTAGCTGGTCTTTTTGCGACGTGCGTTGTGGACCGCGCGACCGAGATACCACGCTTGTGATACGGTGTTGGGAACGCCATGAGACTTAATGACTGAGCCGGGGAGGGGATTGGCGCAGACTGCGCAGCCAAGACCGAGTTCGATTACTGTTGTTCGGAGAAGACTCTCAAGACGGATTGGGTTATCGGTGCTCTGTTGTTGTTAGTGAATTGTGCATAGATTGATGGGTGGGTGAATTACCATGACTACGCTGGTGTTTCCGCGGGCGTCGGAGAGAACGCAGGGTGTAAGGGAGTGGCCGTACACACTGAACGTAGCTACAAAAGTTAGATAGAGTCAATTGAGTGAGTGTTGGGAAACGTACCGTGATACATGGTAGGATAAGCTCGGCCCATGGCATCGCCGTCAACGACGGGGACGTCGAAGTGAACAGCTGGCGGGAAAGCACTCATTCCATTTCCACCACCACTGTCTTTATTAGTAGTGTTCTCTCAAAGCACGGTGCTGAACTTACATCTCATCAATGTACATGCCATCAAAGGTCTTGTTTCCAACAACCTTGTTCACAGCATTGATACCTGTCACAATCTCATTCCCGCCCGCGATACGCTCATTAATAACACTCGGACTTCCATACCATGAGCCAAAGCAAATCATAGCATCGTCTCTGAGCGCTTTCGGTGAAATAACCCGTAATCTCCCCTTGGGATTATTTCGCAGCGCGTCTAGGCCCTTGAGATACTCGTGATGTGTAGGGCCTCCACCGCCTGTGCCGAGAACACCACATCCTGTCGCAATCATCTCTAGATCAACTTCAGAAAGATACCACGTTCCATTCTGTACATCGGGGCGATAGGCATCAAGGTCAACGTGGAGAGATGGCTTGTACGTTGGTGTAAGAGCATCAGGAACGCTGACCTTTTCACCCTCGTCGTCCTCTGTTTCCTGCACGCTTATCACAGGCGGTGAAGGCGGCGGCGTGAGTTCCTCAGGAATGGCAAGATGTCCAACCGCACGAACCTGCAACCGCATAGCACCGTTTGACATGTACTGAAGCGGTGTCTTTGTGATCTCCACGATCTTGACGTCGTTCTTCGCTGCGCCTTTGGAGACGGCCATGTCGATTGCTTTGGCGCACGCAGCGTCCACAATGACCTTTTCGGAGCGTCCCTCGGGGATTTCGACGATGTCGATCTCGCCGGATACTTTGGCGATTGCTGCGCCGACGGCGTTGGCGGCGCCTTGGTGGATGGGGACTATGCATTTGTCGACGCCCGTGAGATCTTCGGTGACGAGGAGGGCGCCTCCGCCGACGAGGAGGACGTGCACGGGAGCGGAGGATACTTTCATTTGCTCGACGACGCTCTCGAGCATTTTCTTCAACTCCTTGCGGCCGCTTTCGATGATGTCCGCGGGGACATCTTTGACGAGCTCGGTGTCTCCAAGCTTTGCTTTACCCAGCGCGACGACGATATCACTCGCCGTTAATGTCTTTCCACCGAAAACTTTGGCTTCCTGCTGGAGTAAGTGTCCAACGGATCCTGGACCAACAGTAACATTGTGTGTAGTAGGGTCGACTTGGACTTTACTTCCACCGCCGAGACCAATTGATACAACCTCCGGCATAGAGAACGCAGTGCGCACGCCACCAACCTCAACAAAACCCGGTGCCTGTCGTGGAAAACCCGATGGAAGAAGCGCGCAGACATCAGTAGTCGTCCCACCAATATCCACAACCAGAACCTGCGGCTCCTCATCATCCGCGACATTCTCACGCTTATGATCAAGTCCAGCAAGATACGCAGCTCCAGTCATACTATTCGTAGGACCGCTCGCAAAAGTCTTGATGGGAAACTCAGCAGCGGTGTCGGCATCAATAAGCGTGCCGTCGTTCTGTGATAGGAAGAGAGGGCATGTAAGTTGCAGCCGATGCATGGCGCGCTTGAAACCTTTCTTCACGCGGTGTCCTGTTCGCAGGATTGAGGCGTTGAGAATGGTGGCATTTTCTCGTTCTAGGAAACCTGTTGGGCCGATGTCGTGGGAGCATACGACTTGGAGGGATGGTGCTTCTTGAAGAAGAATTCTCCTGCATTCTTCTTCGTGTTTGCCGTCGTGGTCGAGGGGTGAGAATACGCCTACTAGAGCGATAACGTTGATACCCTTTGCGACGACATCACGCGCAGTCTGTCTAATCTGCTCATGATTCAACGGTTCAATTTCTCTCCCGTCAATCTCAAGTCCGCCATCGAGGTAATAAACTCCTCCGTCGAGGATACTCCTCAAGCCAACAGGAAAATCCGAAAACGGCGGTAATTGTCTAGTAAACGGCCCGCACAGCCTTACGACAGCAACGCGATCTAACCGCCGCGCATCAGCCTCCACAAGAGCGTTGATAAAGTGCGTTGTGCCGATAGTAACGCTGAGAACACCGCTCTGGTCAACACCTGAGTCGCGGAGGACAGCTCTTATGGCGGATTCGATGCCGCTTGTGATGTCTCTTGTGGTAGAGGCCTTGTGGGAGGCGAGGACGCCACGGCCAGGGGTTGATGTGGCAGCAGTTCGGATGTCGAGAATGGCCGCGTCCGTGTTGGTACCTCCGACGTCTACTCCAATTCGGTACAGGGACATGTTTGCGGTAGAGAAGTGTGCTGTTGGTTGGGAGGATGATACCCTGGAGGTGCCTGAAAGCATAATATTACGGTAGGGGGATAAGATATCACCAGATCTTTATAAGTGAAAGGTCATCCATAGTTCAAATTTACTGCATTATTATTTTTTTTGAACGACAGTAGATTAGTGAGTGGAAAATAACTCCTCTCCAATGTTTTCCTCACTGAGACTGGATCATGCGAGAGGGGGGCGAGACGGATGGAGCAAGTTGGCCGACGCCAGAGAGAAAAGAGGGGACATGGCAAAAACTTGGCCGAACAACAGCGGAACCTCTTCTCCTTTCAGCTTCGTATCTCCTTGAACTGCCGATCTTGTTATCATTGGACAGTTCACCTCTTGGCCGACGCCTCAATCCGGGGTACGTATCTCTTTCAGATCGCATTCCCGAATTCAAGTCTGTGGCTCAGCTCCTCACAAGATAAGGCTGAGGATTAAACTTTTTACTGTAGCAGATCAAATGCCAGTCACGTCAAAGAACTGAACCCCCCCGGCGGACCCTTATAGTTTCTGCTTCCCCTAAACTTCCCACAGTGACAGCAGCCCCCCCCTCAAGCTACTGCACACACTATCGATCCGGAGGCTTCGGGAAGACTATTAAAATCTGAAGCTATTCGCATTTGTTACCTCGAATTATGGCTGTTGCGAATCTTTTAAAGCGCATTGAACTACCGCGTGGTTCGCGCTTCATCGTATGCTTTTTCTAACCTCCTAAAACGCGTCACCCCCCCTAATTCTCTGCAGAATGAAGATGTCAGACCTGTTGGGACTGAGCGACGAACATGGACGTTTCTAACGTTCCACAACTTTTGTACGTTAACTTTCATTCGTGAATTTTGTTTTTTGCCGAGATGGGAGAGTAATCACACTGCATAAGCGCATCGCACCGCTAACCAACGTTTTATCTGACAGGGCTGTTGATCAACTGCAACATTGCGACGTATCTGACTGGCAGCGCGCTGATTCCCCTGGGTTTGACGTGGTGGCAGGCCATCATCGCCATTATCCTCGGAAACATTCTCGCGACTGCTGCGTTGATTCTTGCTTCGCTTGCTGGAGCTTATTACCACGGTACGTAACTCCACCGAAGGATTCGGATTGGGGATCAATTGGCTTACGATTGCAGTGGGCTTCCCTGTCTTTAGTCGAGCGGTATGGGGAATCTGGGGATCGCAGTTCGTCATCTGGAACCGCATCTTTCTCTCCCTCGGTAGGTTACTCTCCCCATCGTGTCGTGGGTTGTACTAACGTATCAAGTCTGGTATGGCTTCCAGTCTTGGGTCGGCGGGCAGTGCACGTATCTCATGCTTCTATCATGGGATCCTAACCTCGAGAAACACATCCCCAACACGATCCCCGCGTCGACCGGCATGACATCCGCCCAATTCGTCTCCTACTTCATCTTCTGCATCGTCACGCTTCCGTTCCTATGGATCCGACCGCACCGAATACAAAAATTCTTCTACTTTGCCAGCTCTGTAACCCTGGTCTTCTTCCTGGTTCTTCTGATCTGGGCGCTGGCTACGATGGGATCGGATGGCTTTGGCGATACCCTCGCTGATAGTACACCTCTTCCGGTTACTGGTGGTTCGCAGAGTGTTACGTGGCTTACGATTTCGGGAATTATGTCGACGATTGGTGGTATTGCGGCGGGTATTCTTAACCAGAATGATTATGCGCGTCTTTCGAAGAAGCCTGGGGATGCTATTTGGGGCCAGACCGTTGCGTTTCCGCTTTACAGTATTGGGGCTTCGGTCATTGGTATTCTCGTCACTGCTGCGACACAGAAGCGAATGGGCGAGGCTATCTGGAATCCTCCTACTCTCCTCGCTGCTCTCCTGGCCAAGGATCCAACCGCAGGTACTCGCGCTGCTATCTTCTTCGCTGGTCTTGCCCTGTCCATTTCTCAGCTCGGCAGCAATCTTCCCGGCAATGCCCTCGCAGGTGGTATCGATCTTGCTTCCGTGTTCCCCAAGTACATCAACATTCGACGAGGTGCTTATCTCATGGCCCTTCTGAGCCCCATCGTCAACCCGTGGCGTCTCGTCAACACTGCTACGGTCTTCCTCACTGTCCTCTCGGGATACAGTGTCTTCTTGGCGCCCATGACTGGTCTCATGGTGGCTCACTATAACCTGGTGGCAAAGGCCAAGGTCAATGTTGACGATCTTTTTGTGGGTAACAGGGACAGCATTTACTGGTACAACTTTGGCATCAATTGGCGTGCTTTCGCAGCGGTAAGTTCCACCATTTTTTGTTTATCGCACGAAAGAAATTACTAATTTAACTTCAGTGGATTGTTGGTGTCGCGCCTACAATGCCGGGCTTTATCGCTGCCGTCAATGCAAATGCTAAAGTCTCCGACGGCGCAAAGAACCTCTACCAGCTCAACTACCTCTTTGGCTTCGTTGTTAGTGCTGCTGTTTACTACGGACTTCACATTATTGTCCCTGATAAGAAGTTTGACGCTTTCATCAAGGATGGTACAACTGCCAAGGAAGTCCAAGCTGTTTATGATGAGCGTTGGGATATGACTTACTCCGAGAGCGAGCCTGGGACTACTGAGGAGCACTCTTTTGAGCGAAACAAGGGACCTAACTCCCTGACTACGTCTGTTTAATCACGAGATTCATGTTGGCGATGTTTCTTTTCAAGATTGCAAGCCTGTTATCTGTTACTCTACCCATACTGAGACCTTTTAATTATTTTCAACATACCAAACATAGCGTGGATTCTGGATAAAATTTATCACTTTATCTTCTGATTTTGGCAACGTTACCTCGGTAGACCCTGATTGAGATCTTCAAACCCTCCACTTGTTTAATTGTTCCATCTTGAAATCGCGTCATGGCAGGCTAAAACGCGAACATCTACTGAAGCTACGGCACTTGACACGCTCTTCTTTAGCTCCCGTGCCCTCTGTAATTTCACACTAATCTCTCTTGCCGAGACACTAGTACGTAAGTAGCATATCCGACATCGCGCCCCCTAAAAACAACTCACTCGGCCAACTCCGTCTTCTACACCCAAAGCCTCCCCTGTCGGCCAACTTATCTTTCCCGGTGCCCCCCCTCCATCACGCGATTTTTCGCCGACATCTCTTCGCCTCTTTCCCTCTCCCTTCTTTCGCTCCCCCAGCCTGGCTCTTACACTTTCTCCCTCAATCGCGTGGAGCGCAACGGGTACCTGGCCCGCCTCCTCCGAAAGCATCATACCAAGATCAGATGGATCACTCTCAGGCTACCGATCGGGAACGGGCAACTTCTTCCTCGTCTACTGCTACGCCCCGCAAGTTCAGCATTCGCAGTAACTTTGGTAAAGCCCGTCAGCCAAGGAGCCGCAAGAACAGACCCTGTGACGCCTGTCGTCGCCGGAAGACTGCTTGTGTCATCACCTCTGAACCCCCTTGTGAGGCGTCCCCCCCCCCCCCCCCCCCCTCCCCCCCGATTCCCACGCACTACCACCTACCAGTCCAGTGGCTCACACAAAACTCCACTTGACACTTCCGCTAGTCAATCTGTGAATTGCTTATACTGACCGTTGCATCAATCCGTAATACAGGCCTTTTCTGTAAAAGCAGAGGGTTGGTATGCCAGTCAGTCTCCGATACTGACCCTCTAGCCCCCCGGCCTCCATCCGGCTCTGGGCCTGAGTCTTCCAGAAGTCACGATGCACTAAGCCCGGCGTCTGCATCTGCTTCCGTATCTGCATCTGGCGCGTCGGCCATCTCACCGTCAGCGCCATCTGAAGCTACTCGGCACAGATCCGAGTCCGCAGCCGTTGTACACAACGGTCTCGTGCGCCATCCCGCGCCAGTTCCTGGAGAAGACCCTCCGGACAGGAGTATCAGCCTAGATCCACCGCGCCTAGAGCCTAATCAAGAAGCCGTCTACGCTCTTGAGGATGTACCAGGCCGTACAGCGCACGCTATGGCGTTAGGCTCAGAGCAGGACCCTTACTTCCTCGACGCCTTTCGATCCGTGCTTCTCAGTGAGCGAGAGGGCATTGACGCCAACTTTGTGCAGGTCTACCATGGCGGGCCTGATGTGGATGATTACCCGATGCACTTCCTGCTGCTGCTTGATGAGTTCCCCGATCACAAGAATGAGGCTAGGCAGGTGGCTTCCGATGCGATAGAGCGTATCGTCTGGCCCCACGGCCCGGCCCTCGTCCGTCTTTATTTCCGGCACGTTCACGTAGGATTCCCCGTCATTCACAAGACTCGCTTCCTTCGGCAATACGCGACTGCCAAGCTTGACATACCCTCGTCGCTACGGGGCGCCGTTTACGCCTTGGCGTGTGTGTTCTGGAAACAAGATGCAACGCTTGCGAGAATACCATGCCCATTCCAGCAGCATGAACTCACTAACAATGCCCAAGAAGCGTTGAGACGAGAACTCGATGCGCCTAATCTCTCGAGACTCATGTCAGCACTGCTGCTAATGCATATGATACCACCAGAGATTGACAGCGTTGAGACACCGTATGTCTGGGTAATGGCCTGTCAAGCCACAGCGACAGCGCAAATGCTCGGTCTTCACCAAGACCCTGACAAGTGGAACATAGCACCCTGGGAGAAGAGGTTGCGAAAGAAGCTCTGGTGGGCGGTCTTTTACACAGATTGCTGGTCAGCTGTAAGCCACGGTAATCCCCCGCATGTAAGCTACGAGTCCTTCACGACTCCACCCCCGGACATGGATGATCTGCGGTCTGGCGAGGATATCCCTGACGATCTTCGCTATATGATCGATCCTGAGGATGCCACGTTCCGCGTGTCTGACGGTGCACGCTTCCTCGAAATGATCACTGTGTCTCGGGAGATGCGTGCCATCCTTGACTGCAGCTAGTAAGGAACCTAACCATCGGCGTATTAAAGGTCAATGACTTACATGATGTAGTGGTGTACGATCAACTCAACAGACGCGTACTCAACTGATACCTATCCGAGACACGCTCAAGGAGTGGCCTAGCCTCATCCCGAGCTGTTTGGCCGTGAGGCCCTACGCCCACAATGGTATGTAATATGCATCTTCAGAATTCGCCGATCTCTAACACGAACTAGGACCCCTTCACATTTCCTTCTTCGCTACGCAGGTGTTGCTCTTCCGGGGTCTGATGTTTCCAGCCACAAGAGCCGCAAAGGTCACACCGGGATCTAATCTTCAGCGATGGCTCTCCACCGCACTAGCAGAGTTCGAGCTCTTCACGACATTCATGGCGTACATCACCGAAGAGGAACTAACGAGCTTCTGGGGAAGATGTAAGTTTGCCGATCAACACGGCACTCTGAAACATTCGCTAATGCAATACAGTTGCCCGAACGCAACTTATCTTGTGCGGAAACTTTCTGATCTATCTCTTCTTGCTGGCGAGTGATCCACGAGATATCGAAGCTGCTTATCGGTTGCTGGAGAAGTTTCATCAGTCACTGCAGAGACTTGGTGATACGGAGGATGTAGCTGCAAAGGTTTTCTTGCGACCTGTTATTCTACGGATTGATTCGTTCTTCATGCAAGCTACCGAGTTGATCAAGCATGGAAGAACGGTTGTTCTAGAACCACCTATCATGACAGTACCAAGGGGTGAGTCTTAAAAAGCTTGGAGTGTATAATTGGATTTTAAACTGTAGTCTTTTCTATCATGATGAATAATGACCAACTGAACCATAAATTACCCTCTTTCCCGATGTTACATCATGATGATTTCGACAAGGATACACGACGATCTCATTAACAGTCATAGTGGCTTTCAATAAAACTCGGCGAAATTTCCATGGTTTCTCAAACTATCGAAATTTCATGCAAGCCCGTGGCATAGAAGCTGCACCATCGGCCAACGGTGCATCATGCAGAAAATATTGGTGGCTGATGTCCGATCGGCGAGTCGGGGATGGCTAGCCTCGGCACTACTCCACCTTTAGCGTTCGCCGATGCTATGGACTAGGATCTTGTGATATGTCTTTTCGTTTCGAGTTGTATGCGTGTGTGATGATGAAGTTCCCCGAATATCTTACATCAGATTGTCACTTTGCATGCGAGGTTGGAAAGTGAAATACCGACGTGTGATGGTCCGGTTGTGCGGGGTTGGGAATTGGTGATATCCTCGGCTTACCGACTTTGCAGCGGGAGTTGAACTGATACGACATGATCCTTGTATTGAAGAGCAAGACTGATCTGATTATACGGTACTGGGTACAGGGAATGAATGATACACGTAATCAAGCCTTCAACCACTTCAATACCTCAGTTGTGAACTGTTCAAAACCATCTACAAACGAAACATGGCCGGCATTCTTGATAATCACCAAATCAATCTTGTTGCTCTTACCGGCCGCTTCGAACCCTTCTTGGATCTTATCTCTCATCTCCTTCATAGTCTCCGGTAGATTCGCGTCCTTCTCGCCAACGATACAAATCGCATCATCAACACTCGAACCAATCTTAGCAAACCTCGGTCGAAGATCAAAAGTCTCGCTTCTCAGTGCGTTACAGCATGCTTCGAAACCATCGATCGTAGTTCCAGACATGACAGTTCGCATACGCTGTGTTTCCTGAGGGTTGCTCTCGAGCCATTCTTTGCCGAACCATCGTTCTAGAGTGCTTTGGATGGTAGAGTCGAGAGTACCTGCTTCTCGGGCGGCTGCGACGCGAGAACCAAATGTATCTTCTGTGCCGGCGTTGATGGGCGATGAAGAGATGGTGTCGCAGATGGCGAGTTTGCTTACGATATTGGGATACTTGGTGGTGAAGTAGACACCTGCTGATGCACCCATCGAGACTCCGATCCATGAGTAGACCTTGTTGATCTCCAGCTTCTTGAGAAGATGATGGACATCTTCAGCCATGGAATCAAACGTAGGGCTCAGGTCTTTCGGTGCTGATGAACCACCGTGACCGGGTTGATCATATCGTAGAGTGCGATAACCATTGTTGTTGAGGGCCTTGACGACGTGATCCCATACCGAAAGAGGTGCAGTGAGGGAGTTCGATAAAATGATGAGGGGTCCTTCTTTTGGTGAGGTGTCCAAAGCGTAGGCCAAGGTTCTGGAATCCGGGAGTGTCAAAGAGCTAGCCATCCTGAATTGATTCCTCGCGATAAGATAATGTTTAGGGTAGATGAACGACGGATTGATAAGACGACGAAACATGTCAAATGCCTAACGTTATACTGACAGAGATGTTGTCATGTTGGTTGAACACTGAGGCGTAGGGTAGCCCAGCGGTCTTTAGTTTCTCCATTCCCAAACTCACAAGGTAGCATTCCATTAGCGGCTTATTCCCACGCCATCTACGTATTCCATCGGAAGCATGCTTCCGTCCCGCGGGAAAAGGAACCCCAGATCCGGGAAGCATCGATTCGATGAGTCCTTTTCCTCTGTATAACCATGTCTGAATCTGCAAATGCGAAGCGTCGTCTGCGGCGTATCCCTGACGAATCCCGTAAGAGGAATGCTCAAAGTTGTGATCGTTGTCGAAAGGTGAGTGTATTTGCTGTAAAGACACTGTAATTGGGGTGTTGACTGGTGTAGAGGAGGTGCAAATGTGTACCTGATCCTTCGGGCGCAGGCTGTGTGAATTGTCTTGAACATAACGCCACTTGCTCGTATACAGCGCCACGAAAGACGCGGTTTTATGGGAGTGTTGATGATTTGAGTGATAGGTCTGTCTCACTTGTGTGCAGCTTGTGTAACACTGCTGACATCATTAGGTATCGATGTCTCGAAGCAATTGTCAGAGGCGCTTTTCCGAATGAAACTCTTGATCATGTTAGTGATCTTGCACGACTGGGTCAGAAGATGGGGTATAAAATGCCTGATATTTCTGATCCTAATAGAACACACATGAGAGTTGAGGATCTGGTGCAGAATCTTTCTAGTAAAGAACGGACTCCGTCGACAGGCCCGGATATCATCACAGCTGATTCGAGGGCTGATGTATCGCCGAGGAGTTCAAAGTCTCATAGTGAGGAGCCGCAATCTTCGCTTGTTAAAGATAACTCTGGTCATGAGCATTACATCGGACCTTCAGGGACTTTGAACTTCTGGAATCAACTTCGTAATCTTGTTGATTCTAATAATAGCCCGCATCCATCCCCTGGACGCGAAGGAGCTACCAAATTCACACAGGATAATACTAGTCGACTTTTAGAGGCTGATGGGCAAGACGAAGATGATCAACAACCACGCAGTGAAGCAACACCTCAAGATGGACCATCACCTGGAGCCATTACCTCCGCCATTGCGCGCGACTTCACACGTCTTCCAACAGCAGACATGGATGAAATCCTCGGTCAATTTCCTTCAAACGAAGTCCTCGAGTTACTCATCCAATCATACTTCAAGAACGTCCACGATGACTTTCCTCTCTTTCACAGAGCTACCTTTGAGGAAGAATACGAAAGCTTCATCGTCGAAGCGCGCCGTAATTCACGTCTTCCTTCGACACCACTTCGACTACCCGATTGGGGATGGATAGGCTGTCTTCATATGATTGTGGTATTTGGGTCTATCGCTGATAGGTCAATACCCAACGTTGATCATTCTGCCCTACGACGAAGATCTATTGCAGTTGCTAGAGGTCTACTCCCCCAGTTCATCTCAAAGTGCTCACTTACGAATGTCCGAGTTCTACTGCTTCTTTCACTGTTTTTGCACAACAACAATGAAAGAAATGCTGCGTGGAACATTGCCGGAACAGCGACTCGAATATCCTTCGCCCTCGGTCTTCATCGATCAGACATGAGTTCCTCCTTCAGACCTCTAGAGAGAGAAGTTCGAAAATGGGTCTTCTGCACACTTTACTCCTTTGAGCAATTCCTCGCTTCAAGCCTCGGTAGACCTAGTGGCCTTCAAGAACTCGACGTCGAAGTCGTCCCACCGCGCGAAGGCTTTGTAGAAGGAGGTATAGGAACCGATGCCAGGCTTGTGTCGTGGTCCGTCAAATTTCAAGCTATCCTGGCGCGAACACGTCTTCTGCACGTTGGAATAAATCGAAGTTCAGGACCGACGTTGGATGAGATCATGACTGCGCTGAATGGTTGGAAGAGAGATATTGGAAAAGCACCTGGACTCGATGTTTCGTGGATTAAAATGGAAGGGCCAGCTCTGGAGTCTATTGATCATGAAAGAGCTGTGGATATGGAAGAACTCAAAGTATCATTGGCGTGGAAGACGCGTGCTCAACTTCGTGCCGTGTTACTTTTGCATATTCACTTTCATTACATCGCCATCGTGGCTACACGTCCACTTCTCCTTCGCGACGTCGCAGCAGCTCGGAAAGAAGACGCACCAAAAACTCCGGTGCCTACGCATGCAGCTCTATGTGTCAAGCATGCGTGTCAACTGAGTTATCTGATGATACTCCTGGATCACTTTGATGTTATCAACGGTCTTTCTGGTCTTGATATCTTTTACGCTTACTGCTCTGCTATGATTCTCATACTGCGGTTATTACGGTTGCGCCCTGGAGAGGGTGCAGAAAGTATTGGACCAGATGAAGTAATGCTGCAGAACAAAGTCCGACGTCTAGTCGCAACATTACGAAATGTCATCAACCATACGGATAAATGCGGTTCAATGAAGAGATTAGCTCAAGTAGTCGACACCTTCTCAGAGTGCGCCAATAATCCAACTGATCCTCCGGGAATATCGAATCTACCTCCGCAGGGGATCAACATGAACAATCCGCCGTATCCAGCTGGTTGGTCAGCTGAACAAGTACAAGCGCAGCAGGGTCAAGGGATAGCACTTGGGTCGATGGAGGGACTCTTGGACTTTTTGCCGTTTCCGGGGTTTGGAATGGCTGAAGGATCTATGGCGCAGTATGTGCCGGGGAGTGAGATGGAGATGACGGGATGGCATGATATGGAGTTTTTGATGGAGGGGTATGGGGATCAGAGCAGGACAAATTGTTAGACAACTGTATGATGACTATAGCATGTGTAATGAAAGATGAAAGGATTTGAATCGTTACCGGGGGAATTGTCAAAATATGTGCTGAATCTGTCGATGTCGGGTGAAGTCAGCTTTAAGATGGGCCCTTGAAGCTTACGGGATGTGTTCTCCAACTTAGGAGGGTATTGAAAGAGGTCAGGTCGTAACTCTGACAACAAAGAACAAAGACTCCTACCTCGAAGACGGAATAAGGTGACAAACCTTACGTGCGAAAGGGTCGGTACTTTGAACTTGGAAGAGACGGGATTCCGTTCCACCTTTGCAGACATGGCTGTAGGTAGCTTAGGTAGTCGTCTAATTGGACACAGCAACTGAACGCAGACAAAGGTAGCCCAGAGTTCAGCTTGTGGGGTATGTAAGCCGAAGGAACGGGCCTTCGGAGGATTATTCCCGGAGGATCGAGGAGATATGCAGCATAGACTGGTTTAGGTAGGTAAGTAACGCATGGAACCTCCGATATTACCTCAATCGTCAAGTAGGAATTGCTTATTATGGAAGAGCCTATCGGGTTTTAGTTTCTCAACACCAACTAACCCTCGGGTCATATGTTCTGACACTAAACTCGGACGAAGGATTCGCATGCTATAGCTGAAGCAATCAGGATCAGAGCTCATTTAACCGAGTGGTAGGATTACTGTATGACCCCTCTATGGAACTCCATTCATCAAGACATATATTCCCGGCCAAGTCCAGCAGTAAGTCAAGTTGCAGTCAAGATAACCACACTCAATCAGCTAGTGACACAGCGCAAAATGACCAAAGCAATCACAGTATTGATGACCCTCCTGTGTACCGCATTCGCCCAGATCGACAGAACCTGTATCGACATTGCCTTCAACTCTGAAACAAACACGTTATCGGGTAAATGCCAGCCTCGTGATAACTCAGGCTACATCCCGTCCGAGTTGGACCTCAATGACTGTTTCGGGTACGATGGCACCAACATTACAGTAAGTCGTCTTCGTGAAAGTAGTCCGATTCATACAAGCTGAGCAGTTTGTTAGCCAACCTACCATGGAAACTTTGCTGAAAGCTGTCACGGATGCGAGATGTTTGTAGCGCCTGATCCGTGGTATGGTGGTGCAGAGTACTGGATCAGGTGCACTTGTAAGGGGCAGAGTGGAAAGGTCGCTGTTCCTCTTGGTAAGTTAATTCTACGGATGAGTGTAGCGTGAGAAGGTGACTGATTGAATACAATAGAAGCCGCTGTTGCACATGAGTATGTGTCTAATAAGGACGGCCACTTGCTTTGTTGATTGAACGGTCTGAAGGAAGACACATGAATTAGTGCCAGAGAAGGGACCAAGACCGAGTGCTTATTGAACTAGTCCAATTGAGATAAGGAAATTGGGCATGGCTGACGGCCCGATTGTTTGTTCCCAAATTACATTAACCAGATGGCCTGTCTCCAGATCTGAGTTGTCTTAGCAAAGTCAATGCACCCCTTGCGTAGAGCCTCATGTTCTTTGAAACTTGTATTCGCAGGGTAGAGGCTTTCTTCCTGACTTGAAATGTCTTCTTTGTAGTGTTTGTCGTCGTTGAGTACACAGTTCCTTTTGCGACGAGAAGAACAACAGAACACGAAGGAGCTCTCTGGTCTGTGGCTATAATTATCCCCTGCTGCGTTCAGTACCATGGACATGTCTTTGTATTTATAACAGGCGTAATTTCGAAATTCCTGCTTTCTTGCGGGGTGGCTGTGGAGCCTCCAACAAAGAAGACAAAGCCATTGCGAGTGCATTTCTCTTTACATGTATGAAACATGAGTTTTGAAAGTAAGGAAGAAGCCGTTACGGTATCGCCGTTAAAGTATGAAGGATTTCTTGTTCGGCTAGACTCGCATATGGCCAATGTATAAGAAGCTGTCTATTTGACTCCAAGATTTGAGACTCATCACTATCAATCACACATTCAAATAACAACATACACATAACAAAAACTAACAATACAGCAATTACAACCAACACAACAAAGACACACAACATGTCCTCTGATCACGAAATCAACCAAATCAGCAGCTCATTGTCATCCGCTACGATGACGCCCCAAAAGTCTCAACAGGCGACGCTAGATCTTCTCCCTGTTGAAGTCCTTCCTACAGATTTCAGGTGAGCCTGGAAAAGACGAAAAGACTTTCTCAGCTCGGGAGTTCAAGGGCTTATGCTTACTCAGCCCTTATCTCAGCAAACTCTACCTACGTTTTCACTATTTCGGGAATAATAATGGCGCTTTCCGGGACGCACTCAGAAACGCTGATATCAAGGTAATGGAACGATGTGCCCAGCTTGGAGCTGCACCTGATACGAGATGGGAGCTACCTGAAGCCGACGGCTGTCGGTGCCTGTCTGAGCGTCGGCATACCCACCACAGGCCTATCGACGAGCTATTGGAGAGCGTCTACTTGGGCGAAGCCCCAATTGACAAGAGCGTCGACGCTTTGAAGTGGCTTCTGGGAAGGAAGTTTGACATGACAGAGCAGAGAGATCAGCCCTGGTACGACGCAAACGACTATTGCGATCATGTCCCTGAATTTCTTATCACTATCTTGAACAAGAGCCCTGATCGTGTCCGCACAGAAGGCATATGCCAGATGATCAAATTGCTGCACAGCTATGATTACTCGCTCCCTTTCCACATGAACTTTGCGTCCTATTTGGGTCGAGACTGGGAAGATATTGGACTTCCAGGTCCTCTCTCAGGGCCTCTAGACGTGGCTCTACGCTCTCATTGTCCACCTTACCTTCTTGAGCTTGCCCTTCGAGATTATATGCGCCGCCTCGTAGAATTCGGCGTTGCTTATCTGGGGGGCTCTCCTCTCATGCAAAGGTGGGCAGGAAAACATCGCTTCGCGGAACCTATCGGATTCTTCGGACGACAAACAGTGAAAACAGTTGACCAGCCGTGGTGGAAACTCACCAATATACTGAACACAATCTGGGGACTGTTCCTGGATCTGATGGATAACTCTACGATCTGGGCGGAAGAGTATCGCAGTGAAGCTGCAGACGTGTTGGAGCAGAAGATCGAGGTTCTTATCAAGTATCAAGTGCTCAACCAGCTTGAAGAGACCATGCTAAGAGGCATCGTGGAGTCTATGCGATCCATGACTACTCCTACAAAGGCTAGCAACTTTGGCGTAGTCGATGATGGGGATTCTCTGTGCTGCTGGGAAACGCTATACAGTGCGATCCTCCCTTTCAAGACTATTGAAGAACATTGGATTTTGGACGACTGGGATCTCATTGATCCAACCATTTCCTGTTGTCTTCCTCATGAATGCCATCGTTTCAACATTGACCCCGACTGCAATGTTTACAAGATGTATCACGACTATCAGATGCAGAACGACCAGATTAGGCCGACGTTGAACCGTCCGTGGGGTAGCGAGGGGGTTGTAAAGAGAGAGGATGGAAAGTGGGTACATCGCGAACGGAGTCGTTTGTTTCATAGCAACGATTATACAGGTCTAGGAATGGTAGGAATGGTAGGGGGAGACTTTTCGAGATTACCAAGCTGGACTGAGGGCTGCAGCTACGCGGATATTGAGAAGGCTGTATGTGAGCGGTGGGCAGATGTTGATGCCAAGAAGCGCGCCGCTCATGGCCTTTAGGTGAGAGGGAAGCAGGATTCTCAGTTAAAAGTATGGGGTGTACTTGGAAGTTTTATTGATCCAGGTAGGTACGTTTTTGATTACTCAATAATAAAGTTTCTTTTGTTTCAGCCAAGGCATACTTGATGTGATGGCGATCGAGGCATTGCTGTAACATATTTCCACTTTGATTGTAATTTGATTTGTGTAACCAGCCCTGCAGGCTGTGTCTGTCGATTGATTGGCTCGTATTTGATCACCAACATGGTGGCTTGCCAAGTCCCAATGCAGTACTGACGTGGCATGAAAGCCTCGCCACTGGGCATCTATGATCCGACAGTGACTGGATAATATATTCCATGACATTTCACTTGAGTTTATATGAGCAATCTCAACTCCGACTTCATCAACGACTTAAATTAAGCTTCCTAAGACGTTTTTTTCTTCTTCTTTCAGCCTGTCATGGGCAAGTCAGACTCGAATAATCTCCATATCGCCATAGTGGCGCCTTTGCCAGAAGACTACGAGACAGCCAAAGCCTTGTTGGACGAACCCGAGCCTGAATATCATCTGTCACACTCGGGAGCTGCATGCTCTCGTGGCAAAGTTGGCCCTCACAATGTCGTCCTGGTCGGAAAAGCTGAGGACATGCTCAATGTTTCTACTTTTGTCAAAGACACAGTCGACGATGTACTCGAAGCCTTCCCATCTATTCGAACGGGCTTTTTGATTGGAATCGATGGTACAGCACCTGAGGAGAGCCTTGCAAAACCAGGCGATATCGTCGTGGGATTTCCGCAAGGCTTTCAACCTGGGCTAGTTCAGTTCGATGTAGATGAGACAACTATCTCTAATCGCATCTCAACGACTTTTGAAATGAGCCATCCACCCTCTTGTATCAAGTCCGTCTTCAATACCATCCAATCCCCGGAGGGTCGTCGGCACTGGGGCGAATATCTGCAACATCAATCATCTCGAGCAGAGCTTGCCTCCACAAAGGACTGCCAGCCGCTTAAACAAGATCCCAGTAAACCAAACAAAATCTTACGGGGCATAGTAGCATCGTCTGCTCGTCTCTTATCTGATCGTGATTTGACCAACAAGGTCGGAAGCGACAGCAAGATCATGTGTTTCGAACGAGCAGCTGCCAGTATCAAATCAAGACTTCCATTCTTGACTGTCTGCGGCACAGTTAGTTCTGCAAGTTCAAGTTCTCCAAAATTGGATGAATCTGCGGCACGTCAAATCAGAATGGCCACAGTCATATATGCCATGTTTGTCTCGCATCGAATCAGTGCTGTCCAACTCAAAGAAGAACATGCCTTTACAGCTCTATTTCAATACGATCGATTTGATCTGGACCGTCCTGGATTTCGACTGGTACGCCTTGAAAAAGGCGTTCAATCTCAATTGAAGTGCCATCTTGTCCAAGCGTACCTCGACAAGGAACTCATCTTCACTTATGAAGCACTGTCTTATTCGTGGGGAAGCCAGGATACACCTCACGAGATCATAATAGATGGAAAGCATTTATCAATAACAGAAAGCTTACATGAGGCTCTTTGCAGCTTGAGAAACCCCACTAAGGACCGAATGCTTTGGGTCGATGCTCTTTGCATTGACCAGAGTAATATCAAGGAACGTGGCCACCAAGTCGATTGCATGGGAGAGATCTACAAGAAATCGGACAATGTAATCATCTGGCTTGGCTATGTAAGTGGAGCCGGCGCTGTCATGTTAAAATTCGCCATCGACATCTTCAAAGACGAACTGCCCTTGCACGCTTTTCGGAAGTGGTCACGTCAGGATACCCGTTGGCAACACCAATGGAAACAAAGTGAAGCGAGCGTCGGACTATCTTCCCATGACTCAGTCGATGGCCTCCGAAGCTTCATGGGAAAGCCCTGGTTCTCAAGAGTCTGGATCTTACAGGAAGTGGCCAACGCAAAATGCGCCACCGTGGAGTGCAATCTAGGGAGTATCCCTGCCAAGATATTCGCCCTCTTACCACATGCTATGAACTTTGAGGTCGGCGAACAGTGTCAAGCTGTCCTGGACATCATGCCAAGTCCCCTTAAAGGCTCATCCTGGTGGGACCAAAATCGAAACCTCTGCAACTTAATGTGGAAGTTCAAAGGGTGTCAAGCCACGGACCCGAGAGACAGGGTTTACGCACTCCTCGGGATGGCGTCCGATCTCAAAGACACTGGAATGAGGGCTGATTACGCTAAGGATGAGCGAGCGGTGATACAAGATTTTTGTGGTTATCTGTTAGGCGACGTGTGCCCTGCTTACGATTCGCTGGCAACAGATATTAGAGACCTGCAAGCACAACTGCCTGCCATATCTATGCAACAACTCCAACAGAAGCTTCAGGGGAAACCGACAAACAACTCACTGAGGGCATATCTGGGACGGCAGGGCTTGATAGCAATGATAGACGACCAGCATTTCGTGGATATCATGCAACATGGAAGCCGGATCATGAGTCTATTCCTGGACAAGAGTGTATCACCCGTTTGTATCACTTCAGACACTGCACTTCAGTCTCTACAGAGATACCCGGATGTCCTTGAGATCCTTCGGAAGAGGCCAGATTTCATAATTGAGCCTTTGGCAGAGTTCGTCGCTCGAGCCGTGCAACATGATGCAGAAGTCATGGGACAAATCCTTGGATCATCCTCGGACCCAGAACAGCTAAGGGTTGATGCCTTGATGGAAGCAATCTCAATCGGGCTGACTTCATGTCAAACTTTCCTCGAATACTGCCATCCCCCTGCCAAGATAACGGCAAAGCTACTGAGGAAAGCTATGTTTTGCCATCGAGACGTGCTGCGGCATCTTCTTAGTGTAGCTCGATCTCCAGTTCAGCTTCTCGAAAACATTTACCTCGATGCGAACACCGAACACCCCAAAGGAATCAGGATCATCGATGAACACAGCCGACCCGTCATGATGACAAAAGAACTGATTGGCAAGGGCATAGAGACTGGCGAAGAAGTTCTTGAGCTTTTTCTGGAAGAAATGGGGTGCTCAATTGAACTAGAAGAGGATCTCTTCCTTAAAGGGATTGCGAACGGCTTGGGAACCCTCGAATGCCTGACTGAAGAGTGTATAAATCCTTTCAATATAACCCGAAAGGTATATCGAGAGGCAACCAGAGCGGGGATGAAGACACTAGATCTCCTCTTTCCCAGTTCCCCCACCGAATCAGAAATGACGGAAACTCGTGTTCTGGCGTTTTAGAAGTAGTACGACTATACCATTGTTTGGGGCAGAAAATTAACTGGGAGTACGTTTTTCTTCGAAAGGACGACACAGAGGAAAAATTGCAGATCACAGACAATTTGATCTTCAATACTATTGGTGAGGATTGCAATGAAACTTTGAGACGCATGCAATATGCAGAGCAACGCGTTCCTGAGGATGCAGCTATAAGAGCAATCGAAAGTGGTCCAGAAGCTTTTACTACGCTGCTCAACCGACCAGGTTTAAACTTTAGAGTCACAGAGCAGATTCGTCAAGTAGCTAGTGAACACATGTATGCTTTTGAGGTATTGAGAGTGAAACGCCAGAGCGAAGTATTCCCAGGCTCAAATATCAAGCCGGACCACTACTCCGTCAGGTTGATGGAGAGGAAATTGAAAGCGGCCTGCGGGTGGGACTATGATATAACAAAAATCAGGCTCAGTGAAATTTTCAACTAGATATAGACTTATAGTGACAAATGGTTTCATCTCCCTCCCCAGCCTGATAACTCCTTGTGACACGCATCCCATCCGCTGAAGTACGGCGATCTAGCCTCACCACCAACCTCAGACCCAGCAGATCTCGCAAGGTATTCCAAGACCATATTCCCCCAAAGCCAACTCGCCGCTCCCATCCCAGGATGCAAACCATCCTGGTACAAACTCCCAAGAAGATGTATCAACTTAGCCCACTCAAACATCTCATGACCAGCCTGTTCTGCCACAGCTCTCCCCAAACGATCCATCTCCATCATTATAGCATCGCCCATTCCACTCTCCCTATGAACCGTCAAGGCCCTAAACATAATAGGAACATCTTCCCCAAACTCATCATTAAGCCGCTTGGCGATCTTCTTTATACGTGCTGTAACGAAACGGACTTCCTCCCAAGCCATCTGCCTATTTTTCAAGGTCATAGGCTTATCACCCTCATTATGCATCGCTGCACCACCCTCCCAGAAAGCGCGCTGATCCCAAAGTCCGTTCTGCCAGAGAATTAAGTCTGGATGACCGGAGGGACCTTGGATAGGTGCTTCGTGGGGTTTCCAGAATATGTTCCAGCGTTCTTCCCAGGCGACGTTCTTGAGGTTTTCGATCCACCACCAGTCTGGGCGGTAGGTGAATGATCCGACGGAGTGGAGGTAGACGAGGGTGAGATTGAAGGCGGGGACTTCGCAGATGCCTTTGGCTTGTCGGCCTGATTTGTCCTGGATGGGGAGATACATCTTGCTGTCGAATTCTTCGCAGAAGAATTGTGTCATGTAGCGATCGACAGAGTCTCCGAACATGACTACACGACGGCCCCATAGCCAGCCGAGACCATTATCATGTTTCATATTAACGAAATCGCTGACTGTTTTGTTCCTCGTCGACGGGACATTAGTTTCTGCTGCTTTGCGTCGGCGTCGATTCTCAACGACAGCCATGCGCATCCATTGTTGAGGATTCCCAGCGGCGTTGAGATACTCTGGTTCAACAGCAGTGTCGTTGAAGACAATCTCGTGCGTTGGTGGGTAAGCCGCATACTCGGGTGGTTCTGAATTAAGGTAATCTTCGGTGAAAGGAATCCATTGCGTATCTCTATAAGCTTTCGGCTCTTTGGGTATATAAAGGTATCCCGGTCGACGATATGGATCTTCGCAATTATGTATAGGTTCTGGTGTAGGTTCAGGAGTGACTTTTGATACCGGTGTAGGCGTCGGTGTAAAAGAGGGAATGCTTCTACACAGTTAGCATGAGATCAACAGGGCAGATGCAACATACTTACGTTTCCTGCGACGAGTCACAGTACTGCTGCGCCTTTCGATGCACAAACTCAACAGGCGATCGTATAGTATCAGAATAAAAAGTAAAAAGAACGACAAAGAAGAAAACGCCCAGTGCAGCGAGAATCCCAACTCTCAGCGCAGGGCGCGACGGTAAACTTGCCGCGACAGCCATGATCGCGTGAGGAGGGAAGACGAAGAGATCACAGTTAAACATGCGGGATGATATACTGTCACTTTTAAGGAAAACTGGATAAAGTGGCCCGCAGAAACTCCTGAGCATCCATGTCCAGTCACCCCAAAGGATTCGCGGACTGTGTCTACACTGGGCTGTGCTTACGACCTGTTGGTTGAACGGATGTTGGTGGAAGCACCCATTGATATTTCAGCTTAATGGTTCCTGAGCTTGGCGAGACCCCTTGTTTTATAGATGCCGGTGTCAGAATCTGCAAATCTCGAGAACCAGCCCTACAGTATCGAATATCCTCCGATAGAGTTTGAGTTTTACATTGAGCCAAGTGGAACGGAGTTGCCATGATTTAGGTACGAGCTAGAGACAAGTGATCTTCAGGGTAGATTTGAGCTTGAGGGAAGAGTCTCCTGATTGCATTGTGGAAATGAATTGCTTACTTCTGACAACCAACAATGAAGTGATATGTGGAGCCAATGTGAAAGATGCAACCGTTTACGGCATGGATGGGTTGCAGATCATCAGGAGATTCGTCATGTTGGAGATCCATAATAAGACTTTTCAAGCTTTTGCCAACGTCTTTGGACAGGGGTGGCCTGGGGTGACTGGGAGATGCTTGGTTATGAGGGGGCTTTGGATTGGTCCTTGATTATGATGTGATGTTGGTTAAAGGCAGTCATTCGTAGATTGAGCGCTCGCCTTCACACCACCACTTACTTAGAACTGGGGAGTGTTTGCTCAAAGGGTACTTGTCAGCACCAGCCGAAGTTCCGAATGCAGGTCCATGGACCACACAATCAGGACCCTTCAACATCTCGCTTGATTCGAAGGATGAATCCTTATTGGGACATCCATCACATCGTCTGTCATACCATTTCCTATTTGACTTCCAGTATAAATGTATAATTCATTATTCATCTCACAACTCTTTCATAAAGCTGTATATATCAGCACAAAAAGTCCCGGTGTCACGAGGTGTTTCATCTGAAAACCGGGCCGGGAATAGCAATCTGTCTCTCACGTCAGATAAGGATAAGACATGGGCGCGTAAGCTTTTTCCTTACCTTAATCTTAAAAAACTGGATTACTGGGGAACTTCTAAAACTCACGACCCCACCTATCAGAGAAAATTTTCCAAGGACAGAATGCTGAGTAAAGGGCGTTAGATCATGAAAGTTGCGATTGGCTTTTGGGTCAGTTTCTCGCGCTCTGTCGATTTATTGATTACGTCAGTGAAGTCGCAGCTGAGGCTCGACGAGATGGAAGATGCGCGAGTCAGTTGACCTCGCTTATCGAGACGGCTTGACAAAGACCTAACGGCGCTGGGTTTTGGGCTTGCCATATCCCTTTGAGGACGAAGTCACACCTAATACATATGTTTGTGAGTTTGACTCCAGTATTGATTAGCTGCTGATCAATACGCCACAGACACCAGCTTTTAGATAGTAAGATTTAGAGAGTTGAAAGTTACAATCTGGAAGCTGAATAATTAGAGGTACTTGGATCTTAGGCTAATTTAGTAAGAATTGTAGGTATTCTTGATATTTGATATTAGGATTTCAATTAGATGGGCTCTATATAGAGAAGTTTAAGGAGCGACCTCGTTCTCAAAGGGATAAAGTGACTGCTTGCTGTTCAACATTGGGCAAATAGTTTACTTTTAAATTCTAGTCTATTATGTGTATTTCTGTCCAAATATTGCTTCATCCATCCAACATGAATGCGTTCATTGTCTGTTAGTACCGTAGTTGGCTGTATATTACGGGTGTGAATATGGATATAATAGATTGTAGGGTGATCTGGTCGCATTTACCCAACTATATAACAAGAGACAATGCCACAGGGTAGGTACGCTAAGAAACATACGCGTAGAGAACGTGAGGTGGGATGAATGTTTACACCAGCCAAGCCTCAGCTCCGAAAGCCACCCTCGCTTAGCCATACCGCCCTAATACTGAAACGCGGAAACCTCCAAATAGAGAAGCCCTCCCTGTTTCAAAACGGACATTACAAGGCCCAACGTTTCTAATGTTTCCAAGCGCCATGAAATTGACCAATTGCATTGAACTCCTTGTTACAGGTGTGAATTCTTCCGCTAATAATATTCAGAGTCTTCATCTCTGTTAAGCATATTCCAGCGAAACATTGGTGAGAATACGCGGAACGGCTTTGAGGATGATATGAGTGGGAGCTTGGCGTTGGTATTAAAACGAAGTGTTTGGTCGTGATCTGTGCATTTGTTCTTGGTCAACTACACTCGTTCTTTTCTTTCGTTAGACATTGACTGTCACTACATTTCACTGTACCTTTTATTTTCATCACATTTTTATAATCTGCTAGACGCAAGATGTCTTCCTCCATTCTTTTCGCTACCGGCCTTCTTGTCGGCGCCGCTCAGGCTTACACCCAAGTCAACGTTGCTTCTCCCTTTATGCTCAAGAACATCGATCCAATCGTCTTTCCCGGCGAGTACAGCAAGTCTCATCTTCACTCGTTCTTCGGCTCCGACGCCGTCACCGTCAACACCAAGACGAGCGCTGAGCTTCAAAAGGGCTGCACCAATGCCGAGAACCCCAACGATCTTTCGGTTTACTGGATTCCTACGCCGCTTTATACCGCCGATGGAAAGAACTTCGAACCTATCCCTGTTATGCGCTTCAGTGCGTATTACAATCTTGGCGAAACACCCGCTGAGGTTCCTATTCCTCAGAACTTGAAGATGGTGGCGGGTGATGCCAATGCGCAGACTCAAGCCGATATGCCAGCTGATGCTAAGGCTGAGTGGACTTGTGAAAGCGAGGCTATTCCTCTTGGTGCCAATGGTTTCCCTACTTCAACCTGCGCCACCCATCTCCAACAGCTCCTCTACTTCCCCCAGTGCGTCAACGAACAAACCCTCGAAACAGCCTACAAGTCCCGCGACTACGGCACTGCCAACTGGTGTCCCGAGGGCAGCAAGTCCATGCCCCAGCTCCGCTTCAGCATCCGCTACGATCTTCGCAAAGTCCTCCCCAACGGCTGGAGCGGCGAGGCTCCGTTTAAGCTTGCGTGCGGTAACGCTTTCTGCTCGCATGGTGATTTTATCAACGGCTGGACTGAGGAGGCGGCGAAGAATATGGTTGCTACTACTGCGGATAAGCGCAAGTTTAGTGCGGTTGAGGGTTCGCTTGGAGACCCTCATGCTGGACCTACTTGTGAGGCTAAGGATGCTGATCCGGAGCATGGTACCAGTGACTACAATGAGAGTGTGGCTGTTATGAACAAGCGGGATGTTTCGGCTTGGGGATGGAAGTCCAAGGCTCGTGTTGTTCGCGCTTAGGGTGATGGTTCGTGAATTGGAGCTACCAGCGTTAGTTGACGGTCTATTGGCTAGACAACATATCTTTCATGGCTTGTACATAGTTACATGTGAATAAACCTGAGTCTTCTTCAATCGACATTTCATTCCATACAATGTTCATTGCTCCCGTACTGGCGTTGATGTTGAGATAACCTTGTTCAGTGGCAGACCTGCACTTAGTAATAAGAGGTTAGGCTGCCATTGGTGTGATTCTCAAGCAGCTGACTTGTTATCTTGTGCTTTAGGCCATTGGTATCAATCCCATTTTGAGTGGCTGCTCGGGATCTCTAGCCCATTTCAACATGGGCGTTCTAAAATGGGTAGTTTTCCGCCCTCAGCCCAAATAAATCGAACCCCTCCAAAAAGACGCCAATCAAGTGTAACAGGCTAAAGACCATAGATAAAAGCATGCCAATTGAACTTCTCCTTCATCCTCACCCAAATACCAGTACCCCAATTATACCTCTCTTCACATAATTCACCATGCGATCAAAACGAGTCATCTCAATCGTCACATGCCACGCAGAAGGCGAAGTCGGCGATGTCATCATCGGCGGCGTCCTCGACGTACCTGCAAAAACAATGCACGATAAGCTTACATACTACATGGCTGAGAGAGACGATCTTCGCCAACTACTTCTTCAAGAACCCAGGGGCCGCTTAGAAATGAGCGTGAACTTGATCGTCCCGCCTTGTCGACCTGACGCAGATGCTGGATTTCTTATCATGGCGCCGGGAGATTGGGTCCCAATGTCTGGATCGAATTGTGTCTGCACGACGACTGTTCTGCTTGAGACGGGGATTGTACCCATGATTGAACCTGTTACGACTGTGAGGTTGGATACGGCTGCGGGGTTGGTGGTTGCGACGGCGGAGTGTGAGAATGGGAAGTGCAGATCTGTTTCTTTTGATAATGTCCCGGCGTTTGTTTATGCTCTTGATAAAGAGATTGATGTGCCTGGCCTGGGGACTGTGGTTGTGGATATTGCGTATGGAGGACAGTGGTATGTGCTTGTTAAAGCAGAGGCGCTGGGTCTTCGGGTGGAAACAGTCAATGCAGATCGTCTCATTGATTTCGGCAAGAGATTGAAACAAGCAGTCTTGGCGAACTGCATGCCCACGCACCCTGAAAATCCAGCTATCTGCGGTATCAACAATGTCATCATCACAGAACCTTTGGAGGATGGACAAGAAGGCAAGACTGTTAAGCATACTGTTGTCGTTACGCCGGGAAGATTGGATAGAAGTCCATGTGGAACGGGGAGCTCTTCTCGTCTGGCTATCCTGCATGCGAGGGGTCTTATTGAGGAGGGAGAGTCGGTCAAGTTTAGAAGTATCATCAATACGGAGTTTGTGGGGAGGATCAGAGGGACGACGAAGGTGGGTGAGCTGGATGCGGTGCTTCCTACTGTCAAGGGGAGAGCTTGGATTACGGGGGAGAAGAATGTTCATCTTGACCCGGAGGATCCTTTTCCAACAGGGTTCTTACTCTAGATAAAGCAATTTTATAGATATTGATATGCAAATGTTCCGTGAGTGACATAATTGGAAGAATGAAATGGGGAAAACAGCCCCTTCTGCAATTACTGGGTGAGATTTATCATATTTCTTAAAGACCCTTGTAATCTTCAATCGTGGTTGGAAAGCGGAAGACATATACTCAGAAGCATCTCTGCGTTTGTATCATTGAGTCTGGAGTACGAAGAGACTTTTATAATAAGAAAGAAGATCAATTGGAAATAACATGCTGAATAAAAGCACGTAAAGTCGACCTCAAAGCTTCGCCCGAGTCTTATCAGTGACCTTCTCAACAAGCTCAACCACTCCCTCTGCACATCCATAAGACCCCATATATCCCCATCCAGAATGTCCATAATTATGAATAACCCACGTCTCATCATCCAACTTCTCCTCCTCAAGCCTCAAACCCCCCTTCCTGTAGGGTCTAAAACCAACACCATGCCGGATAATACTTAATCCAGTGATTCCTTTTCCACCAGCGATGTCAGGACAGAGATCTACAATTCTCTGCATGATTCTATTCGCGGTATTGGGATCAGGCTGTGTATCCCAATTCCCAATCTGATATGTCCCGCCAATGACGGTACCGCCACCTGCTGCTCTCTGCATGGCGTAGATTTCCTCGCCGCTTTCGTCGAGGGCGCTTGAACACATGAAGAGCGGTAGGTTCTTGGGTGTTTCGTTGCGAACGAGGACGATTTGGCCTCGTGCTGGTGCGACGGTTGTGTCTTGAACGCCTCCGAGCTTTAGAGATCCGAGACCAGTGGCGTTGACGATGATATTAGCCTTTTCACCGGTGTGGCTGAGATACTTGGCTTCGTTGATGTCAGTTAGGATAGCACGCTTTACGACTACTCCAAATTTGAGGCACTGGCCGAGAAGCCAGGGCAGGTAGATGGCTGTGTTGATACAGACTCCTTGGTATTGGAAACCAGAGTCGTAGCCAGTTGCGACTTCGGATGGGTGGTTGTTTCGGAAGTTGTTGAAGATTTCTTTGAACCATGGGTTATCAGCGTAGAAATGTGCTGAGAATCCAGATTTTGCGGACTCTGTGTCCTTATTCCGACGAAGGACATGTGTCGCTTATGATGTTAGCTGATGTAATTTCTATCATCTATGGTGAGAACTTACTCTGGAAATGAATACCTGCTTCAGGTGTCTCCTCAACAAGTTTCTTAAGAGCAATCCACGTTCTTCTTTCCCAGCGACTTGCGTCTTTAGGCGATAAGCTTGATAATGTTAGTATCCTGGTCTTGAAGTAATTCAGTGGTTGGCTCACGGGATGACGTTGGCTCCGGCCCATGGTGAGGCATACTCGGCGTCATAGTCACCGGGCATATGCTTGCCGACAACAGTGACTCTGTTACCCTCCTTGGCCAGCAGCAATGCTGAGGTGAGGCCAATTACACCGGCACTAGATATCGTTAGCTGAAGTTTCAGTGCTGTCGAATGGATGTTTTACCCGATAACGACAACGGTATTTGTCATGTTGGAAATTATGTAATACTAGAATATTCCGCGAGGCAGTTACAGAGATTCTGATATTTGACCTATAGTTCAGAGAAGGCCGAATTTAAGTGACAGCTATTCATCTCGTTACAGCTGGTAACTCATCATTTGTGATTGGTCACTTCGCGGATGCATGCCTATCTCGACAGAGTGGAGCTAGATGTGAACCACTTCCCAAAAAGTATCTGGGGTAGACTCGTTATCTGGAGGCACCAATTCAGTGTGGACTGAACTCAAAAGAAGTTCATTTTCGCGCTGGCTTTCCAAGTTGAACATAGAGAACTGTCGCGTGACTGATATGAACATCGCATGGTGTTCTAGACCCAAGCCTCAGGGAGCAAGAAAACTTCTGACAGCAAGGTGAGGCCCATTAATTCTACACTAAACTGATGCTGAATTTACCTAAGTCTTTTTATCACTTTAGGATAGTCATCCTGGGTTTTCTTGCCTCCCCTCTCCAGGACAATGGAAGCCTTTCTGAACAAAGGTATCCGTAATCCAGTGCAACATGTCCCGCCAATCAAATGCAACATGTCAAACTCTACAGTTCACCGCTCTCCACTTTAACGTTTTGCACGTTTCAACTAACTTGACTTATCGGCTTCTGAGATGGCTACAGCGCCAAGACACAGAATCGAATGGATCACCACAAGTTTTCGGAGCGGTGATCATGATGCACACTTTTCCGTCCGCCGGAATGGCAAGGCATTCTACATCAAGATCTCGCCGACAAAGTTCATCAACTCTCCCAACATGACAGAGAAGTACATGGCATATCTTCAAGTCCTCAAGTCAGGTGAAGAGGTCATTGGCGACATATATGATACCGACGTCTACGAATGGGTCATGGCCCCGTTTGAGTCCTTCCTGGTCGAGCTCGCGCCTCCTCCGGAATGCCAACCAAAAGACATCAAGATCACTCTTCACGAGCATCAGGTTCCAGAATTCTTTGTCTTTGAACTAGACATCATTGATGAAAAGTTATGCCCTCGGCGTGTTGCAGCGGAGACGTCCCCCGTACGTCCGTCTTTTGTAACCTTCGATGATGACTTCCTGGACGACTTGGAGACTTGGACTACCTTCTACGATCCCGCTGGAATAGTTTTAAGTTTCGAAGATCCCGAGGATGCGCTCTTCAAGCCACCAAATAAAGTCCTCATCGATAACTGTCAGACTGAATGCTTCTTCAAGCCGTGCAACTCCGGCGTTCAGATGAAGCGCGAGCTCAAGACCTATAAAATGATTCACGCAACCGGTTTAGACTCTCAGCTAAACCTATGTCACCTTTACGGTGTCGTCATGGATGAACATGATTTCATCCTTGGGGTTTTGCTAACCCATATTGATAATCGGGGTTGTCCGTTGTCAACCAAGATCGCTCCCGAGGAACCTGATGATCCTCCACCTGAAGTGAGAGAACGGTGGATGGGCCAGATCGATGCTGCCGTCTCTGGCTTGCATGAAGCTGGAATAATCTGGGGAGATGTAAAGGCAGAGAATGCCTTGATAGATCAGGATGATAATGCGTGGGTTACTGACTTTGGTGGCGGATATACTAAGGGCTGGGTTGATAAAGAGGTGGCGGAGACTATGAAAGGGGATCGGATGGGTATGGCTAAGCTGAGAGAGTTCATCTTTCCAACCGCATCAAGCGCGGAATAGGAGTGTTAGTTCCCATTGGATTCCGAGGATAGGCAACTTAAATACTCTGACAGAGAGGCCTATGTGCCGTAAATATTCGCCCACCACTGTCCAACTCAAAAAGTTCGCGTGCAATGCGTTAACTCAAAATGATCATTAATTCTTTCTTCAGCACCTAGTCAGCTATTGCAGCCTCCCATATCTCCTTCACGTAATCATCCTCGGAAAAGTCCAACGGCCATGCAATATTCAACAACACCTTCCTTGCATCCTCCCACTTCTCCAACCCCATATCTCGACTCTGTTCCTTTATAAGTCTCTCGAAAAACGGCCTAAAACCAGGCTCTCGCTCCATATCCCCTTGCTTCTCATGCAAATAAAGACTCATCAACCCCAGAAACGATTCCCAGAATAACAAGTCTGCAATCTCTGGTGTCTTCGTCTTCTGAAGTGCAAAGGTCAGATCTCGTTGGAATATCCTCATGCTACAGAGGTATATCTCCTTTGTGAAAGGCCTCCATAACACGACTACTTGCTCAAGGAATAACTCTGCTGCAATTACTAATCCGCACCATGAAGTCTTTTGCTCAGCCTCTGAAGTCGTTTCATGTTCATGATCGGTTGGTGAGATGGAGGTTTGGTGCGATTCAAGGACTGAGTCGTAAACTCTAGCAGCTGCACCGGTTCTCCAGAATCCATCGTGTAACTTTTGAGCTTCTGTGAGATTGTAGAATTCATCGGTGACTTTGCGGAGACTGTTCACTATTGGTGCGCTGTAAACTTCAGAGAGCCTTGCTCCAATATTAGGTAGTATAAAGAATGTTGAGAAGAGGCGTATGGCTTTGAGCTTTAGACAGTGCAAGTACTGGCCCTCTGACTTATACCACTTGTGCATGAGACGCATGGGATTGGAGACCGAGAGGCTGTTCTTGTCCTTGGTGGAGTCTTCGGCGCGGAGGATGCCATGGAGAACGGTCTGTACGCCGTGGATGAAGGTGGAGGTTCTACAAGGTTAGTTGACGGCTGGATTAGTCTGAGTGATAAATACTCACAATAGAAAATATCGATCAGATAGCTCTTGGTCAGGAGTCTTGGCGTCGGTAGTCGACTGGTCTCTTGAACGGCATGGAAGAGCGTAGATGACATTTAAATGCTTTTCTGCCATTTGCATATCACCACTGCAGAACTATCAGTTACTTAGTACCTCCGAAACAATAAACGACGTTCATTTGTCATACCTCTGTATACGCCAAGGTAGCGATTTGTTTCGTGATGGCGGCTGACAGGGTGAGATCTCCACCTGAAAGCCAATTTTTCACCAATCGCACGGTCTCGATCCTATGAAAGAGGAAAGTATGCTCAAATGCTTCAAGGCTGCCGACCTTGAATGTAAAATGAGTTGCTGCTATTAAGATCGCATTGCGTAGTGCTTCGGGGTCTGCTATGGTGTATGGCATGCTGTTAAGGTTAGCCATTGGTCAGTGAGACGAGTTGGTTATATGTACCAATCTTTGTTGTTCTCCGTGGGAGACGTGACAAGGGTTTCACCGTAGACCAAAGGGCTGTCAGTAATGGCTACTGTTTATAGTTGATATGACCTACAGTAATTGAAGAGCTCATGTGATTTGAGGGGCATTTCAATGGCCACACAGTCCAACGTCGTTGCAGAACTTGACAAAATAAGCTGACGAACCAGAGCTTGCGTGTTAGGCACCTTGGGTCCTTTAGAAGAACTCGGAGCCTCCCAGGGAATATGTTCCCACGGCTGAGTCGCCCCGGCCTTCTCCAGCGCTCGTCTCTCCCTCAAAGGTATCTTGACAGGTGGATATTCACACGTTCTCTTGCTATTAACGCAGTTCTCGCTATCAATTTGTACAGTCAGTTTCTCTGGAAACAGCCTGGTTTGCTGTAGCCTCACCATGTGGGACGCTGCTCGCCACATCTCACCCTACGACTACGGCACTCTGAGCAGCCAGTGCGGCTTCGCGTGTGTGCGCGCCGCTGTCGGACTTTGCCCTTTGTTTCATCAGTGGCGTGATGGGTCATGTTTGTGTGATTTAATTGCTTATCCGGACGGCGGTTTCGGTGAGGAGAAGAAGGATGGAGGAGATCCATGTTACACGCGTGTCGTAAGCACTAGACAGGGATGTTGATAGGTGGGGAGGATTGGTGTTTAGAGGGCCAAGGCTTGGTGTTAGGATGCGACTCGCTGGGTTTATGCTACGATGTTACTTCAGTGGTGTTATGCGTGGAGAAATACCTCGTCTAAACGACCGGAATCGTTGAAAGGGGTATTGAAATAACATCAGCCTCGAAAGATGAAGCCTCTTTGGGATATTTGGACGAAACATGTTTCCTGTTGGTGTTGTTTAGGGAGCAAGTCCCCGGGGAGCAAGAAAACTTCAGACTTTAGAATAGGATATTAAAATAAACTTATTAAAGATCCCTCTAAACTTATGCTAGTTTACCTAAATGTTGTTATTACTCAGGATCTAGATCTTAAGTTTTATTGCCTCCCCTAGCAAGTTAAAAATATGGAAGTAGGATAGAGCGAGACGAGCAATTGGGTTTATCAAGTTTGAAGAATTATGGCTATTCTTCTTACTTTAACATCACATTGAAGAGGATGAGTAACCGTAGTTTGACAAACAAAATGATGATCTATAAACACAATCAAGAAATAATTAAACTAATCAGAATACCTCCCATTTTCGCTAGTATACACTTCTTCGAACCAACTTTCAAGTCCAACTTCCTCTCTAGCTCGCCGCTTGCTCAGTTCTATTTCCACGATTCTCCTCGCAAGTTCACCTGTCGTCGCTTACTCTGACCACATACTCTACTGATGAGACAACAGAGGGTTTGGCACCGTAGAGTCCTGACTCGTGGACGGTAAAGCCTGTGACGTCTTGTCCTTCAACGACGGTCCCTCAACAGCGGCCACAAACTCATCGTAGTTCACCAGGTTCCATTTTGGCAGTGAGTGTTTGTAGCGTTTGACCCCATTGCCACGATCGTGTTCAGCCCTCATATACCACCCAGGGTCATACCACATTCCATTTCTCCTCCGAATCAAGCTCCACCCGTAACACTTCATCCAAGGATGTGATAGATTAGCCCTGTGCTTGGGATCTTGCATCTTGTAGTCGTGCCACACTGTCCACGGATTCCATTCAGCCTCAATGATGAAACGGTGGAGTCTTCCTCGTGTAGGGGCTAGACCGGTGTAATCCATGCCGAGTAGCAAGTCATTCCTCACGAAATACCCATTTTTCGTAAGAGGCCAAGGGTGGCGCATAACTTTTCCCAGTATTCCTTCCCGTCGTGATCTTCGTCGATGAGGTCGAAATTCGGGGGATTCTCTCGCAAGACTCTGACAAGTCGTCGCAAGACTTTCACCTCCTTCAATTCGACTAACTGGTAGTCAATCAGGAGCTGCATCTTTTTCTCAAATATGTCCACAGCCTCGCCCTGGTATGATTCCTTCCAGCTAGTCAATGGGTCCGCGATGTCGAGGAACAGTCCCCAGAGCACATTGCCAAAGTTTGTGCTCTGACGCCAGTGTGGCAGAACGTAGTGCCACATACCCACCCAGCTTCTCACTTCAGGAGGGCAGAAATTATAAACAGCCGTTACATTTGCCCCACGACTTTGATATTCTTGTAGAAGCAACTCGAGGAAGGACATCGGACAGTAAGATCTGAGAGCAACATCGATTGGCTTACGTATCAGGCCTGGCTTGCTCTTTTGGTCATACCATGAGATGTAGTACTTGTGAAGGTTCATGTGGAAGGGCAGAGAGTATCCATGGTTGCGTAGCATCGAGATTATCTCACAGATCCCCTCTACACGAACCTTGTCAGAAGTTTTGCCCAAGAGATCAATTAGAAGCTCAGGCATATGATCACAGTGACGATTATTCCGATACCAAATTTGATCCTTCTGTTCGTTTGCCTCGTAGCCCTTGCTCAATAACCAGCTGATCGCTTCGATACATCTATCAGTAGGCACGGAGCCAATAGCAAGACATTCGAGTACATCGTCAATGGGCCTGTGGTGTTTGTGAGGCTTATCAGCGGGGCATTGGCAGGAGACCTTCCATTCTAGATGAATGGGGGGCCTTGCCAATTGGTAGCATCGCTCTATTGCTTCCATATCTACACACCTGAGGGCAGAGTGAAAGACGGCGAAGTTGTCGGTACAATAATATGCTTGGCGAAGCTCGCGAAAGAACACTCCACAGCTTAATTCCAAGTTCTTGAAGTCCTTATGCGATAGGGTCTGCTCATCCTTCCCAGGTTCACCTGTGATGTTGAGCAGAACTTCAACAGGGAGGAGAGCCAGCTTCCCCTCTTGTTGAGGTCGCCAAGAAGTCATCTGTTTGGATGAAAAAGAAGGTGGAAGTTCGATATGATGGTCTGACATGTTTACCTTGTGTGATTGTGTATGATATGCTTTATGTTGTTTGCTGTGTTTTGTACTTAATAACTGATGCTGATAGAAGAATCTATAACTTGTGGAATATGTCCTATACTTATACTCAACCTGAACGAACTTAATTTAATCAAGTCTCACATGTTATAATTTTGTAGTGTAGAGAAATGCCAAAATCAGAAGGTTAAGTACTATGGCTTGTCGTTTTATCCAGCTGAAATCTATTCACTCACCGTTCGTCGAAGAACAAGGCATATGTACTGCTCTTTCAAGTATTCTCAAACTTTAATGTAACTGAGAACATCTGAGTGATCAAGTGATCGAAAGCACCTGCTGTTTTCAAGCCCTTTGTCGGTGACAACGAGAACAGAGAATAGAGAACCCGAGCAGGACGCCCTGTGCTTTACGAATCGCAAATAGAAACATTCATAATACACCCCCAAGTGAACGAAGTGCAGTGATTATTGGTAACATGTTAATATAGAAATAATATAGCTTGGAACAAATAAAGAAGGTTAAAGAAGGTAAAAGTATATACTCTAAGATCGAAGAGATTCTAATAATAGACCAGCACTAAAAGCTTAAGACTAATATACACTCGTAACACCTAGATAAACAAATCCTTCAAACCTGCTTCCAACTTCAACTTCCTAACTCAAACTCAAACTCAGCCTGCTGGGGTTGAATACCTCTTATGCCTTATCATTGGAATCCTGACTTGTGGATGTCGAATAATACGGATTGAGCTTCAGCCACTGTTTCTCTACCGCAGCCACATATTCATCAAAGTTTACACGTTGCCATTTGGGCAGAGTGCGGCTGCTGAACTCGTACCGGTGAAAGAAGTTCCACTGAGAATCATACCACATCCCGTTCTCATCCTGTTCCAGCTTCCACCAGTCATGCTGCATCCAGGAAAACGACATCTCGGCCCTGAACTTAGGCTTCTGCAACTCATAGTTAAACCATAGACTCCATGGGTTCCACTGACCTTCGAGGGTAAAGCTATGAAGAGGGTAGTGAGCATAGCGGGATCGGGCATTATCTCTTGATCGATCAAGATGGCGCGCCGAGAGGCTTACAGCTTCGCACAGCCTGTGCCAGCATTCCTTCCCGTCGCGATCCTCATCTAATCCCCCGAGCCGCTGAGCCTTTGATGTGATATCTTTCATGGCTTCCAGGATACACTGCAAAGCAAGCAGTTCATCTGAGTCGACCACCTCATAGTCCACCAATAGCTGAATCTTCTTTTGGAAGCCATGGGTGGCCTCGCCCAAAAATGATTCTTTCCAAATTATCGAAGGATCCATGAGTCCGAGAAATAGATTCCATGCCACATTCCCTACATTTGTTCTTTTGATAGCCAGTCCGCGTCGTTTATATCCCTCAAGCGCAACTCCAAGGAAGTTTGCCGGGCAATACAGTCGCAAAGCCACATCAAATGGCGTGTAGATCAGGCGCTTGACGTCTCTTTCATCCTGGTGAAACAGACGGTGTGCGTCCGTATTCACCTGGTAAGGTACGCAATATCCGTAGCTCTGTAATACTTCAATCATCTTAATAATCTCTTTTGTTCGAGCCGTCAAAATGGATCTTATAACATGGGTGGTCCATCTGCTCATTCGCTTCTAAGCCTTCGTCGAGCAGCCATTGCAAGCCATCTAGGCATTTGCCGACGGGAAAGGAGCCAGTAGCGTCATGTTCCAGAGGGGAACCAAAAGGTCTATGCTTCTTATGTGGCAGTTCCGACGGACAGGTGCAGAAACTGGGAGGTTCACTCTTGGTATGAGGTGCAGCTCCAAGTTGAAAGCATCTTTGAATGGCCTTTAGGTCGCCATGTGCAACAGCCGAGTGAAATACGGCGTAGCCATCAGCAAAGTAGTACATTGGGCGAATGAGATGGAAGAGTCTGGAGCAGCTTACGGCCAAGCCCTTGAGATCTCTGTAAGGTATAGTTCCTCCGTCTTTACCGGGCTCGCCAGTAATCTTGAGAAGAATTTCGGTAGGAAGAAGAGCCAGCCTTCCCTGTTGTTGAGGTCGTGGAGGAATCATCTCTACAGATGGAGAAGGGAGGACTTCTTCGAGATCCTGGTTTGACATGCTTGCGTTATACGATTGTGTGTGATTTGTTGTATATTTGCTGTGTTGGTTGTTGATTCATAACAAAATGCTTAGTACTCATTGTACTCTATGACTCTCGAGGGAATATGGCCTGTACTTATATTCAAGCTGGACCAACTTCATTCAACTAAGTGCCGCTTATGATGGATGAATCTATACTGAGAAACCAAGACAAAGTCGTCCGGCCTAAATCTTTCATGACTCAACGTATATGAAAGAGCAGGCATCTATGCTTTTCTTTCATGAAGTTTGCCTCTTTTTTACCCGGGCCAACGATGTCTGAACAGACGGGTGAAAAAACGACGAATCCGCTTGTGTTGGCAATGGCAACAAAGGACCCGAAGCTCGAGCAAATCGCTCTATTTTAGTACTTTGGACAAATCTCGATTGAATACACGGGGCATCCGAGTCCAAGTCTGGCATGCAGTAAAGGCAGACTCATGTCTTTGTTATCCATCCGGTTCTGAACAAAGCCTCTGCTTAAGCCACAAAAGTAACATTGATCTTTGAGTCGCCCTGAACAGAAGAAGCATTCCCAACAAGTTATTAATAAAATTACTACGGTGGCATATCAATTTTCATTGGTTATATTGCATTAGCCTAAGGCAGGGTTTCAAGGTGCTCTTTCAAACGTTAACTGCAAACTCATAGTTAAGGCAAGGGCTTACAATGAGCTTCCAGTCTCGGGCAACAGCTGAAAATAACCTATCTAGGTCATATCCCGGGTTGTCCCATGAGTGTTGTAGGGTTAAATCAGTGTAGAGTGTATGGAGCGGCTTCACAAGCTTGAGCTAATTGGGATTTTTCAGCGTGTTGGCTTGATAAATCTCGTTGAGATATCATAAGCTTTAACTATTAACCAACGGCTTCCCAAGCAGGACTATGCAGCAATATCAGAAGCAATATCGCCTTTCCTGAGCCTGTTTTCCGTCACAAATTTTAAGTAAATGTTCCAAGGCATCGGGTTTTACTGCGATTTATCAAGGCCCAAAGATAGGTCCTTCCAGTCTCAAGAGTTTGCTGGAAAGAATCTGTCAACATCACAGCCTCACAAGTCTCGTGATGTCTTTATGTCTTCGTTTGAACCTATCATGTGACATTGGAATGTTCAAGTTGATTCCGGTCATGGTTCTCGAGCATTATGAATTGACTGCGATGTCACTGATGGGCAATGAGAGGACATTATTATACCAAGCCAAGTTTAATTGCAAGAGATAAGGCTTTCTAGATATCTAATAAACTGAAATTGAAATCATTATGGAAATCAAAACTAAGAATACCCTGTGGGTTTAAATTCTCAGTCTCGAACCTGCAAAACTCAATCATACCAACACTCACATCCAATTATCAGCCTCAAGAGCAGCCACCCACCGCTCATACCGAGCATCATACCTAACCGGAGCAACCAGGTGCTCATGATGATCATCATACAATCGAGGTAAGTCATCCGATTCAGAAAAATCAAGAAGATCCAGCCACTGAGCGTTATACCCAAGACTCTTCTCATACTTGAAATAGCATCCTCCATATACCCGCCAACCTTTCATTTTTTTTTATTTTTTTTACGCGTAGATACCAATCCCTCCATGGATTCTAGTCCTTGTCAAGGACAAACTGGTGCGGTCGACGCTTCTTCTCTGGAAAGTCTGACTCGCTCCAATCATCGTACGAATATGTGCTCATGAGCTCAGGTGTTGTGGCGAGATGTCAAATACCCTCGCAGAGCGCAATGAAGCGTTCCTTTCCGTCGGCATCAATGGTCCCTGGGCTCGACATGACCATTCTGGTGATTTTTCGAAGAGCTTCCAAAGTTCCCTGGAACAAGGCTCGCTCATGCTTATCTATAGCGCCGTAGCGCACGAGCAAGCCCATCTCGGCTTCCCAAATGTCGACTGTCTGCCCTTGATGATCCTCTCTCCAACCAGAAGAAGGTTCCATGAGGTCTGCATAAAGACCTGAGAGTACACCTGCAAAATCTGTCTCGATGAACCAGGGCTCGTCATCTGGCTCATCAAGGTATAAAGGTTCCTGGGCATCATACCAATCCTTCAGTGCTGGTGGGGGTGTCCAAATATCCAGTTCCAAATCTGTCATGAAAACACCACGCTTGGTGTACTCTTGCAGAAGAACTTCCAAGACGATGGGCGGACAGTGCGATCGAAGGGCAATGGAAATAGTAGTTTCGTGCCATGAAAAATACATATTCAAGTCGCCTAGAACAAACTCGGGGTTTAATTCATCTTGTTCTCGTTGCTTTGCTGCATATGCTGGGGCTCGGTCGGGATTCATGCGAATAGGGATGGAAATACCCTGACTGCTGAGAAATCGGATCATGCCGCAGATTCCATCAACCTTATTTTCGTTTGTTCCCCTCTGCAGAAGTTGGACAAGAACTTCTGGCATCATGTTGGTCATCGTCGACAGAGAACTGTGATCTCGAGGCCAATTATTGACCGGATATCCCTTCCAGTATAGCCACATAAGAGCATGCGGATAAGTCGTTTTCCAGATTCCCTTGATGAGACCAAACAGAAGAACGTCAATCGGTCTGTGTAAACGGTGCTTTGCAAGCGTGTTGCGGCATCGGCATTTCACACGTTTCTTTCCCCAGATCATTGAGACATCAAGATCGCCGAACTCGTGGTTGCGCTCCATTCTTGCGACGTCTGGAATCTTGAGTGCTTTTCGGAAATCTGCGCAGTCATTCGCTTGGTAATATAATGGCCGAATGGCATTGAAGAGTCCAGCTGAAGACAAGGCCAAGGATCGAAGGTCTTTAGCTGCGGGTGTATCAATACTCTTGCCTATCAAGAGCATTAACTCGTCAGGGAGACGCGCGAGCGCTCCGGTTTGCCTGGGTCGTTTGCCGGAGGGCTGCACGATGAAGGATGAGCATCCTGACTCGAGAGGGAGAAGAGAGCATATGGTGATGGATTTCTTGATGGGAGTTTAATGGGGTAATCGAAGTATCACTATGGCTTCTGAGTCAGCGAAGATGTGAGAGTTTACTATAAGGAAAGTCGAGAAGAGTAAAGAAATTCTTTAGTGTCATGTAATTTTAGACTATCAGTTGAGCAGTGACGTGAACAAGAGAGACGAAGTGACATGCCACTGTTCCAGTATTGATCTGCCACTGCGAAGTTTCGACCTGAGACTTCGCTAGGGGAGGCAAGAAAACTTAGGACTTCTATTCTAGGTGACAAAAAGACTTAGGTAAATTCAGTATAGAGTTAGTGGACCTTTAGACTAGGTAATTTTGACACTACACTCTAAAGTCAGAAATTTTCTTGCTCCCTGATGCTGTGTTCATGGTTGTTTTAAGGGTGTCAGAACAATGTGAGTTGTACTGCGAACTCTTGAAGCCGGTTTCTAAAATCTCTTTGTCGCATCCGAACAGAGACCCTAAACATGGAAGCAAACGACACTCGGATCACTCGAAGTCAATGAGAGGCCGACTACAAAGACTCGACAGAATTGGTCTGTGAAAGACATTTTCGAAGTTATAAAACACGTTCAATTCGCCTTGATTTCAAGACATCACCAACAACCCCAGCATTCACACTCGTTTTAACGTTACTCCTACAGAATTGCTCAGTTTGTCAGCAAAAACGCTGCACATCATCCTTCTACTGTCTTTACGATGAATTCCCATTCCTCCACCCAGACTCAAAGCAAACTCTGCCGCCTCCCTCCAGAAATCCTATTAGATATTCTGGAAGCTACTATAGAACACTCAGACAAAGTCAGACTCGTCAGCACGTGCAGAAGACTATATGATCTCCTCATCCTAGAAGTCTACTACGAAGCGGGTAAACGGCTCAGTTGGTTGCCTATGTTGGTAGCCGCAGAGGATGGCAATTGTCGCACTCTTTCTAGATGCATAGAAGCTGGTGCACCCATCGATTATCGACCTTCGATATATAGTTTCCGGCCTCTACAAGCAGCTATCACGCTCTCTAGGCCTCTCACCGTCAAGTGGCTTCTTGACCATGGGGCAAGCCCGAATCATATGAGATGTGATGATGGAGCCTGTGAAGCTTCATGTCCTCTTGCACAGGCCATTGAATATGCTGTAAGACCAGGAATGTCCACCAATCATATACCTCGTCGATGGGAACGCCAAGGCATCAAGATTCCATGCTACAAGCGTCATGTGCGTAATAGTCGCGAGATAATCAAGGCCCTCCGCCAAGCGGGTGCCGACGAGCAGCCTCTTGGAGATCTTGACCGAAGACATCTAGATTCTATTGAAGCCGGAACATTCTGCTGTCTTGATCACAAACCCCGTCTCTGGTACCAAGCGAGGGAAAGGCACTGGTCTTGATCGTTGCCCTCGCGTGTTAGAACTTGACGAGCTGACTTGCATTTTCTTTCGATATTTCTCTCTATGCTTTTCTTCTTTATAGTTTGTTGATTTTGCTGCTGACTCATTGTCGGTTTCTTTTTGTTTTCGAGTTTTCAACCACATCTCTTTTGTTTAGTTAGAATTATGTTTCTTATTTTTCATCATTGCTAAGAATAGTATTACAATTCTCTCTAACTCATCGCCCAAAGTTCAACCTGAAAGACTATAAGTTGTTAATAGAATACCAAGGCTACTGTCGCTGCGGGCTTTTTCACCTCCGCTCTCCACTTGAGGGCGAAGAAGATGCCGCATTATATAAACGACAAGGCTGATGTTGCGCTGTGAGCAGCCCAGCTCTCATGATTGGTCAGAATGAACCCACTGAACGATTTGGGTAGCTTGATAAAGTCAATCTAACCGCCATCTTCAATTGACGAAAACAAGGCTCTTCTAATCAAATCTAGAATGCTCATTGTGACCCATCCACGCTTGGTACAGCAGCTGAAAAGTACTGTATCTACTGAGAAAATCCATTACATCTAGCCTCAGACTACTGCAGGCTTTACACTAATACAGTAAGTAATTATCCCTTTTCAAGGTCAGATCTTTATAGTGGCTTGAAAAGGGTTACAGAGTGCCTTTCATCTAGTTTAAACTATTTGCCTGTAAACTGTTATTCAAGTTACTTAACCCATAACAGCTAGTAAATTCAGCAGATTTGTACAGCCAATTGGCGGGTTCTTACTTGGGCCTCCTACTCACTGGTGAGGAGCCGGTTGATACTTAATCCGTTTCTCCCATCATGATTCTGATCACGTGATGATGGTTGATGCATACTCAACACCAAACGTTGAACCAATCCCAATACAATATACATCCTTGATATAACCTCACTTTAAACCCAAAATAAGCCGCATCACCGTTATTGAAATATATTAATTTCTGCATTTCAAGAAGTCCGTGACTGAAGATTGTTACTTTCAGCTTGCTGAATCTTAAATCATTACAGATGAGGGGTATGGGTTTACAAGCAGGTTACCTGGCAAAAGACAAATCCTGCATGTTCCTTCTATAAGATGCGTATGGAACATCATGACCTCAGGTGGGAGGCCCTGCCGCCTTGGGAGGGGACTGAGGAGTATGGTCAAAAGTCAATGACGTATTGGATCAGCGCCCCTTAATTCCATCGTTTCGTATTTGTCCCGCTTCCAAATACAGCCAAGCTTTTACCCATATACTGATGCCTAGCCTCCGTACTCCCACGGAGGTTGAGGGTCGGGATTGGGTTGGCCTTATTAAGCTAACCTTGTTGCGCAGTCAGTTCAATTGGGCCAATCAAGGCACCCAAAGCCGGATACAACTTAACTTCTAATCTCGGAAAATTCGAAAACTGTAGCCAAGTTGTTGAATACCTAGTTACATAGAAACATCCGGCATCGGTAGCATAGCCAGGCTTGACCTGATAAAATGTAAATAACGTTAACTTTACTTGAAACTCTCCTTTTTGCCCAGGCTGGGAAATTATTATGGTGGTACAACTACTCACAGTCAATGTGATATATTACAAACCGAAAAGCCCGGCATCTCCCATCAACCAACCGGTTGATAAGGACAGATTTCAGCTCAGGCTGCACATCTAATGCAAAGCCTTATTCATATTTATACATAGAGGTCTTGGCATGAGCATCGCAACATCATTACAGAAGGAGATCGCGATGCACTTAACGGTAACGCGCTCCTCGCGACTAACATCCAGTAAGCTTCATGTTTCTCTCTACTCGTTAGGCTCCCACAGCTCGTTAGCAAGAAGCTCAATAAACCTGTGAGTCTCTGTACTGCGTCCAAATTGGGCCAACTTGCTCCAAATAGATACCGCACTATACCAACTCACGGAATTTGGTTGCACCGATGGATACAAGCCACCTCGGTGAGTTGACCAATCACACTATTGTGTTTACACAACAACTTGCGACAAGGTTGTGGGCGCGTGTGGCTCGCTTACACTTCTCTTTGAATGGAGGAGAGGTTCATCAAGATGCTCCACAGCCCGGTTGCCAGCTGTTGAGTAAATCCAGTATTTTGCAAGACGTCATATTCATTCTATTATTGCAACAACTACTGGTGCTATAGAGCGCTATTGAAACTCCTGAGTTGATATGGCAGTGAGCCATTACGCAGGTGTAATATGTGGAAATTGCGGGAAGGATGTTGATGAAGATGTTGTTCTTGCGTTGAGGCTCCAAAGGAGAAACAGGGGTCTTGACCTTTTGCTTTTTATGTATTAGCTTGATGTTTCTACCCATGAAACTGGATAGCGCTTATGGATTCATCAGGGACTCCCTGCTCGTTTGACCAATGATGCTATTTACCAAAATGTTGCTTATCTTGATCGCGATCGAACCAATCGGCCTTTTGGAAGCAGGGCAGTTCGCACGGTAATGTGGGTTCAATCAGCAGCTTATTTGAACAGCAATGAATAATTAGGGGTCCAAAGTAGGTCATCCCTCTTGCTCTGAAAAGGACTGCCTACACGCCTTGAGCCAGGGAGCCCATGTGGCAACCACATATGGTAGTCTTCTAGAAGCGGCGTTGCTGAGATTTCAGCTATTGATCTTTAGCGTGGCATCACTTCTTTGTTCTTCCCTTCTCCTGTCTCATAATCCCCTCTAGTTTGATACATTCTTATGAACAATATGTCTATTCTCAACCCTGACAACTTTAGTTCTATTAGGAGGCAACTTTTCATGATGCATCATATCAGTTTCCCCTGTATTTGGGTATTTTTATACTGCAATTGTTGGCCAACACGGTTATCTCCTCTTCTCATTGGAGAAAGCGACCAGGTTCCCAAGCTATGCCTCTGTCATGAGCAGTGGAAAGCTCAGAGAACAGTATCGGGCGCGTTTCAATCCGTCAGTCATGCTGGCCTGGGGGTTGGTCATCCCTCCGTACATATAAGCTGGTAAATGTGTCATAAACACCAGATCCTTTACAACCTTCTCTGATCTTCTTCCACTTCAACTCTCCAACATTCTCTGATTCTCTTCACTTCAACGCCAACAGATTTACATCTTTTCTGGATAAAAGATTGGCTCTATTTGTACATAAATCGTTTGACAAGCTGCCAACTCCAGAGACCTTATTGCCTGACTTTACCAGTCATTACCATGACCACGCCGACTGTACGCTCCGCGAACGAGCGAACCCTGCTCAACGATCTCTTGGATATCTTTAACGATGCTGCCCTTTTCACTTGCCGTGGCTGCAGACTCACAGGCTTTTCTGGCAGCGGCAATTCCACAAGCATTTCTGACAGCATCTATTGCCGAGATCCCGGCTGCGGGTCCCAGTTGCCCATTTCTACTCCCCAAGCAAAGGTAACATAACTACTTTCTCGTGTCATCTAGATATACATGACTAATTATTTCTCAGTCGGATTGTGCACTAGCCATACTCAAAGCTGTGTTGCGATATGTGCATGAGCATGGCGTCTCGCAAGGAGACATCTTTGAGTCAGCCATTGAGGCGTGCATTCATCACAACAACGCAGACGCAGATTGGGTTATTAAGAACTTCAATCTAGCACGCATCCTCCGTTAAGCAGAGTTCCTCCCGGCCTGCTCACTTACGAAGCACACACCATGCTTCGCTGGATTGCTAGATAGCCACGCAAGGAAGACGCATATCTTGTAGTCTTTCCACTTGAGCCTGGCACCCTTTTGTCATGTTGAACCATCGACAAGCACACGCTGGACGGTGCTTACTGTGTTGAACTGTTTTTTTACATCAGGTTATCGGGATACATGAGCGATACTGTCTTTACTGTTTTTGGGTATTTGTTTAGATTGAGTCATTGGGTTTATCATACACGGCATATCACCATAGCAAGCACAAATCGGAGCTTTTCTTTCTTTCACCCAATATCAACTGACATCTCTTCCTCTTCGTGACTGTTGCGCTTCTGGTGTCACTAGTGTTCATTCTTCAGCCCGAACATGCTCTGTTCCCTTGGACAGCTTTCTTCCAAGTTCAATAGCGCTTGCGACCATGATTCACTGTTGCTGGAACTGCGCAAACGGCTTTGGCGTTGGCGCTGCCACTGCCAGCTTCTGCTTCCATATCATCGCTTCCACCAACTCATCTCAACTTCTCCCAACTCCTCTCTTCATAACTTTCTTGTTGTTGTTCTCTTGTCATCTCATCTCTCGTTAGTATCACGAATAGTCTCGACTTAATACCTAGCCATCAATACATCGCCCGTCATGTCCTCGCCCACCGGCAATTCTACCAGCTTCACCCTATCTGGAGACGCCTCTCCCGTCATGGCACCTCCCGCCAACACGGTCGATATCTCCCCTACCGACCAGTCTGCTACGAACAGTATGGCGCTCAGCCCCTCACCCCTCGAGCGTCTCCCACAAGAGATTCTTCTCCGGATCAACGAGCTCCTCATCTTTCGACACGCCTCTCGCCTCGCGAGAACTTCAAAGTTCTTGTTCCAGATTCTGAACAGGGAGATATACAAGCTCGCGGGCAAACACGACCACTGGTACCCGCTGTATGTCGCAGCAGCGACGAGTAACATTGCTACTTTCGAGCGATGTCTTGAACTCGGGGCCGATATAGACTGTCATTGGCCGCTGAGCTCAGTTCGCACCTATGGCCACGGTCAACGGCTCTTTCTGTCATTGGGTTGGCGCCCGCTGCGCCAGGCCATCTCGTCTCACCAGGTCGAGGCTGTGAACTGGCTCCTTGAGCATGGCGCCGACCCGGACGAGACATTCGCGGAAGCCGTGCTGTTGAGCTTGCGTGAGCCACCGCTCGCCTTTGCTTTTCGTCGTGGTTACGGTTCGTTGGAAAACGCGCGTCCTAGCCGGTCTATTCTTTTCGCCCTCCTTGATGCAGGTGCTGGTCTGGATTATATCGATGAAGGTCCGGCTGAAGAGATTGAAGTCATGCGGGATGATCCTAGCTATATCAGTTTATACTGGTGGATCTGAGTGGCAGCTATGGCTTTGAGTTGCGGTTTGGGTTGGCTCTTGGGATAGCTGCTCAGACACTCACGTCTTGAGTCAACGGACGACTTCCTTTTGCGTTTCGACTTTTCTTTTCGTTTTTCTCTTTCACATCTTGATACGTTCTCTCCTATTTGCTCTCATTCATGAGTATACCTGGCTTGGAAACGTTGAGTGTTGGATGGATGTGATGTAACGAATTGGCTGGGTACAGGGTAGTGAAGTATACAGGACTCACCTGACGTCAGTTGAAAGTCTAGGGATATGAGAGGATAGACTGAGGTATCACCTCAGTTGGATCGATAGATATCGGGAACAGTTGATAGGACCTCATGTATAATCACGCAGATAGGCTGTCACGATGCAAGAATTGGTAGACACAGAGAATAAAGTAGACAGAAATCTATTGCTTGTACTGTCTCGCAGAAAACAAATCACACGCGCTCTCGCAAGTCTAGTCTATGAAATCTAATGCAATCCACTCTCCCCCGTCCTCGCCATGTGCTGCTGACACTTGATCATGATGTCCAACTGATCACTAACATCCTGCAGCCGCCCCAACACCTTTCTGTTACCATCGGTGAAGTTGAGGATCGAGTACGGCACACCAGTGTCGTTGCAGAACTCTCGAATCATGAACTGGACCTTGCGCAGGTTGTGGCGCGGCACACGCGGGAACAGGTGGTGAACGGCCTGGAACTGAAGACCGCCGTGGACAAAGTCCATCCACGCGGGGCAGTCGACGTCCATCGTGGTGCGGAGCTGGCGCTGGGCGAAGGATTCGGTCTCACCGAGGTCGACGGTTGACATTCCCCAGTGGGAGAGGGTGATTTGGACGTGGAGCGGCATGGTGACGATGTGAGAGACCAGAACGAAGATGACGCGGGTGGTCCAGTCGGGGAGACCGCGCCAGAGGAGACAGTAGCCGAAGAGGAACCAGTAGCAAGCCATGAAGGTGATCTCGGTAGGTCGAATCCACCAAGCGCGACTCTTTCCGAGCTGTGAGGACTTCTCAGAGAGAACGTGGAGCCATGAGAGGAGGTAGAGGTTGAAGCGCGCGATGCCCATGACGGGGTAGTATGTCCAGCGCTGGAAGGGAACGAGGAAATCGGCTGCGGCGTCCCAGACGAAAGTGAAGTTGTAGTATGTGGAGCGAAGGGACTTGAAGAATGAGGGACATGTTGCAAAGAGGGGAACGTTCTGGATATCAGGGTCGTGTTCCTAAAAAGGTCAGTATTGAGTGGTGTTTGATGAGGGGGGTATCTTACGGGTTGGTTTGTTACGAGATGGTGCACGTTGTGACTGCTCTTCCACCATCCAATTGATAGACCACAGCAGAAATCAGCAATGAACATGCCAATGAGAGTGTCGACGACAAAGTTAGACGTAATCGCAAGATGACCAGCATCATGCGCGCTGAACATGATTTGATGCTACTCATGTTAGTCAAAGCTTCACGACAAGTCAAAGAGCGACATACCCAGAACAATCCCAAGAACACAGCAGATGTGATGTACCACTCGTTATAAAACAACACACCAAAGAGCGCGAACAGCGCCGTGTATCGCGCCATCTCCTTCCCATACTCAACGTACGGGCACTGATAAAGACCCTCATCGTGAATCCTCTGGTGAAGAAGCTGATACTTTCTCGCAATGTTATCCTGGACCCGTGTATCTAGCGACGGGTACGTCTCAAGATCATTCTGAATCTCCCGTGCAACACCTGCATTCGCCACACGCAGTGTCGCAGTGCGCTTTCGCGAATCATCCGTCTTTGCTACTACACGCTGGCGAAGTCCCTCTTCTCCATCTTTGACGTCCACGCTGGGTGAGGATGAGGCGGAACTAACAGCGTCATCGAGACTGGTGTTGTCGTCTGTATCGGAGTATGTGCTTGAGTCTGAGAGATCGATCTCTTGGGCATCGAGGCGAAAGACGCCGCCTCTAATTGGTGGTGTGCGGTTCACCCAGGATCCTTGCTTCCGACCGATCCGATAGGCTTTCATGGTCCGTAAGGTCGCTTCCGAGTGATAACTATCCCAAAAGAGAAAATGTGTTAGTACAATCTGATCTGATCTGTGTCTTGTTGTCTCCCCCGCAAAATGCACTGCACATGTCATATTGACGTGTAGACCAATGGGGTGTTGTAGTGTAGGTTGTGTTTCTCTTTTTGGTGTAGTCTACCCGTACAACCTCAACCTCAACACCAAAAAAAAGTATCGCCAGACTTACGCTTTCATCTCGTCGGTCGCATCCCTGCCCACCATGTGCAGAACAGCTAATCTTCCACCGGGATGTCTATCCATCCAACCGTCGAGCTTGAGTACCGAGTCTTCGAAGACGACGATTGTTTGACCAGCTGCGATCATCCTCTCAACCGCCGCAGCGGTCAAGATCTTGTCGCGGTTCATTTCGGGGTATTTTAGTGGTGATTTGTTTTGGAAGGAATGTCGAAATGAAAGAGAGACAATTGAGAAAAGGTAAAATGAAGGAGAGGAGAAGTGATTAAGTGTCACTACAGAAAGAGAGAGTGGATATGAATGAAGAGCAAACAGAGCAGAACGGGAATCACAGCAGCAAACAGCCGAGGCAGCACAACGAGATAAGTACCTTTTGCTCTCCGCCCTCTCACATCAGGGGCACAGCCTTCAAGTGCATCCATTTATTTCACATCGTACGTACCCCAACGGCGCATTTCTCGCCCCCTCAATAGCCAAATAGATAGCGTTGCTGGGGTTGGGTCTATTAGCTCAAAGGAGATTGAACACATCTCAGGAACCCTGTGTAGCCAAGATTTCTTTTTCTCGGCGCAAGGACCACATATTAAAACTGGCCTTGGGGTTTGGACTAGACCAAGTGGAGATGAGCTTGTGAAACAAGAGACTCCTGGTCCTGTCCTGGTAGGTCAGTGAAGTTGTTGGGTTGGGATCTAGACCTGAGTGTGGCATTGGATGGTGACAGTGATGGGACACGTTCTAGAAAAATAGCTTATTTGCGCCCTGCTCTTGCGTGCGTATACGGCAACAACAGATTGTGACGTTTGAGATAGAATGAACAGACATGAAAGATACACGTATTGATAGGCCGTATTCCATTCTCGCCTCCAATTACGCGTAACATAAACTACTCAAAACACTTTCCGTACCCGTACGGATCAGGGATTTTCCTCTCGTTCTACCTCGTTCGTTCAGCAAAAACTAACGCGTAATCGGATACCTCCCCCTCCAGGAATAGCTCATCTCTTGTTCCGTCCGAGAGGATACGAAAATCCCTCCTCCACCGTCGGAAAACCACACGCGCGTCTGGCTAGGCCTGCGCCCCCTACCCCACTCCCCCCTGTAGCCCACTTGCAGCGGGGGGGCGTTCCAGTGCAGAGACCCTGATTTTTCTTTCGGGGTGCTGTCCTGTCCCGCCGGTGACCGACTCGCCCGTATTGGTATCGGCGTTGGTCCGTACGCGTAAACGAAATAAACGAGAACGATCAAAGTTAAAGAAAAGGGGCGCGCGCAGGTGTTCTAGAATAAGGGTTTTTTTCTCAACCAGAAAAGTCTAATTACTACAGGGTCTTCTCGGCATTTCATGGAATTACGTACGTGTGTTGCACGTGGTAACTCTGTTGGAAGCTTGTCATGGTAGCTCAAACACTTGAACCTGAGTAGCTTCAAAAGGGGCCACCGGCAATCTTAGCCAACTTACGTCGCTGATGAGTGCAACATGCCATGAATCGAACCACAAGCATATTAAAATCTTGGCTAACGCGAAAGAACGAAAAGAACCTGTTTTTCGTAACGGCGCAGCAAAACTACCTACCTACCTTGTGCCCTTTTTTTCCTCTCGCCACACAAGAAAGGGGTTACTGCAGTCTCAGCTCTTGTGAAGCTAAGCTTTGGATACCCCTGCTTCTATGGTGAGAGATTACTCCGTAGGACTGGGTGTCCAATCCAGTGGCGAAAAATAAACATGTCAAGATTAACTCTATGCAGCTGTGACCCAGATCTTGCTAGCGCCCCACGTTTTATCTTGAGTGTGGTGGGTTGGCTAATCTTATCTTATCGCCGTTTGTCTGGGGGGCGGTTAAATGAGACGGAGATGGAATTGGGACTTTGGTTTGGTTTAGGGTAATGATGATGTTGCGACGGTATGTTCCGTTCAAGATTGGTTTATTGAACAACAGAAGCAGTGTAGGTAGGTAGGTGTTGTACAAGACAATGCATTCTTCAGTATCTTGCTGGATTGTATACTGTATCGACGCATCAGTGAACCCCTCATTGCGTGATCCAATCAATTTACCTCATACCACTGTAACAAACCACTCACTCATTCACTCCTCACTTCAACAACCATCATCAGAATGCCATCCCAAGACTTCACCCAAATCCCCATCATCGATCTCTCATCCTCCACCCCTCAAACCCTCTCTAATCTCCGCACCGCCCTCACAGAAATCGGCTTCCTCTACATCTCCAACCACTCCGTCCCCACGTCCACAATAACATCCCTCATCAACATCCTCCCTCAACTCTTTTCTCTCTCCGCCGAAGCCAAACAAGAAATCGCTTTAGAAAACTCCCCTCATTTTCTAGGCTACAGTGCCGCAGGGACGGAAACTACAGCTGGTAAAGCTGATCTGAGAGAACAAGTTGAACATGCGACGGAACTTGTTAAAGCACCTGATGATGCGCCGTTGTATGATAGGTTGAAGGGCCCGAATCAATGGCCATCTGCTCTTCCAGAGTTGAAGACTGTTGTTACGAGGTATATTGAGGAACTTACACTCTTGGGAGAACGGCTTTTGAGACTTGTTGCGCGAGCTCTTGATCTTCCGGAAGAGGTTTTCTTCTCGTACTTATCCGATCAACATCGTCTTAAATTGGTCCATTACCCTGCATCAACAACTTCATCGCAAGGCGTCGGCCCTCATAAAGATTCATCAGGATGGTGGACTTTTCTTCTCCAAGCATCCCCCGAAGTTAACGGCCTTCAAGTCCTAAACAAATCCGGCTCATGGATCGACGTCCCCGCTATTCCGGACACTTTTGTCGTCAACATCGGACAAGCGTTTGAAGTTGTGACCAACGGCGTATGCAAAGCTACAACGCATCGCGTACTTTCTAGCACACAGGAAAGATTCAGCGTTCCGTTCTTTCAAGGTGTGCGACGGGATTTGACGAGGGACGAAGCGATGACTTTGTTGAAGGAGCATTTTGAACGGTTTGGAAAAGGTGAGGAGGCGGGCGAGGCGGGGACGGTGGATAATCCGTTTGTGAGGGGGTTGTATGATACTTGGGGGGAGACGCAGTTGAGGACGAAAGTTAGGAGTCATAGGGAGATTGGGAGGAGGTTTTATGGGGAGGTTTATGAGAGGTATATTGAGGATTCTTGAAGGAGAGAGGGAGTGATGACGTGGTGGTGAGGAAGTGTCCGAGAACTTTCCGCTCAGGCATAAAGCTCCGAGACGACATCATCACTCCGTTCAATCGCTTCAATTTCACTCTATATCAATTAATGATTGATGGTATATCAAGATGGCACTCGAATTACCCGCGCGACAGACCTTTACAGCCCTCAGCGGCAATGTATACTCATACACCTTCATCCCTCCAACCTCCCAACCCACAACTCTTCTCTTCCTCCACGGCTTCCCGTCAACCCTCACAGACTGGATCCATCAAATTCGACACTTCTCTTCCGAGGGATATGGCGTCGTAGCTCTCGATCTTCTCGGCTACGGCGAAAGTAGCAAGCCGACAGATGTAAACGCGTATCGCCTCAAACCAATGAGCGATGAGGTCATTGAACTTCTCGACCATCTGAACCTCAAGACTGTCGTTGGAATTGGCCATGATTTCGGCGCGACACTACTATCGAGAATGGCGGCTTATTACCCATCGCGCTGGGAATCTCTCGTCTTTCTGGCTGTTGGACCGCCGAAGCTTGGGACGCCATTTGATGTTGACATGATCAATACCATAACCAAGCAGTTTCTGGGGTATGAGATGCTCGGATACATCCCATGGCTAGCCGACTTCAGCTCGCAACAGATTCTTGAGAAGAATGCCGAGGCGGCCATGAGTCTGGTGTTTTGCCGCGATCGGGAGGAGTGGGAGACGTGGTTTCATCCTCTTGGCAAGATGGAGGAGTTTGTACGCGATGATCACAGACTCCCAATCGCATCATGGTACACTGATGATCTGCAACAAGCACATATAAAGGCATTTGGTTCGACTGATGGGTATAAAGGCGTGTGTCGATGGTATCGCATGTGGAAAGACAACCTCTTCGCCCCCGACGAAAAAGGCTTTGAAGACTTTCAGATCACACAACCCGTTCTCTTCATCGTCCCTTCAGAACCCAAACAATCCGCGACCCAACAACAACAAATGATTTCATCCTGGACACCCCATCTTCAAACCGTCACGTTGAATACTAGCCACTGGATCCATATCCAACAACCCTCCGAAACCAACACCACGATCCAAATCTTCCTCACCTCACGCAGGGAGACTTAACTGCTCAGGCCTCAACCAATCAAACGTATCCAAAAGATCAAAATTAAAGTCCAACTGCGTCGGAATATCCCAACCTAGCGTATCCAGCGCTCCTCCACCTGCAATAGGCGCATTGAGGTTGTGATCGAGTACACCTTGTATAACAGCTTTGCAGTCCGCGCAGAGATCGGCGTTGGGAGCGGGTGGACGGACCCAGTCGAGGAATCCGATTAGAAGACTGAGTTTTTGGATTATGGCAGAACGGCTTAGTTTGGGACAGTCGGGATGGGTGCCGCGGAATGTTGGGCGGAGGAGTTCGAGGCAGAGAATACCGCCTCCGGGGGCGGCGAAGGCCATGAGCTGGACTTGTTAAAGAGATGGAGTGTGATATTGGACAATTTGACTTACGAGCCATTCAAAGTCTCGTCTCATGCCGGAGAAGCGATCTTGATGTGTCCAGAAGAGAAGCGTTAAAGTGACCATCTCAAAACTAATCGGGAGTAACCGGTTTTCATCGATGTGACCCAGTCGAAGTAACAGTCTCTCCACAAAAAAGAGATTCTGCATGTGTTCTAGTCGAATAAGAATCCGTGAGTATACTTTTTGGACATCACAGTCTGGATCGTCGAGTTCGTCGGGTCGATGGATAAGATTCGCTGGGAACCTCTCATACGTCCTTTCAGCGCGAGTCTTGATCTCACTACTCTTGTCAGCAGAGCACTCCAAAGTATGAGAGTAACGTACGTTAGCCTCTCAAATGTGACCTTGACACTATTGGCAAGTGCAATCTCGAGGAGTTCATCCTTTATATAAGCAATCTGCGCACGCGCCCTAACCATAGACGATCCTTTCAGATCACCTACGTGACGAAAGCCATTGGCGTCTAACTCTTGCACTGCATGTCTCACAGTAGCTTGGTCAGACTGAAGATCCAAGTCTGTAAGATCGAGTGGTAGAGGGGATGAGAAGAAGCGGCGACTGAGGAGCGGCGGACGGCCTGTGAAGGAGACGAGAACTTTGTCGACGTTGAAGACGCGAGCTGTTATGCGACGTCTGTGCTCGGAGCAGAGAGAGGGGATGTAGTTTGTGTCTTCTGATCCGACATGTCTACCAAGGAACGTGAGGAGTGCGACGGTCTCTGCAAAGTACCGCCAGCATGTTAATCCTATGAATGTTAGCGAGCTTCAACTGATGGGATAAACACCAACTTACCTGCGTCGCCTGAGACGAGAGATTCAGTGGTGACTCGTCGGTAGCAAAGATACAGCATAATGTCATTCCCAGGTGTGAAATGTCGAGCAAGTTCAATGCAATACCCCAAACACTTCACCACAACTGGCGCATCGAAGCTCGGCGAGCCATCCCAGTACGTCCAGATCAATCCAATCGACTCCCACCGAATATTACTCCCCTTGAACTGATCGGTCCAAGCCTTCGCACTCGAATGTTCATCGCGAAAAGGCCTCGCCGTGTTATGGCTTACATGACGCGCCACCACATCAAGGTCCGCATCATCTCGCGACGTGAGATATCGTCCCCAGTCTTTATGAAGCGTGTCTATAACATCCTGAATCGTTCTGAAGATCCATCCGTCTGTGAGACAGTGAAGTCTATGCGCCATAACATCATGCTGAGATTGAGGCAAACACCGAAGAACATAAAGACTCATATCCCTCAAGTGAGACGGGAGGTCAATCACACTTCTACCCCTCGGCGCCCTCGGCTCAACTTCCACTGGGGGACCGTGGACGAGGGAGAGGCTGTTGCGGGTTTCTTCAAAGACAGCATTGTGACTGGTGAAGCCGAGATATCCTGGTGCCACCGCGGGTGAAGGCGTCGAGTCAGCAGTATTAGTGCTCTGTGGTTGAGGTGGATGTTCGGTGCGAACAGGGGACCGAAGCCGTTGTTTCTTAACTGTGGCCCCCGAAACGGTGTAGACGCAGGTTTCGTGCCGCTTTTTGCAGCGTGAACAGGTCGGCTGGACGTGGTCGCATGCGACTTTCCGCGCTCGACATGGATCGCAGGCTTGAGGGCGACCGTTTAGGCGTAAGAGGAGAGGGGCTGTTGACATGGCGCCATTGATTTATGATGGTTGCTGATGAATCCGATGATGATAAATCTTGATTCTCGGCTTGAAGTAGTTCGGCTTGAGATATCGGCCTCAAAAACGGGGTGTTGTTTTGGATGTCGGGTTGAAAATAGAGTGTTTGAGCGTGGGGTTCGGCTTGAAAATAGAGTACTCGGCTTGATTTTAGCGGACTCGGCTCGAATTTGAGCGACTCGGCTTGGGAATAATGGGGAATCGGCTTCAGTACCCACTTGGTTCAGCTCGGCTTACAGGGGTTTATACTACTTTTGGCACGCCGATGGGCAATGCAGTGTCACACGGAGTCGGATTGAAGCTTTCAGGCATGCAGGGCTGACAAGATGTGATCCATTTCAAGGGCGTTGCGATGTCATTTTTAACATTTGTGACTCAATCGATTGATGGTGTGTATGCTCTGTCTCGGGTATAAGTAGAAGCTGTGTCCCCGAGATTTGAGGCATTAGAATAAGATACATCAGCATCACTACAGTTTACAGTCTACAAGACATTTACACTACACTACACAGTTATAAAGCAATACACAACACCTTCACGATGTCGAACCCTACATACAAGAACGCCAACGTCTCTGAGACAACACTCGTTGACACGACAAAGGCTTTGACGAGTACCAAGCCGGGTATGTCTCATTCACTTCTTATTGGTAGTCGTCACTAACAAGGCAGGTCTTGAAACTACATCGCATAAACCTTCACTCAAGGAAAAGATTCAGAGGAAGCTCGCAGGCTCAGTCGACCCTACAAAAAAGCCAGCCGACCCTTACAAGTCATGGGAAGCACGATCAGGTCAGCAAGATAATCACCAAACACACCTACCAAAGCTAATGCGTTCCTAGTAGCTCTGCTCTGAATGGACGAGACATGACACCGTGAACTTTTGCTAGAGATTTGGATGTATGGGAGCACGCTATGGTTGAACTTGTCTCTTTGCTGGCTGGAGATATCCCTGTATCAGAATGAACTGATTTGTCGCTTTTACCTTATGATATAATAACACGTTGGTGCTTATTCCCCATTCCTCCGGTCCCAATAGTGTACGATGTGCTCCAACGTCAGCCCCAACTGTGAGCCATGACTGCCGCGCAATGTCGGTAGATGCGGGCGTATAACAGCTTCAGTAGCGCAATCGGATGCGTCGGGATAAGCGCGCTGATCTGATCTCACTACGAGTCCGAGGCACCCATCGCATCCTTTCTCCTCAAGACCTCCCACTCCGCCCGGTTGACCTCTCCCCGCGTGTAGATATCGCTCTGATTCTCCCAGAAGTGCACGCGGCTTCCAAAATGGTGTCGCGCAATGCCGGCTATTTCCTTCATGTGGTCTAGCGTTCCGGCCTTGAAGACGCTCGAGGTGCGCAGGCTGAGGAATAGGTCGCAGTTGTTGGGGTTGGCGGGGATTCGCGGGTTGTTGGTGAGCACGAAGTGGATGAAGTGCTTGTCGAGGAAACTGGGGAAGTCGGTGTCGGTTGGGAGGACGAGGAAGCGGGATTCTTCGTCGGTTTTGTAGACGGTGGTTATGTCGTCGAGGAATTCGGTGTAGCGGATTTTGTTCTCGGGTGTTGGGGGGAGGGCGGGGAAGATGTCGAAGCCGCAGTCGAAAGACATGGTGATGATGTGTGTTTAGTGGGGGTGAAGATGTGGATGATGTTGTGATAGGGAGTTGAGATGGATTGAAGAGAGATGAAGGTTGGTGGTGAAGTGAATGAGCAGCAGTGCTTCGCGCTCCTTCCTGCCTGGCGCTGGCAGCCGCCCAGCTGTTTGCTCTTAGGTTCCAAGGCTTGAGAAAACAGCGCGTTCATTTGCTTAACCTCGCGACACTCTAAGCTACGAATCTTGCTTCGAAAGATGAACCATAAATCAAGGATCGTGAACAAGCTTTCGCATCTCCACATGTCGAGGACAAGACTTACCAGAAGTCTCTGTACTTGAAGAAGCTATGTTTGGCCTTGACTTAACCACTGGGTCATTTTATGCGCGCAGATGTCTTGTGGTGTTGATTGTCTGCATCCCTTTTGTTTGCAGCGACGAATGACGGCAAATGAAGCTATCGCGAGATGTGTGGACTCAAGGACAGGAGCTGCTTGCGAGGTGCACAAACGCATGATTACACAGAACCAAAGACAATTAAAATGGTATCCATGATAGGAGAATGGATACAATAGAATATAAAGCTTGCAAAAGAAGTAGTTCGCTGGGTGCGAAGTACAACTGCACCGCGAACAAAGACGCTTCTGGCCTGCAACTTTGCAAGCATATTCGCCACGACCAACTTTCGGCTTAAATGTTGGGATCAACACATCGAGTATACAGCCTTTACTGGGTGAATGGATGGATTGATGCGACAGTGGGAAATAAGGGCTTGATATGCTCCCACAGTGGACTTAGCCCCCTCGCTTCCAGCAGACGCCTCGAAGTTGATTAGTAAACTACATCTGGTACATGGATAAAACTAAGGCATTTAACCCCTGAGTAATATTAGAGCGTAATATAGATAAGATGTAGTTAAGTTGCGAGTGAAAACAAAAGGTTGGTAGGATGAAAGTCGAAGTGCACAATTGTGCTGACACCTCGATGCTACCGACCAGCATCCTGCAAGCCATGAACCCAACCAGACCTTTACCTAAGTCTGACACATGTACTGATGAGGTCTCGACTAACGCATGTGAGGAGACACAGGGTTTGAGTTCAAGTATGTTCCTGAGTAAGGGGTTCATGAACAGCTTCCCAGACCTGTATCTCTAGAGAAGTCTTGCCTGGGATTAGCGGAGTGATGCCTAGAATTGTCGAGATTACTTTTAAAAGCAGATCCTGACTTAAATAGTTGAGTTTCTGTGCGTTGGAAGTCTTGTATGATCGGATCTCGTGCGCCCCAGACTTGGGAACCATGTTGCAGAGTACTCAAGCCACAAGTGCACGCTTTACGCTTCGCCTAACGGTACTTAAGTCTGGGTTGAGTATGCCATTGATATAACTTAAGTAGAAACCTGACACAGATAAGTACAGCCCGTGTTCGATGGCTCAGAGGGTACCGCTTTCGATAGGAAGATTACTGGTAACGAACTTTAGCACTCCAAAGGTTCATCAGCAGGCGTTGCGGCATCTGGTACCTAATTTATTTGAGTTGCCATCACAGCGCAGCCAGAAGCTTCCGTGAAGCATTTTCTTTATACAGAAATTGGCTTTCTATCATCTAAGATCAAGGCCCGTACGTACTTATCTTTGCTCGCACGAGAAGAACACTCAACAGCCTTATTTCACATCGGTCAAGACCAGTCGCAAGTTGTCATTTTACCTCAGAACACATTTACACATGGGAGTGTTTGATCCAAATGACCTAGACGTAATCCAGACAAGAAACCTCCTAGTTAAGCAAAGCTGGAGCTTCGACTTACACGACCGCGACATTCTCTTCCTCCAGCTTTTCCACCACTGTCTCCATCACCGTATCCTTCAAGGCCATATCCTTACACAACCTTCTAACCTCCTCCTCCGCCTCCTCCACATCCCCAAGCGTATAATACCCCCACTGCTTATTACACCTCATCCCATGCATCCCATTCCAATACTTAACCCTCTCGCCAAAACACTCCTTCGCAATATCAAGAACCTCCATAACATGAGCAACAGCTACTTCTCGTGGTAAACCACCGCTTCCGAAGCTGAGACGGAAACCGAGAAAGTAGTTGCAGTGTTCAGGATTGGCGGGGATCTTGGGATACTTGGGGAATGCGAAGTAGTAGAAAGCGGTGTCGACGTCGGCTATGAGGAGCGGTTTGGAGCTGGAGGGATGGGTTCGTGAGGAGAATGTTGTTCTGAAGCGGTTGAGGAAGAGGGCGTAGAGGGACTGGTTGGAGGGTGTTGGGGGGAGAGGAGGGTAGATGCTGAAACCGCATTCGTACTCGACGGTCATTGTGCGGGTTTTCTGGTGCTGTTAGTAACACTGATACTGATTGGACGTGTAGTGCTTACTGAGGAATCTCGAACTTATTATCGCAACGGTGTATTGCTGTGCTTTGAAGCTGAGAGACACTCGACGATTGACGAAGCGGACAGGAGAACACTGCCAATGTTCGACCTGGAAAGATCTCGAGGCTTTATGCAGCAACCTTGAAGGTTACTGTTTTGGAGATACGATCTTTCTTTATAACGTGATGTGCCCGTTGTCGGGTTATTGCAGAGCCATCTCCGCATTCGAGGTTGTTGTCAACCCATGATGTTCTTTGTTCAGACAAGATGACCATGTGACTTCTTTGAGGTCAATTCGACATCTTTTCCAACATAAAAAGCAGTATAATTATAAGTATCGGTATAAAGAATCCCGCATTGGGAAAAATAATTGACTTGTTGCGTGATCATGACAGAGTTCGTCAAACAAACTCATCACAGCAACAAGCTCATTCACGATATTAAGTTTACAGCCTCCCGACTACTCAACCATTAACATAACAACTTACAACGTAACAAAAACCTTTCCCCTCTTCTCCATCCTCCCACTAGCCCTCCCATAAGCCTCCTTCGCTTTCGCAAGCTCAAACGTCTCCGCCAAGAACGCCTTGACACATCTATCATCCAACAAGACGGCCAACTTCTCAAGCTGTTTCCGCGAGGGTTCAAAAATAAGGAGCAAGCTTTTACATGCTCTTTGCCAATGGGACGAGTGCTGATAAAGTTAAAACTGCTGGAGCACACGGATATGAGGGTTCCGGGAGGATGTCACGAGGTCCCATGCGTTAAAGAGGACCTTTCCACCGACTGCGTCCACGAGTATGTCAAAGGTTTGAGTGAAAAGATCGGTCTATTCAAGGACGGAGTGCACGCCTAGGGAGGGAAGAAAGGAGGAGTTGCGGGGTGTTGAACTTAATGCTGCGACGACGTGGAGGCTTGTTAGAGAGGTAAGCTGGACTATGTACACTCCTACGGCGCCTGATGCTTCAGTGACGAGGATCTTTGTACTGGTGTTGTGTTCGCCTGTACTGTTAGGTTCTTGGAAGAATTGCGTGGGCGAAGAGAGCTTGTCATGCTGTTAGGGCACTCAAAAGGACAGTCACACTCTCAGCCCACGATAACTTCTTCGACTCAAGCGCAACTTCATCTTCAAGAGGAACGGAATACTGTGCCCTTGCTTCAAGTGTAGAGCTCACCATGGCATAAACTTCATCTCCAGGCTTAAACCTCGACTTCCCTCCAATATGCTCAACAACGCCAGCGATACCATACCCCGGAATATGCTGCTCCTCACGATACATCCCGGGCCACGTTAGATTCATCGCGTGTAACAGTCGTAGGATGTACCCTGACAAGGCTGTGTTTCAATTCCGGGAAGGGTACATTCTTATTTAGTGTGAAAGAAGACGGTGGAGGCGAAATACTTAGACCTCGGTCTTGGAAGAACTGATGGGTATTGCCTGCATTAGATCAGATCAGATGACGTCGAATCTGATAAGATCATCTCGGTGAGCGATTTTCACGGACCCGTTGTTATGGGAAAAGTAACCAATTAGACATGAAAGTGATGACAGGTTAAAATCAAGGGTCCCCACGAGTTCAGGGCCGGTGCCGGACTTGATGATGCCGAGGTTGTACATGTACAATAATCTTCAACATGCGCGTGCTTTGTAATTGTATTATAATGTAGATTTTTATAGAGAAAAGACCCTTGAGTGAAGGACCTATCAGTAGATGCCATATCAAACTGCATGCATTGTCTTACGAGGGATCTTGACGACATTGGACGGTTCTTCACCCCACCATCAAGCCCCCGAATTTGGTGATAGGCACATCTAGCCCACTCAAGTGGCTCCCGCATGGGCGCGGCCCAAATCAAGAGGCCCATGGTATAAGTACCTACCCAATGCGCTGCAAAAGCCTGTTCTTGCTGATCACCCCACGCACTCATCATGACTCTTTTCATCAATGGCAAGATCCTCTCGAGGACTGTCGCCAGTTTGGCCGACGAACCTACCTTTGCTGAGAGCATGTACATAAAAGACGGAATCATTCAAGCCGTCGGTACAAAGGACGATGTTTCGGCAAAAGTTACAGGCGATGTTGTCACGCAAGATCTCGGTGGGAAGACGGTTCTACCGGGTTTTGTAGATGGGCATATGCATCTTTTACTACTGGGTCAATCGCTGAGAAAGATTGCGCTGGAGCATTGTAAGAATCTGGAGGATATTCTTCACGAGCTACGCACGTATGCGAAAGCGAATCCGGATGTTCCGAGGATCATGGCGAAAGGATGGATGCACTCTATGACTCCGGACGGAGTAACGGCCAAGATTCTTGATGAGATTGACGAGAGGCCGATTTATGTTGATACAAAGGACATGCACTCGACGTGGTGCAATTCAGCGGGGTTGAAGGAGATGAAAGTCGCTGATTTGGAGGATCCGCCTGGTGGTATCATCGAGAGGGATGAGAACGGTAAACCATCTGGTGTTCTCAGCGAAGCGTCCATTTTGTCGATTGTGTGGCCTACGCTTGCGCAGCTTGCGTCGAATGAGGAGCGGATTGAGTGTATGCTCGCTGCGTTCAAAGCGTACCATGCGTCAGGATACACAGGGATTATCGAGATGGCGATGGATGAGTACAGCTGGGAGAGCCTTGTTGAGTTGAAGAGGAGACATCCTGATGTTGCGATGCGTGTTACGGCGTATTGGATCGTTAAACCTGCTGATACAGTGGAAGAGCGCACTCGTCAGGTTGAGAGGGCTGTTGAACTTGCGAGGCAGTATAGTCTGGAGAACTCGCCTGATCTTCGTATCGCGGGTATCAAGATCATTTGCGATGGTATCATCGATGCGTGTACGGCGTATCTCTCTGAACCATACTCTGCAGTTGCGTCACCGCCGCCGTTTTGGTCAAGAGAGGATCTTGAACCTGTTGTTAAACAGGCAGCTGATGCTGGTATCCAAATAGCTCTTCATGCTATCGGTGATGCGGCGATTCATATGGCGGTTGATATGCTCGAGAAGTACGGCATACCAGGTGCCCGACATCGAATCGAACATCTCGAGGTCTCATCCCCTGAAGACGCAAAACGCCTGGGCAAACTGGGCCTCACAGCTTCCATCCAGCCCGTCCACGCCGATCCAGCAATTCTCCGCGCCTGGCCCCGTCTCATCGGCTCCCGACGCGACCGCGCATTCGCATACCGTGAATTCGCCGACTCAGGCGCTCTTCTCGCGCTGGGCAGCGACAGTCCCACAGCACCTTGGAATCCTCTCCACAATGTGTATGTAGCTGCTACACGACGTTCAGCGAGGGAGCCCGAGTGTGAGGAAGTTGTGAATGAGCATTTTAAGTTGGGTGTTTGTGAGGCGATTGTGGCGGGATCGCAGGGCGCGGCGAAGAGTGTTTTTCAGGATGGGAGGGTTGGGACGTTGGAGGTGGGTAAGTTTGCGGACTTGGTTGTAGTGAATATGGAGTGGGATAGTAGGACGTTGCTGAAGGCGGAGATTAAGGAGACGTGGTTTGCTGGAAAGAGAGTCTGGAGTGAGAACTGAGGCGATGGGTTGCGTTGTGATGGGTGATGAGCGTGGTGTTGGTGTTTTAGATGGGATGGGAGTACAAAATGAGATAGACAATGCAATGGGTGAGCTTCAAGACTGTTCGGTTAATTGAGTACGGGAATAACTGATACCGTAGTTACCCATGCTTGCCATGTTACGTCGAATGCTCGTCAAGATGTTCAATGTTCAATTAAGTTCACGCATCTCTTCGCCAACCTCTTCTCCGTCACAGATCAAACAAGAACACTCAATCAATCCATGACGCATTCAAGCCACTTATCCGTATCACGGCCATCATCTGACCATCTCCTCCTCTATCAGATATGCATCTGCCAAGTCTTCACGATATCTCCAAACCTAACATCCTATCTCCTCTTCGCATCCAATTCTAGCCTCCGCTTTCTCCACCGCGCCCTTTTCCGCGGGAAAACATCACCCATCCTAGCCAACTCAACATAACCCATCAGCTCATTCCCCCGCATCCCAGTTTTAGTTAACTTACCTATCTCAGAACAACCCCAGCTAGCGGTATCTCAAACCCTCCACTGACTTATCACAGTGCTCCACTGAACCCCGGATAACATGAATCGTATATCGCCCCCGGGTTCAAAAAGGGCGCTGAGTCGCCATTTCTTTGGCACAGCAGGACAAGATTCTTTCTTGATCATCCTGAGTACACTTGTTTAACTTCATCATGGCTGAGACAAAGAACGATATCGAGGTGGACAAGAAGATCATCCCTCTTGACCACGACGACGTTGAAGCTGATATCAAAAACGGCACGGTAACTGACCTCGATGAGGCAGAATTGTTCCTCCAACAACATGGCATTGCACACTCGCGCCTAAGCGAACTCATGGCCGATGAAGAAGCCCTCAAGAAACTCCGTAAAAAAGTCGACTGGTCGCTTATGCCGCTTCTCTGTGGAACGTATCTTCTTCAATATGTCGATAAACAAGCCCTCGGCTACTCAGCTGTCTTTGATCTGTTCTCAACCACCGGAATGACACCAGACGAATACTCGTGGATGGCGTCCATCTTTTACTTTGCGTACCTCGTTGCGGAGTGGCCTGCTTCATACCTTGCGCAGCGTTTACCAACTGGTACCATCGTCAGCACATTCGTCATCACCTGGGGTTCTATCCTCTGCCTCACAGCAGCTTGTCAAAACTTCGCTGGCCTAGCAGTCTGTCGTTTCCTCCTCGGCGCTTTCGAAGCTGTAATCACACCTGCCTTCATGCTCATCGTCTCGCAATGGTTCCGTCGCGAAACACAACCTGCGCGTGCAGGACTGTTCTACTGCTTCAACGGCTTCGGCGCCATGTTTGGCGGCATTCTCTTCTACGGCGTCGGCCAAGCTAAAGGATGGGATGTCTGGCGAACTATCTACGTGCTCTGCGGCGGACTGACTATCTGCTGGGGTATAGTGCTGTTCTTCTTCCTGCCTAACAACATCCTCACTGCGAAGCGGTTCAGCGTTGAGGAGCGTGCCATGCTTATTGCGCAGAGCGCGAGGAATAAGACGGGTGTGTTTAACAGGAAGATCAAGTGGAATCAGATCAGGGAGGTTTTTGTGGACTCGCAGATCTGGTTGCTCTTCTTCTTTACGCTGTTGAACGAGGTTATCAACGGGGGCATCGCGAACTTTTCGAAATTGATCGTTAAGGGGTTTACGCATGATGCGTTGTTGACGACGGCGTATGGGATTCCGTATGGGGCTTGCAACGCGATCTTTATGTTTACGGGACCGTATGTTGCGTCCAAGTTTAAGAATGTGAGGACGATTGTTATGTGTGTTTGGCTTTTGCCGACGCTTATTGCTGTTACGTTGTTTTGGCAACTTCCTCGATCCAACAAGGGCGGTCTCCTTGCTGGTTACTACATGGTATGTCCCCAAACCCCCCTCTATTGGAACCATTTCTAACTATTACAGTGCGCTTCTTTTGTCGGCGCTCTCATCGTCGCTCTTCAAATGCCTGCCTCAAACGTTGGTGGCTACACCAAGCGAACTACAGCCACAGCATTCGTATTCCTCGCATACTGCATCGGCAACATCATCGGTCCTCACGGCTTCATTGGCTCTGAAGCACCAATCTACCAAACTGGTTGCAAGCTCATCATTGGTTGTGTAGCAGGTCAGGTTGTCATTGCGATTGCTCTTCGTTTCGTACTCATCCGTCGAAACCGTCTTCGTGATGCTCAAGGTCCTGTTGTGGAGGATGAGAATGCTGTGTTGCAGGATCTCACTGACTTTGAGAATCCCAACTTCCGATACTCTTACTAGTTATGGGAGAAGGTTTATGATGTCATGTTGTTTAGTTAGTCAATTGAAGCTTTGGTCTTGGACCCTGTATACCCCGGATTCGGTGATGACTCGGGAACCCGTGCTTTTGCTTTAAAATCTGGGGTATTTCACTTTGGTGCTGCCTTTACGTAAAGGAATTATGTGACCAGATGTGTATGCAGGTTATGCTAGGTTATTGATCCTGGGGTTTCTTGGCAAGATGGGGTAGACATGGACTAGTCGAGGCGATGTTTGTTTCTCCGGGCATAGCACATATCAATTGGTCTACGGAGTCATGTACTCAAGATCAACAGTTTAGTCTTATTCTGTGTGATCTCTAGTCCTCCCACTTGGAAGATACCCTCCACCAAAACTCACACTGCTCATCTCCCCACGTAAACTCAACCAACTCAGCCGCCTTCCCAACCCCCGTCCCTCCAGCCCTCTCATCATTCCCCCTCCCAAGCAACATAGTCTTTCCCTTCCCACCTTCAAACGGGGTCCACTCTGGTCTATGCGAAAACTTACCCTTTAGAGTATTCGGATCAGTCTTTGTGATGAAACTAGTACAGTACGCATGGAACTGTCCAGATACTTCCCTCTGCGCAGGTGATATCTCACGAACTTCTCGGTTAAATGTCTGATATCGCATTTGATCACCGTGGTTGGCGCCGAAGAGGGCGGTTTTGTTCAGGGCCCAGTGGTAGAGATATGCGGGTTGGGCGTTTGGGTGGTATGTTGACCAGATTACGGTTTGGCGGACAGGGCATGTATATGCGTAGTGGCCGTATGCTGTCTCGAGGCGTTTATACTGGGATCCTACACCCGGGATGCCACGAGTGTCAAGATGTGGTGAGTCGGGGTTTTTTGAGGGATCAGGATACAACTTCTCAAGCTCTGCAACTTCAGCCTCTGTGAGATGCGGTAACAGCTCACGAAAGAATCCCGTGAAATCTTCAGGTTTATCTGCCTTTTGGGGAACGTAAAAAGCACCCTCGTTCGCGGCTGAGCCAGTCAAGATAGGAACTCTATGAAACTTTCCAGATTTCCATGCTTCGATAGGTCGTCGTGAAATGACGTCTCCATCAATGACAGGCTGCCATGCCCAACGAATAGAAGGATCTGAGCGTCTAAACACCTCTTTTCCTGCGTTGTCTACGGTTTCTGAGGGGAGACCTCGAAGACAGGTGAGGATCTTTGGGTCTTTGAGGTTCTTGAAGTGTGAGCAGGGCGTTAGGTCGAGAAGTTCCCGGAAGTGCTGGGTGTTGAGAGCAGCGTTTGGAGGATGGACTGCACGTGCGGTATGAGCTCCTGAATCCATGATTGCTTTGTGGAAGAGCTTTTTAGGCTGATTGATATCCATGATGAGGTGTCCGATCTGTGAACGTTAGTAACAGCTGAGTTTGAGAGAGAGGCCACTTACACCGTGAGCTGCAGCGCTCAGCCCCATGATGGTAACATCATCAGGATCGCCTCCAAACGCAGCAATGTTCTCTTGAACCCACTCAAGCGCAACATACATGTCCTTCAACCCAAGGTTCAATAAACCTTGTTCAGCAGTCAATTCAGTATTCAGTCCGCCAAAGACGCCAATGCGATATTGCATGCTAACAGCGATGTATGGCTGCTCTGAGAACGCAAGCATAGTATGTGAGTTATGCATTCTTGCAGCACCACGATTGAACGCTCCTCCAGGAATTAGAACAGCAACAGGAAGTTTCCCCTTGCTTGGTGTATGGCCTTTCTTGCGCCAGATGTTGATGATGAGACAATCCTCTGATTCATAATCAGGACCGAGGATGGGGTCTTTGAGGAAGGGCACAAGTTGTATGCCAGGACATCTTCACAAGTCAGTGTATGCTTCAACACCATACGTTGGGAACTGACCTTGGTCCTAGATAGTAAGCTTCAATCGTCTCATTGCTTGCACTCACTGGCTCAGCATGTTTGAACCTTCGTTCACCAACCGGAGGCAAAGCATACGGAATCCCCATGAATCCCTCCAACGGTTCAGGAAACGTCCCATCATCAACAAACTTCCCAATAACAGTTCCTTGTTTAATCTTCACAGAAGGCAACGTCTCTGGTCCAGAACCTCGAAAGACATCAGGATACGCTGTAAACGCAGCAGCCAAGAGAACAGGCAATGCAGCCAACCACGTCCACGAACTTCCCTTGCGTTCAGCCATGTTGATTATGATAGCATACTAACCAATTTGTTCTTACGAACATGCTATTTAGATGACAACCATTGACACTTTTCCGCCGGACGTCACGTACAAGTTCCCCGGATTAGTTCCCCGAGACTTTCCTATCTGGAGGACTTGCAAGGGACCAAGTGGGAACGCGATGCAGAGTTTAGAGCTACGGTTGTAAATTTGAGATCCGTGCTGATCGGCTGCTAAGCTTGGGCCCCGAGATGATAAGTTATCAACGTGAGGGGGTAGTTGGCCGCGGGAAACTTGTACCCTAGTCAGATGATAGTGGTGGTGATAATGGTGGAGTCTGATCTGAAATCCGGGGTAAGCTGTATGCATGCAGGGAGCTTTGACAAACGGAACAACGGCAGACTAATGAACGCTATGTATTCAATGATATCAGAACTATGCTGCTATGAGATGAACTAGACCTACCCACGTATGCTGTCTATCCAAAACGCCAAGATGATGAGATGCCGAAATGATCAGGTGCTAAATCACAATTCCACGCTGCGACCATCCCCCTCTACCCTTCCAAGCCCAGATCAATAACCCAACAGCAACCCACACAGTAATAGTCTCAGCCCAATAAGTCGGAGCATAGCACTGTTCACCGTAGCAGAATAAATCACCACCCTCTTCACCCCCAGGCGCAGCCTTTGAGTTGTTCGCGCCGTTCTGGTACGTCGCTGAGTAGACGAGACCCCAGAATGTAGACCCTGCTGCAGGAAGCATACCGATGATGCCAAAGTTGGTAGCAAAGTTCTCAACGCCCCAGATAATCGTTACGATTAAGGGTGTGAGACTGAAGATTGCGCCGTAGCCTGCGCCGACGAGGCCTGAGACGAGCCAGAATCGTTCAGCGTGGTTTTGGACAAGGCCGGATGCGAGGATTAAGAGACCGATTGAGAGAAGTGTTGCGAAGAATGCCATGAAGGCGACGCGGGATATGGAGAAGCGATTGCTCACAGCCGAACGAGCATGCGGTGCTTGAACATGCTGTGTTTGGGGATATGGTGCCAGAAGATCTGTTAGAGTACCAATAAAGATACGAGAAGCAGTGTTTGTGACGCCAAAGATGGACACATGTGTCGCCGCTGAAGTGCGATGGCTGAGACCTTCCATCTCAGGTGGTGTCAGTGTACCGATGATTGTGCCCAGGTTATTGATAAAGGCCTCGCCTGGTCCAACGATCAGAAGAAACGCCAGGGCAAACGGCCACATGGTGCGATCAGACAGGAACGAACGCGTTTCAGCGTTGAGAACCCAGTTCTTCTTCCACTTCGCATCGTCTTTCGACGGATCAAGTAGTGCTGAGCCCTCCGTCTCATCACCAGTCGCACCGTAACTCCTCTCGGACCTGCCGAGTAGAGAACTTCCATCGAGTAAACCACTCTGCTCCATCTCCTCAATAGCCTCGTCGATAAGCTCGTCTTCATCAACGACACGCAGGGTGAATGTGCCCAACATACCCATCGAGAATGTCAAGATGGCGAGGAAGAGGAAGAAGCGGAATACATCCAGGTCGCCCTTGGATCCGTCTGGTCGCGTCTCAGTGAACAGACGGGTTCCCGCTTGACTCAGCCACATGGGACTCAATCCGAAACAAGTAATCGGCGTAGCGAGCGCCAACCCCCGATATCGACCTTTTCCAAAATTCTTTGCGCATGATGACACAGCAGCCATGTAAAGCGCGCACGTCGCGATACCAATGCACACAAACGAAAACATCAGAAATGGAACAGACCAATCTCCATTGACACGATATCCCGGATGACTGCGAAACTCCAAATCCAATTTCCGATAAACGCCCGCTGCGATGCCATATCCGCTACCGAAGAGGATTCCTCCCACCAGCGCAAGCGGTTTTAGCCCAACGCGATCGCAGATATACCCAATGAGCGAAATAGGAAGGTACAGCGCGACAGAGCCGGCGATAGCGACGGCGTTGACTTGGAATTGGGTGTAGTGTAGTCGAGATTGGAGAAGAGGCGCGTAGAGGGAGAACACGACGATGGAACCGCAGGCGAGGGCTATGATGTTTGCTGCTATGAAGGCGATGAGGCGGAGGGCTTGTTTCTCTTTGTTTCGTCGCGCGCGGGAGGATGAGTCGGAGGATGAGGCGTAGGAGCTGTGGGTAGAGATTTGATCGGCGTCGAGGCGCGTGTCGTCGGGAGTGGGAGACGACATTGTGAGGAGGTTGTAGGATGTTGAGGAGGGAGGGTTTAGGGAGTGGTCATGGTTGAAATAGATAGAGTTGGTGAAGTGAATCACGTCAGTTGGGACTGGTCCATCGCGATCCCACGTCATGGGTCATGCTTCGAATCTTACCCCACAATTTTGTGCCGATGCCGGTCGGACAAAATTCCGGGTCAGTCAGAGTTGGTGTGTTATCGATCTTATCAATCTTGGTTGACTCAATCACAGACTTCGCCAAGCTACCTTCACTTTTGGCTCGTCGGAAATTGAAACATGGGTTTTACCGGCTCAGACATGGAATCAGAACATCACACAGTAAATCATAGTTGATTCGCAGCCAATAAATTTAGAACACATATCTTGGTCGTACGGTCGTGATTCAGGCTACCCTAGACAGATACGAACAGCAAACCGGGCGGACTGTCAGAGGGCAAGGCATAGCTGAAATGTCTATGTCTTGTACCTTTGGCATCAACAACAGATGAGAAAAATTCTATTGGTTGTGTAATAATTTTCTGTTTGCGTACATGTTATACATAGACCGATGTGGCCTTACAGAGAGAACATCACAGCACTGAACAATTGAAACAAAAAGTCGGTTAGAGTTGTGCGACAATAGTGTAATACATTTCCCGTGGGACACTAAACTAGAGACTAGGCAAAACATGAAGAACAGTTCGTGGTATAATAATGAACAGGGCTTATCTGGGCCGGAATTAAGTTGAGCTCGAGCGCGCGAGGCTCCTTGGTGATGGATGATGAACACATGGGCGACAATCAGGAACAGCTGCACAGCATGTTCGCCTCCAACCCTTCCATCATCCTTACTTGCCACCTGGAACCTGAATGCTTCTTTCAACGATGGAACCTTGACATGACATGGCTGAAGGCGATCAACATCGTCAGTGACGAAGGCTATGATCATCAAATCTTGCCAGCTTTTCGGCACCAGAGGAGAGACATCAGATCGCCGAAATGGTCTAACGTATCCTGAATCATCGAAGGCGAAACAAGCTCCCTCAACATGTCATGATCGGAGAGCAGGGGTTCAGTTGGGGGACAAAGGTAGTGATCTTGGGTCGCGAGGCACCTTTAATGCTATGGCTTCGAATCCTTCCAGCGGTCTTCATACAGGGTACTTGGGGTCGGTGTTGGGTAAGATATTTGTTCCTTGTTTCGATGCTTGACTGTTGCTTGTCACTCGGCAAGCGGCTAGCGAACACGTCGGGACAGTGAGGGGATATGGAATGCTGGAGTGCCTGCGAGGGATCGGGCACTCTCAAAGCCTGGGTTGGAATGTCGGTATTGGAGATTGAAACATCCGGTCAGACTTCTTCATTCGTGGCAAGATGGTCTCGCGGCGCATGTTATTGCGAAGGGGCTCATGTGCTGTGTCCAATTCTTGAGAAGAAGGGTGGCGTGTTCTGAACATAAAAGAGGCTTGGTTGCCTTATCGCTAGGTCCTATGAGTTGATGAGACGCGGTCGGGCATGAGACACGAGGAAAATTCCACCGCTGATGTTTGGGAATAATAAGAAACAAGTTTTGCGTTGTCCATTGGATAACGTACACCTCTAGCTTGTGAGACGCGTACCTGTGTAACAAGTCCATCAAGCCCCGTCCATGGATACCAGGGTCAGGACATCAGCTTCAGTGTTGAGCCCAAGTCGAGTATCCCTATCTTGACTGGAGAGACTTCGCGTCGGACGCAGTTCGAGGAGCGATGAATAGTGGCAGACGCCAGGAGGAGTGAACCTGACTTGATCAACTGTGTCAAGAGTCTTTGCAGTCCTTAAGCTGGCAACGGATTCGACTCCGAAGGTGCTGTTGTGCTCGTCGATGAAGAAGATGTCAAGGAGCGGGCTGAAGTGATCTACGTTGCAGTTGCTGTGGACACTACACGTCAGTTTTCGGAACGTTATATGTGCTGGTGAAACATACCTGATGCCATAGAAAACGCTGAGAAGGGTCGTTAATGTGGAATGAGATTGATATGACAACTGTTGTCGGATCGGGAAGAAGGGACTGTGTTGATCAAAGATGGAATGCCACCTTGCGAACCTTGTTGGGGTGAATGGAAGAAAGAAAGGAAGATGAGAGTCGAGTGCAAACAAATGTTGTTGAGCCGCAGGCCGCTTGCTCTCGCCGATCACCGGACATCCTTTTCGCACACAGATCGAGTTGCTGTCAACATATATCGATATGGAAATGGCCGTACACGGCAACCGCTTGTCGAGTTTGGGCTTGGGGCACTCGGCATCCATCTCCTCGTCTTTGACGACGGCGCCGTCCATCTCCTCATCTTTGACGATGGCCTCGCTGAGCTTCGGCGATGAAGTTACGAGGGCTGGAAATTGGTGTCAATACCCTCAAGAAGTTGGCACCGAGACATGGCTCTCGAAAGCCTCATCGTCGAACGGGGGCTTGGGAGCCTGGCGTGAAGCAGGACCTTGAACTTCTGTAGTCTTTGGCCTAGACTCCCCAACATAATCATGCCTTATCTGTCCTGTTATACGTCCACTACCCCCTTCATGTGTACGTATGCCATAAGAGCCCTTGCAGATAGCAGGGTCTGACGGTGGCCATGGAAATCGGAATCCGCTAAGGACTGTGTAACAACTCACCAGCCGAATGTACTAGCCCTGAGAATAGATGGCGCTCAAGCGTCTCACCCATACCTCGCCCGCAAGGTAGAAATGAAGCCAGGATCTAAACTTCTCCATGGGCATCGGAACCGACCTTCTTGGCCTTGGGACCCCGTTTGCGACCTAGATCAAGGGGTTGGTTAGTCTACTAGATTGTCGCCACTAGAAGGGGGGCATAGGGCTTACCAGGAGTGGCCTTCTTAGCAGGAGTAGCTGGTGCGCTGCCATCGGCTACCTGATGATCCTCGTTGATGCGCAGAAGAAGTTCTGGCCCCAACTGCGTATCTAATGAAGCTCCACGTGGGTTATCCGAGTAGCGTGCCCTGGTAAGGCCTGTAGGGGTGTCAAAGTTAGCTCTTATGAACATGCCTCTCAGTGTTCACGACGTACCGCTTTCACCTCGTTATGAGGGATGGATGATGGCGCCACCCATAAATGGGGACGGTACCTGCCCTGATAGAGGGCGGAAACTTGATGCGGAGCAGAAGCTCTTGCGCCAGCTGCGGCATCCGATGAAGCCCAGCGTGTTCTCATTCGACTGCTTTTCATGCTTCACCGCTGGAGTCGGGGGACAGAAGATCACCCCCAATGGGGGGAAGATTGAGAGCCGGTGAAATGATGGCAAAGCCTTGAATCGGCACTCCGATGTTTGTTGTGTTTCGCAAGTGGTTCCCCAAAATTCACCAGTTGAATGGGAAGATAGCAGGCCACCCAGTATGGGAAGAAGGCCGAAATCTGCCTAAGAGACGGTCTCTATCGACCCTATAACGTGGGCCGTACTCCGAAGGTGGCACTCATAACCACCCCGATTTGAATGGGGGGCAGGAGAGCACCCGAAGATGGAGGGAGGAAGACCGAGACCCGCCTTGGAGGCGGCCTCTGTCGTTCCCCCAACGTGGGTCACACTCCGCAGATGACACTCAGCAATATCTCCAAAGTCCGAAAACTTGGGATAGCCTCAAATATTCTGTCAAATGTCAGTGTCAAGTCCAACATCGAGAAAGATCCCTTGATCGAAGATGCTTGGAGGGTGTCACTCACGCGTTGCACCTTTGCTGGGTCCGGTGCGCTCTCGACGTCCCTTGAAAATCCACGGGTGGAAAGAATTCTCACGCCAGATCGTATTGCATGAGGGGTTAGCATCATCCTTTCTTGCTCCCAGGAGCTATACTCAATTATGAGTGTTTGCTGGCCAAGGCACCGTTGGACCTGAGCAAGGCGGATGCCCGTAGTACGAATGGACTGGGCGATGAAAAGTCAGATCTACTCTGGATATCACTCAAGAGCTGTCGGATACTCTGGTGAAAAACATACCTTGTCGATTGATAGTTGAAGCTTATGATATCTCAACGAGATATATCAAGCCAACACATTGAAAAGACTTGTGTATTCCCTGAATTTGGGAGTGCGGTGTGCAAGTGTTGAAAATTATTGTTTGTTGTGAGTGAGGTAGTAAATGTTTGGATGAAGTAGAAATATTTTTGTGTGTGTGTGTGTGTTGTAAAATTATTGGGAGCATTTGTTGTGAGAAAGAAGGCCAGGAGATGACAGTGCCAGAGAAGTGGATCATGTGACCAGTGCAATATGCAGAAGTTACCTCAAGTCAAGTCCTGCCGGAGGGGAACTTGCTTTTGCAACACTCATTTTCCAACTTCAAAAAACACCATCGTTTTCACCATTTTCACTATTGTTTAATCTGATCGATCTACAGGCTAAAGCGCGTCAAAGATTTGCAGTCATGGACGAAAACGACAAGTCCTTGCTCGCAGCGTCCCGTAAGGACGAGCTCGACACTCTCTTCGCCAGTCTCTCCCCCTTTGACATCCTGTACCTCAGAAAGAAGATCTCTGAGACTACAATCGTTCTTGCGGGTCTGGAGAAGCTTCCCCCGGAAATGGTTTGTGAGATATTGAAGTATCTCGACTTCGACGACTACCGTGCTTGCCTTGCTGTGAGTAAGAGTTGGAAAGCCAAGTTTGGCCAGAAGGAAACTATGACTCAAGCGCTTCATAACTTCTTCCCTGGCCTCGTGGCCATGAACTCCAAAGACCACCCACAGAAGCTTTACTCTCTTGAGCTCAACAAGCACCTCAAGTGGATGCGTCCCCACGACAGTCGAACGTGGACTCCGTGGGATTTGTCCACAAGCCATTTTTTCTCCCGACAAAGTGCAGCAGCTCATTCCACGGATGTCCCATGGTCCTTCCTGTACAACAAGGGAAGGCTGGTTTGGCAGTTGTCGACGCGGATCGTCATCGTTGACGATATACGCAACGCGAACCGGGAGAGATTCAGCCCTCTTGCTAGTGCCATGAGAGGCGGGCGGTTCCAGGCCGCTGCTGTGAGCGACCAGTTTCTCATCCTCCTCGACTTGGAGGCAAGTCTGAACAAAATGTAAGTACCGAGTCAGCGTTCCTGTTGAGATATGATCACTGATGTCTCTAGCCATGTCGCCAAGATGGACACCAGAGATTGGGTTGAGCTTACTCTTCCCGCTGGTCTTGACCACGCCTACGTAGACTTGAGGACGATGTTCTTCGTCACCACAAATGGCCAAATATTTGACTATAAATGGCGCGATATTCTCCGAGAAGTAGACCTGTCCGGAATCGGACATGGCTCTGGATCCAAACCAGCATGTTATGGCGTCGCACAAATTTTGCCACATCCTCAGCACGATGATGTTTTCTTCGCTGTATGGGCGCTCTCGCACCCTGCTCGTGGTAAGTTCAACGATCACCTGTATTTCAACAGTGACTGACGCCAGTAGACCCGAACCTCTCAACCCTCAAAGTCGTGAAGTTCAAGGATGGACAGATTGTCGCCACCAAGACCAAGTCAATCCGCAACCCGCTGAGAAATCCCCAGCCGGGTTGCAAAGAAGTGACCCGAGTGGCTATTAATTTCTCCAGTCGTAAGTCAGACGACCATGGAACTTACACCCTGGCTACCTACCGCTTCCAGGGCATCGAGAAGAGGAAGCTCGAGCTCTGCAACTGCTGCAACCCCAAGACCTTGAAGGGAGATTGGAACGTCATAACCTTCAACGTCTTCACAGAGTCTTTCGCCAACTACGAGTTCCTATCGGCAGACCAGGACCTACGGTGGAATGGTCCTAGGGCGATGCAACACCACCGCAATGTGAAGCGACTTGCAGATGCTCACTTTTGGAAGGGGGACTTGGTCCTCGCGTCGTCGATTACATACGATGACTTGGGCCCTCACAGCCATGCTGAGTACTATACGGAGACCCATCTGGAGACCCTGCGCCCCCTTGACAAGCCAGTAGCCCCGGTGCCCCAATGGAGACCCATGAGACACGCAGACCCTGGCCAAGTACTACGAACAAAGGTGTTTCAAGATGACGACTTTGTCATTGTGCCGAGCCTAGGTGGAGTGGCGATCTACAAGCCGGAGAAACAGGCGCTGAACGCAGGGACGCTCTTCGACCACACTCTTCCATCACAGGATCTGGTTCGGGAGAGTCTCCCGTTGAAGTTCCAGTTTTGGCAGAATGCCCGATTCATTGAGCTGAAGCATGAGGTTGATCCGGAGGAGGAGGACGACGACGAAGGGGGCGACAACGGGAACTGAGGGAGGAATATGGCAACGAATGGCTGCCCCAAGCACCCATCGCCGCATGTTGTCAACTACAGGCCTTTCTCAGGAGGAACGAGAGTTTCTCAAGGTTCACCGACCCGAAGACGCACTCGAGCCAGCGAAGGTGCAGCCACGACTGCAACCAATTCCAAAGCTGGCGGTCCCAAACACTAGATTAGACGAGGTCACTCCTGTCCAATCTCCTGATAAGGACCTTCCTGTCGTCGAGTCTGGCAACATGGTTCGTTTTGTACCTTCCCCGAATGCCCTTCTGGCTACCTCTTGAGTTTCACACCTCTTTGTGGTTTCGCCCTTCTCTTTGTGTTCATCGGTAGAGGCTAGATCCTCTTTATGTTATTATTGTTGCTGAGCGTTAGGTTGATTACGTTGGGGATACACTGGAAGGACTTTGCTTAGCTATTGCCCTCAGAGCTTTGACTGGACTCCCAATCGAAGGGGCCATCAAAGATCGTGAGGATGAGGACGGCGATCGGAGGCGTTAGCGGAAGGGGATTAACAGAACCCCTAGATATTTGCTACTGGTGTTTGAGATTATGTATAGCTTTTGTATTGAGACTTTATTCCACTATTTCTTGATTCGTGATATCCTCAGTGCCAGGTCTTATTTATGCTAACATGCCAAATACCGAAATGAGAGAACGCAACAATATTTGCGGGACTAGTTCATCTAACGGTACTAACGTCGACCCTGTGTAGCTGCAGACACTTGCGCCCACCAATCATTAATCCCCTCAACATCACACCACTCCATCTCAACAGGATTCTCAAACCACCACCGTCCATTCTTCCGATCACTCTCATACATCTTCAAACTGCCCCCATCAAACCGATGGTTCTTCACACCCACAAGAAGAACTGCACTCCCAACACGGGGAGTGAACGCTTCCGGATCCAAAAAGACTGTTAGGTGTACCTGCTTTGATGTAGACGGGTCTGCGAGGCGTGCTATTCGCTGTCGGTAGGGTGGAAGACTCGAGGGTTCAACTGCTGACAGGTACGAGACTATGGCGAGGACGTTGCAGGACCAGTTTTGGGCGTAGGGCAGGTGGGGGATTTGGCGGAGGATGGTGAGTTTGAGGGGTGTTTGGGGATTGTGCCAGTCGCGGGGAAGGGCGATTGGTTGGTGGGACGTTGGTGTGTCTTGGGTTATCTCAGTCTTTTGTGGTGTTTGTGGCTTCTGTAGAGTTTCTGTCTTTTGTGGTGTTCGTGGTTTCCGTGAAGGTTCTGCCTTCTTCGGTGTCTGTGGCTTCTGCACTGCCTCAATCTTTCGTGGAGACTCAATCTTCTGTGGTGGAGGCGCCTTTTGGGGTGTCGTGGGTCTGGTGGCATTCATAAGTCTCTCGAAGGCTTCGAATGCTTCTTCGGCGGCTGCTTCGTCGACATCATCAAACTCCGAATAATCTTCGAAAGTTGGCTTGGGGGGTCCCTTTGGAAGTTCGGGTTGATCGTGAGCCGGCTTGACCTCTGGCTGAGGCGCTGTCTTTGCTTGAAGTGCTGGTGCCGGAACTTGTTTGGGTAGAAGTTCATCTTTCTTCCAAAGCGCTCGATATGATTCATTCCAACCAACAGTGATCAGGTCTCGCACCATCAGCATCACCATGCTCTGTTCACCAACGTCCTTCCACTTCACGTCGAACTTCTCACACCGAACATAAGCCCCCAAGGCGATATCCCCTGTGGTGACAAAGCGATGCATATCAGGCGCCAGTATCGCCTGAATACAAACCTCCCCGTCACCAAGAACAAGTCGAATGACCTGCCATCGTCCCGATCTTGAGATAGAAACACGATCGACGCCCTCGACAAGAAAGACGCTTCCAGGGACACAATACTTGGTGCGTAAAATCTCGCTGATAAGGGGTCTGAGTTCGAACGGTTCGCCTAGAAAAGTGTTGGCGGCGGGGTTGAGTTTCACCGATTTATCAGGCATGTGTGATGATCCATCTGGTGTTGGCGTTGATGAAGATGAGATGAGTAAGTGCTAGCTTACAAGCGTGAATGAGGTCAGTATGCATTTATCCACTATTTACTCAAAGCGGGGTTTGTTCACTGAACACTCATCACTCCTCAACACCACTCGAAATGGACAGTCCGTACGCAAAAGAACTCACTGTCGCTGTTGGCGCTTTGCAAAAGGCTGCTCAATTGAGTCAGTCGATTGTTTCTGACAAGGATAAAGGCGCAATTGAGAAGGATGACTTGAGTCCTGTCACAGTTGCCGATTTTGCGGTTCAGGCGCTTCTTACAGCTACGATTAAGAATGCGTTTCCGGAGGACAAGGTTGTTGGGGAGGAAGATGCTTCGGACTTGAGGCAGAATTCTGTGTTGATGGAAAGGGTCTGGCAGCTTTTGGAGGGAATTGCTGGAAATGAGGATACAGTGTCGCTGTGCAAGTTGCCAGAGAGTCGAGAGCAGATGTGTGATCTTATTGATGAGTGCGGAGCTAGTAGCCCATCTGCCACTGGGAGAACTTGGGTTTTTGATCCAATTGATGGGACAAAGACGTATCTTCTCGGTCAGCTTTATGCTACCAATATGGCGTTGTTGGTGGATGGGCAGCAAACAGTTGGGATCGTTGGTGCGCCGAATTTGTCAATTGATGCAAAGGCACCGCTCAAGAACGAAGATATTGATCCCAAAGACGAAGGATGCATCTTCTTTGCCGTGAAAGGCCACGGCGCTTACGTCCGCCCCCTACGATCTGATCAACCCAGAAAACTCCCTCTCTACAGCACCAACGACGCCAGCCTCGTCACAAGCTCAACAGTCGACTCCGCCCTCTCCGGCATTCACGAAATCGTCGCCTCGCGCCTCAACTCCACCTATCCTGGAAACGACCTCCTCCCTTGGGTTCTTCGCTGGGCGGTTCTCGCAATGGGCCTTGGCAACACGACAGTTTGGGTTTACAAACGTCGAGATCGGTACGCTAAAGCTTGGGATCATGCGGGTGCTATGTTGTTGTTCGAAGAGACTGGAGGGAAGATTACGGATGTACATGGGAAGAAGATTGATTTGACGGCGGGAAGGAAGATGAGTGCGAATTTTGGGTTTGTTGGGGCGCGGGAGGGACATGGGAGGGTTTTGGAGGTTGTGAGGGAGGTGTTGACGGAGCAAGGGAAGGAGGAGTTTTTGAAGTGATGGAGGAGTGAAGGGCGACGGTGTTGCTTATGGAATTGTTGGAAAAGTGTATTTCGCGGAGTTGCTTGATCGTGGAAGTGTTGGTGTTTGTATCGTGCTCGAGTTACTTACCGTCAGAGGTCATGTCCTCTCGCCCACACTGCCAGATCGAGGGCTCAATTGAATGGCTGATATAAGTCTGGCTCATGAGTCCCAAGCGCGCATGTCTTTCATCAGGCTTTGGATGGTATCGACGAAGGCGCTGGAGTGTCAGCATGGGTGTTGTCTCCGTGTTGTGTTGAGCTTCGAACGGCTACTTGTGAGAGCGAACACAACACGACACAAATCAATGTCGGCAGTCTTTTCTGGCGCAAGGCTAGTCAATAAATACAGAGAATTGTATATTGTACTGTCGATTTCGTAGCTACGTAGTGAAGCCCCGTACGATTCGAAGTTGGCCTTTACGTCAAGACGATCCCTGTAGCAGAGAACTTGGTTGTAACTCAGACATTGTGGCTCGGCATCCAACATAGAAAGCACATGTTAGCTGGCTGTGCTCCCCAACCTGTGCTACTACTCACTGTCTGAAATATGATTCCTTACAGAACTCTGCTGCTGGAAAATGCTCGCCAGGGGGGAGGCGCTTGCTGATTTGACCGGGTCGGCTGAGGCTGAGAAGGCTGAGGCACTTGGTCGTCCTGCATATGAGAAGACCGAACGGGCTGCCGGAGTGACGGATAGACTAGGCAGACTGGGTGAATTGCACCGGCGTTTGGCCCAGTGTTGGCTGTGAGGTAGCAGATCACAGTCTGGCGCGGCAAGATCAGATGTCTACCGCTGACGCAGAAACCGCTACGCTTCCGACTTATTCATTGTAACAGTGGACTATGCAATGAATGAGTGACTTCGAGAAGAAACAACCGGCCTGCCAGCATAACACGCAATGTGCCAGGGAGATAACTGTCACATGTGTTCAGGACGGAAACTCCGGCTGTTGTGACAATACCGCCGATGAATCAAATTTCTGGTATGGCCGCGTGGGATGACTTGGTGTTGTTTCTGGGAATTCGATCTTGATAATGGGAATCGGTCGGGGAAAGACATGAGTCTGGACCTGGAGTTGAAGCAGTAATTCGAATTTGTGACTTTTTCTTGGTGCATGGAAACAATACCTAGAGTCGAATTATAAGAAATTAGATTTCGTGAGATCTTAGGATAGAAATGAATACTGGCAATCACTTTGATATGCCATTGAGACTGTCCTTTGATCAACATTGTGAACACTCACAGCTGGGTGACAGAACACTCGCTTTTCTTCTGCCTTGTAATCACCCTAAACTTGTTCTTTGAATCAGTCTAAGCTCTCTTGTGATCACCTGTCCACGAAGCTCTGTTGAAGCAAACGAGGCGTGTCGAGACATGTTCGCCTCAGTGTTCAATACTTACCAGGACCCCTTTCCTTTGCTATGATAGCTAGCTTACTCTTCAAAACAGACACTCGCGATTGTCCCAGATAGCACTGTAAACGGAAAATATGGAAGTGAAGGCTTGGTGAAGAAGATTGAGCCCGCACTGGCAGGCAGCCGTCCCTCCTCCTCGCTGGTCTACCACTGCCGCTGCCGCTGCTGCTCAGGAGGAGTGAAGAGATTGGCAGCAGTCCAACCCTCCCCTCGCTTTTCCCTTTCCACCAGACTTCTTCAAATACCAACATCGTAAATTTCTACAGAAAAGTCTATCAAGTCCCAACGCAAACAAATTTCACTCTCCCGCTCCGAAGCTCTCTCCCACTCTTTAAACGTCAAGAAGCCAGAAGTAAGTGAACTGTTTTCTTCGTTCTTGTCATTCAAATCTCAGAGTCTCCTGTCTCAAGAAAACGACAATCCACTTGACCCAACACATACTCATCTCACGATCTATCCCCTCGAGTAGCCGTAGAGATTTGTGAAGAGCTTCTACTGACCTTTGAGCAGCTCCTACCAATCATGCCACGCGCCGACTTTATCGAACTTCCCCGTGAGGTTCACCTCCTGATCGGAAGGCACCTTCAGCCTTCCGAGATGGAGGGCCTCATCCTCTCATCAAGAGGAATGCGCGCCGCGTACGCGAGAGTGTTTTATCACTCCATAGCCTTTCGGGGCACGAAGATGGACATTATGGGAGACCTTTGGGCGTTTCTCCACGCATACGCCAACCAGCCCACTACCCGGGCAGTGATACATGCCGTGAAGTAAGCTTTACATATCTTACACGAGACTGCAGACCTTTGCTAACATAAGATCCAGGCACATCACTGTCGAGGTCGAGCCTGGACAGCCATCTCCAGGACCTCTAGCTGAGCTAGTTCTCCCGCGGCTTATTGCCAGCTCCTTGGGGCTCCTCTACAACCTCCAGGGGATCCAAATGGACCTCTGGTGGTTGTCGGACCTCCAGAGGGAGGAGCTGCGCAACAGGTGCGCGGGCCTGCCTGTCTGGAGGGGCTTACGGTCAATCCAGATGGAGGACGAAGCCGACACAGAGCTTCTGGCTATTCTGGCCAGCAAGACTCGGGCTGAATCCTTCAGCGGACTGCAACTCGGGGGCCAGCTCGAGTTGCAAGCCGCCAGGCAGTGTTTTCCCTTCCTCAGACGACTGGCCACCCCTTTCGAACTCCCCGCGGCGCACGTTGGCAGTCTGGCCAACACCCCAGCACGAGTTCGGAACAACAGCAGTGGGCTGTTGGAGTTTGGTCGCTTGGAGTGGCTGGTACTGGCACCGGTCCAGGTTCCAGCGGGTGAGATGGATGCAGTCCGCACTGACCCCGAGGTAAGTTTACTCGTCGTCTGTTTCTGTCTAAGCCTAGTCTAGGTCATAGACATAACCAGTCTGTATTACGTCTATGACTCGTCGGCGCTACTTATACCACCGTCTTGATATAGAACTTTACTAACATTCTTATAGTATGCCGTGCGTGTCCTTATCGAGGACTTGTCGAATCTTCGACACCTCGAACGGCTGGGGTTGGCGTTCCCGAGGGCAATCCTCGTGGACCGCCAGCCTGGGGTCCCGGGGACTGGCAGGGGTGTAGACGCTGTCGAACATCATGTTCGGCAGCTAAACAGCTACATCTTCGCCAAGCTCCCTGCCCTAAAGCAGGTGGCCTTCCTTCACGGAACCACTGTCTTCAGGGCAGTAAGGGGGGCGGATGCCGCCATTCGTTTCTCTATCGAGAACGATTTGGACAGGCATGCGTTTCCTCTTGGGACCCTGTACTGAGCTTGCTCAGAGAAGCCGGCGATAACAAGCGCACAGGCCCAGCTAACAACGGTAAGTCTTGATGATGATTTCACTTTGGAACCAGTCGCTGACGTATTTCTGTAGACAACACCAGCAAGCCGGTTATCCCCCCCTTTCAAAGTTCCCCTTCAAGGAACTCCCTCCATACACACTATTCGACCATGCATCCCGAGGGTTCAGCCATAACACTACTGCAAAGGAAACTCTGCAAAAGAGTCCACAATCCATAGAAGTGCCTACCGGGCCCAGATCGTTACCGGTCTTCCTTTTTTTCCCGTCAACTTTTCCCCGTCCTTTTTTTTTCTTTCACTTTGCCATTGCAGGAGCATGTATAAGATGTAATAAAGGCAAGCTTTTGTTGTTCTAGTCAGCCGGAAAGGGAACAGGCCGGCAAGGAAGACTCTCGAACCGCCATGGATGCTGCGTTCTCATTGTCCTCGTGACTACTCGGGACTCCTGTTGTTAGAAAATGAATAATACTACTCTTCTCCCGAATTGCAGAGAGAGATGTCGCAATAAGACACAATATCAGATGCATGCACAAGTCCACAAGTAATATCCTGTTGTCACTTTGAGGATGTATCGTAGTCAAGGAGCACATCAACTGTGTATTCACCTTAGATGTTCCACTTTCTCATGATATCTACACGTACATCAAGACAGACTAGTTACATAAAGTCCAAAGAACATTGGCTTTAATTAGTGCGATGGCTCAACGTAAACGTACTGTATTAGAGAAGTACATCAAACATGCGTTCACCTTTGATGTTCTACTTCCTCGAGAATCTACCATACACCAAGACAGTCTTATTGCTTGCAGTCAAAGAAACCAGCTTTACTATAGGTGCTGGCTCGACATATCTTGCTAAAATTATAAGTTTTAGTAACTAAGAATAGGCCTGGCATATTGCAATTACAGCTGAAAAAGTCCCCAAGACCTCTGAAAGAATGCCAATTAGCACGTTCATTGTGCAGTAGAGAGTGACAGTGGCAGCCATATCCATTCTTCAGCCTGACCCGCCGCGTTATGCCCGCTGGCCCCTACCGCTGGTGTCGAATGCTTCCCATTGTTCGCCTGCCCAGCGCGCAGAATATCTTCCTCTCATCTTCTCCCCTACCACATTCTCTCTTGCTTCTTCTTGGCAAATAATGATACGACTTGTCTCAACACGAACATAACACACACACACACCACACGTCTAACATCACTCATCACTCATCACCCTTGTTACTTCCGCCATAGAGTTGGCTCTTGGAGTCTGTCCGCCGATTTCATCCTTCTCATTCACCGCACCAGTAGCCAAAACGTATTCATCTCATCTTCTACTCTCACGAACCAACATTTAACTTCCCTTCTTTATAATAGAACGTCACGAGCCAGCGATACAACTAGTCCCACATGTCAGCATCACACATAGAAAACACACATCAATCCACGACCAAAGCTTTCAGCCGTCGCGGGAACTGAGCACCGATTCTCGGTGCTGCTGCCTTATCCTACATCTTTTTCCCCTTCTTTATCCCTCCATAACTTTGATTTGCGCGTACGGTCAATATGCCATCCTTGATATCCCTCCCCTCGGAAGTGTTGGGGGAAATTGGGAGTCACCTGTATGTCGAGGACCTGGGAAATGCCTCGCTTGGTTGCAGAGTCCTAGAACACAGTTTGCGTGTTCACCTGTTCCGGGGGATGACATTTACTGGTCATAGAACAGCAGTCGCGGAAGCGCTTTTGCGTTTCCTGTCAAACAGGAACGGATCCCGTCCTCAGGCCATGGGCAGAATATGCCGGTAAGTAATCCAGAGAACATATCTCGTATACTATTTACTGACTCGCTTCACAGTTCCCTTAGGATCGTGGTGATGCCACAAAACAATGACACTTTCGACGAAGGCAGAGAATTCCTTCCCGCTCTCCTCATGTCCACGAAGAAAAGCTTGCCTGGCGTCGTTTGCTTGTCTCTTTCTCTACATGGACTGTCGAACTCCGAGATTACCGCCTTTCACAGAATGCTGAAGGAGGGTCCCAATTGGGACGCGGTCCGAACACTCAAATCTGACTTGCGGCCTATCACGCTCTCTATGATCCTTAAGCACTCTCTGCGAAACGCCAGCGTGGATGGTCTTGATGTTGTTCCCGAAATGGGTCAACACGGGGTAGCCCCCATCAAGGAAGGCTGCCCGAGTCTTCGCAGACTTCGGGTCTGCTTCAGGAACCCCCTACACGACTTTCCTCAACATCTCAATGGAACCGCTCAGGTCAAGCTCAATCAGCTCGAAAACATCGAACAGCTCATCATCCAAGAGAGTGCCGGAGCATCCAACGCGTACCCCATCGGCGGCATATACCGACCGATGTATATCATCGGCCGTCTCTGCGCAATTGCAGACTCTCTGAGAGATATGACATCGCTGAGACAAATCTCGATGGTCTTCCACCCAAGAGTAATGACTTGGATAAGTCGTCCTGCCTTGAGACTGATTCCCGGACAGGGCCTCCGGATAGAACTCGATACCTTCTTGGCCGCAGCCATCATGGCGATGGGAGAGAGGCTGTCTCATGTGGGTGAAATCTGTCTGGTTGAGAATAATGCCATTTTGAGCGGTGTCAATATGATACACCGCGGTGTTCGGGATTCTGACGGTGAAATGGCCGTCAGAATCGAGTCCCCCGGTCATGAGAACAGTTTCCCCCTTAACATTTCTCACTAAGTCATTAAGATCAACCAGTACAGCGATAGGACCACGAAGGACAAGAGTTTTGTTTTTCCCCTTTTCTTTTTCTGATAGACTTACCAAGGGTAATGTCTTACGCAAGGTCTTCGGCAAGGTTTTGTTGTATTCGGTTGGAGTTCAGGTTTTTAAGACGATATCGATGGAGAGCTTCACGCCTACACTATATTACAGGAATGAATGATAATGATGTATGAGTCTGTAATCTGGATCCCAGGGTCGCTAAGTGATATATTTCTAAAAGCCATTGTGACTGTCGTAGAATAGGTGTTGCACATGGCTCGTTTGAACCCGAGGCCAACATTCGCCAGAGACATAGACGGGTATTACATGACCAATTGTGACATTCTCCTTGGCAAGTACAATTACTGGGCCTCATTACCTGTGCTTTGGTTGCCTTGGGATGAATGCTTTGATGACTGGGTTGTGTGATGTGTGGAAGAGATGGCGGTGTTGATGGAAGACTGAGTTGTCGAAGCGCTTCAGCAAGCAATACTTCATCCGCCATCCTCAGACAAGAGGCCGTCCATTTGAACGATGGCGTAGGTGAGCAACGATGGAACTCTTAGTGGGATCTTAGTATTGGTCGAAGAGAAAGTTACTCAAGCTCGGGTGTGTTGTTGACCTCGCAGTTAGAAGCCAGCTCCTGAAGACACGCTTCGTTGAATCATAGGTGGCGGGTGGCTAGGTACCTAGCTAAGGAGACTGAAGAAGGAGAGCCCCGCCCGTTATGAATCTTCGCTCCAGCATCACAGGCCGACTCCCTTCCCTCCTGAGCTTCTCCTCCGCCTACAACCATCCGCTTTCATCCTCAGCGCATCACAGCAGCTCATCCCATCTCACGCCTACACGTTATTCACGGCGGGAGAAAATACTTCCATTATTATTTGGCGGTGTCCATGTTTATCACCACGAACATATCCACCCCCTCTCTCTTCTCATCCAATGCCTTGTCGGTTTCCCCAGTAACAGAATGGTACGTTTGACATGATGTTGTCTGGAAACAGTCGCTGATCTTGATGGGCGAAATTAAGGGACTCATCAGAAAATGCTTTATTGGGCGGGAGCTCAAAGTCTTCTGTCATCTCTCGCACCAATCGTCTCTTAGTTACCGGACGAACTGCGCTCTGCGTATATCTCCAGACCCGTGAGTCTCACGTCGTTCTATTTGCTTGAGAATCATGCTGAGCTTCTTCCAGACTAGGGCCTTTGGCGTGGCAGTCGACGGGAGATGAAGCCGCCCTTTCACCAGCTATTTGGTCACCACGTACAAGACAAACTGCACCGTCCACAATGGAGATGCTGGCTGAGTTCCTGATAGCGCAAATGCTGTCACTGGTGTCGGATGAATAACAACAACGACCAGCAATCAGAGGAAGCGGCTGGAACGTATGAATGGCAGATGAAAGAGTTTGAGCACTTCGAATAACAGGCTGAGGGCGCTTGACGCGCAAGTGATCAACTGAGAAGAAGCTGAAGGCGAAACCGAGGCAGAGTTTGGTGGCTCTGGGGATGCAAGCGGTGTTGGGCATGGGATAGGTCTCAGGTGAGGGTTGATCCCCTTGAAGTTGTAGGGGGCGCCGTCGAGGTCCATCCATCTGCATTGCACCACATCGTAAGCACACTATCAAGGCTGGTCATATAATGAAGTTGGGGGGTGCAACATCTCCGGCTCCTTTTTTTGCACTGTCTAATCCACCAATGATTTCGACCTCCGATGGACGATGCCATGTGATTCTATGTCTCATGTCGTGAAAATTGCACTGGTCAAAGCCTGGAGAAACAGTCTTCAGTGTGGGGAGCGGGAGCCGGAGCGCGGCATGGTAGAGCGCCTTGTGTTTGGCACAGTCAGGGACAGCCTTTGCAGTTCACCGGAACTTGTGACAGGCTCCATGTAGGGATAACATGATCGTTACTGTGGATGGCTCTCGGATCGCGTTTGCGTAAGCGTGGTTGTTTTGCGCGGCTGAAAGCCCTACGGAAACCGAGGCTGAAGAAATTTACATGTCACGTCCGCTCAACTATAGCCGCCAACAAGGGGCCATCATCCCCATGAATGGGCCATTGGCTTCGGGGAGAACAGAATCATCTGAAGAGCATGATAGTCGCGAATCAAGTCCCTGTCCACTGTTGCAAATCACACTTCCTGAGTGACCCTGCAAGAGCGCTCTCATCGCGAAACATCTCAGGCTCCGCTGAACTCCGTGTGTGGGTTTCAAGAATGCCTGTGGTAACATCGCGTCGGTTCACGGACCTGCCAGAGAACTTGGAATTGCAGAAATTTGTCGATGTGGACGAAGCACGAATCGAAACTACGGGTCACCATGGAAAATGAGTAGAGAGGCAGATTGACAGAGATCAAACAGCTGCAAGACAAGAATATTAAGTGAAATGGCGATGGATTCGCTGTGTGGGGGTGTGTCGTCCGAAGGGGCGGACAAGATGTGCATTCACAAGAGGGGAGATTATTCTTGACGGTCTTCTTGCTCTGTTTCTAAGCTATCATTGCTGTAATGACATATCCCCCGTCCGAAAGCCCTGGATCGCAAGCACACTGTCGCCCATCTTGAGCATGGTGTCGCTCATCTTCTAAGATTGGTCAGCTGTCTAAACTCATTGTAATATAGTGGGATTCCAATAGCTTACCTGTCTTCCTCCACTCCTGGACTCCTGTGCGAGGTTTGCGAACGGTATTGTCAAGACACATTTTGGTCAAAGCTTGGTTCAACAACGCGACATGTCCCCGACATGGTCTTTCATGTCTACTCGGAGCATCCGGCTTGGGTGGAGATGATAACCCACTGGGCCATCATGTGCTCCCAGGCCTCATCCAGCGTATCTCCAGATAAATTAGGTAGATCCTGGAGGACGATAGGGTTGATTGCCTTCAACCATTGGACGAAGGCCATTGAGAGGCGCCAGTGGTTGGGGGTGAAAGGGTTCATGGGCTTGAACTTTTTCACTACCAGGTCTCGGACGTTGTCCAAGTTGGAAACAGCGTGGTAGGTGATCAGGAGGTTTCCGGTTGGCTTGTTTGTGTACTTTGACCACTGGGAATCTTTAGGACTGGCGTACGCTTTGAATGATTTCTTGATTGCTTTCTCAACGCCTTTGCTCGTGGCGTACTTAGTCCACAGGTGGTGGTGGACGTAAGCTTTGACTGTTGGATGTTAGTATGGGAGTGTATAGAAGTTGGGTTGGGACTTACTAATAGCTTGGCCCGACTTGGGAGCCTCTTCCTTTTTGGGGCTCTTCTCCATGTTGAGGTGCTTTGATGATTCTCAGGTCGTGATGTTGGGTGGGGTCCAAGAGAGGATAAAGAAGAAGGGAAGAAGAAGTAGAGAAGACAACAGAGTAGGTAGGTGGGGAAGATGATGAGGGAGAAACTTGGCACCGCAGAGGTGAGAGGTGCGCTAGCAAGTCAACAATGGCACTGGCAACGGACCGTCACTGCAATTGATATGGGGGGAGCTCGATCGGGTCTCCTTTTGCCAGCGGGCAGTGACCCTGGCAAATTTAGTGGCCTCATAACCAGTAAGGACGTTGGGGAGGTCCAGTGTGAGCCTCCAGCTGGAGGTACCAATGATTTAGTGCTTAAGCTGGGAAAGATGATGTGATATAGTCGAAGGTATTACCCCTGTGGACCTACCTAAGCCAAGTCACTCATCCTTGAATTCACCTCACTCTCCGCATAAAGTCGATGTGGTCTTCAGTTGCTTGTAATTCATCATGTCATATCTCAGTAACACAGATACAACGTGGTTCATGAATAGGTAGGGATGCAGTTTTGCTGCAATATCATGCACTGTAGTGGTATGTTCAGTTGTTCCCGATGACGCACCTGTGCTCACCAGGATCGCCAATTACTGAGAAAACTTTGGTATTTTATCTTTGTTCTTGATCTAATTTCATGCCCATGTCTTTCTCGTACATGAAGTTACGTGCTGGTTTCAAGAGGTTTTCGCCAGACCATCTTTCACGTCACAATTCCTTTGCGTGCGCCGAAACTGTCGAGCAATTTCGCGTCACCTTGGAATCTTGCTCTAGGACTCAATTTTATCCCCTATGATGCTTCCCACTTCGTCGTCTTCTTCCTTTTCGGCTATCATTCCTCCATGTTTCATCCGAGCCGTCGTTCATCCGCGATGTTTGCGCCGCGCCAGCGTGGATTCGTATCTTTGCCCCTTCCCCTTTCCGGGGACATATTCGTAGCTACCGACCGACTGTTCGCATTTTTCCTGACTGCTCCCTTGCGCTCGCTCCTCTTTTGCAAGCAGGGGCCGGCTGCGGTTCATATGGCGCCGCGAAGACTTGGAGATATACTGGAGGCAGATCAGAATTCGTTCAAGTTGGTGGCAATTTCTTCGGTTACTGATGCTCCAAGATCAAAAAGGGGGCTTACTATTGCGAGATATTGACCAGATACCGCGGTCATGTTCGGTCATGTTCGTGTTATGAGTCCAGATGATAACGGTCTTGATCTTTCTGGGAAGGCTACTCGGTTGACCAACGGCAACCTCGAGCATGGACGAAGGTTGTAGTGGGAGCTTGGATAATCGAATGGAGCAGCGGAAAGGGAGGGACAACATTGTCAGTAAAATCTTCATAATCAGTTGCTTGGTAAGTCATCGAGTTCATGCCAAGCTTGTCGATGTGCGGCAAAAATGGTCACGGATGTGGCGGGAGTTGCTAAGGTTGTCAGTGCAGTCGCGTCAATGTATGGGAGAAAACATGTTCACAATGCTACATACGGTAGAGTCTGGAACGCATTTTTGGCTGAAACATTTTGAAGATGTAGATTATTCTTTAGCACGACATAATGGACTTGACGCAATAGGTCGAGTTATCAGTGAGGATGTGATCGCTAAGTGTTGGGAGGAGTGTTGGTTGCGGCAGGGGCGAAGTCAGAATCGACGATGCATCAGTACAATAATAGTGAGGAACTCGTGATACTATTCATGAAGCGGGATGAACTACCCAAGCAGAGCAGTTTAAATATTATCATGAGTGGTTTGACTGAAGATATGGATGTATTTTGCTTAATTTAAAGAAGTATGATGGACGATCTCACAGTCTTTAGGGTAGGTTCACGAGGAGTAGACAGTTATGTAATTCTTGTCCAATTTACAACACGACATATTACTGTACATCTTGCTTGGATCAGTTGTATACACATAGGTACTTGTAAAGCATCAAGCCAATACTAAGAAATTCAAATGCTGCAAGGTGTGATGTTGTCTCCCCTTGTATCCTTGTCCACTTCTAAAGGAGTTCTCCAACCGAGTTACACCTGTATGGCGAGTCAAAGAAGTCATATGGCCGCCTCGTAGTAAAATTCCCAATGGGGTTTGTCCTCATTCATTATCTAGACATTTAAAAAAAAGACAGAGCTTAAATCTGTTTTATGAACAAAATGGTTGACAAAAGGACATGTCGTCTGTGATCCCCTGTTCAGTTGCCGCCCCTGAACACATGATTGGCCATAACAGCCGCGCGCATAACTTACAGCCCTGATCTTTGTTTGTACATATTCCTTTGGGGTCACAAAGACTCTCCGATCACTTCACCCCTTCAAATTAGGTAAATAACATATCTCTCGCGTCTTGCAACATGTCTGGGAGTTCACCACCTTAGCGCACGGCGGGAGAACCGCTCTACATCGTCGAACCGCAATTCCAGCACATTCATACCTTCATCCTTCTCCATGGCCTGAGCTCCAATGGCGAGAAGTTTGGAGCAGAATTGCTGGAGAGTGACATAATTTCTTCAGTAAACACCCTCACCGCTTTGTTCCCGGGCGCTCGTTTCGCTTTCCCGACTTCGAAGCTTCGTCGCTCCACGGCGTTTGGGAGATCAATGCTCACCATGTGGTTTGACATGGCTCGTCTTGATGGCCCATATTTTTAAAAAGAACGGCAGATCGATGGTCTCGTTGAGTCCGCGGCAGAGACCCGAAAGATCATTGAGAATCAGTTGAAGGATGTGAAGTCAGAGAACCTCATTCTTGGAGGGCTGAGCCAAGGTTGCGCGATGTTGCTGGCTGTGTTGTTGGCGCTTGAGTACTCGGTCGGGGTGTACATCGGTATGAGCGGCTTCGTGACGTTCCAAGAGGGTCTTGCGATGGCCATAGAAGATGACGAGGAGGAGGAACAGAGCAGCCCTGTCAAAGCGCAAGCGATGCAGCGGGATCTCCTGAACTTGGACCCTTTGGACAACCAATCGGATGACACCACGGCGGCGCGGACTCCCATCCTCCTTGGCCACGGCGAAGTGGACGAAAAGATACCTGTAGGCTTGAGGTTAAGCGCGGCGCAAGTGATGTGGGATGCTGGGTACGAGGCAGACTGGAAATGCTACGAAGACCAAGGACACTGGTACAAGATTCCTGATCAGATCGATGACATCGTCAGCTTCGTTACGACAAAAGTTGGCTGAGAGAGCGCTGCATCGGACTTACCAGCTTGATGCTCGTAAAGGCGGATATATTGTGAAAGGGACTCTGTGTCGGGACAGGAGATTCCGTTGTGGTGGCCGGTCACCTCAGTGTGTCCTTGCTGTCCTTTGTTGACCTGCACATGTTTCCCCATGCCACGTCCCAGTTGGCCGAAACTTGATCTCGATTGGTGACCCCGGTGCTCTGGAGGGCGACTGTTTAGGAGTGTGCTGTGGCCCGACAAGCCAAAGTTGGGCCACAGGCCATACCACAGGTCCCCCCTGAACATCTTCTCACTGCTCTGAGCATTAGAAAGGTGGAGCATGGGGAAGAAGACCAAACTTGAAATAAATCGCGCTCTGTTGATGGAAATCTGTGCAGAGGGATACACAATGGAATGTTGTACGTTTAAGTACTGAGATGTGGCTCGTCCGGTTTGTTTGCCCCTGGGCGATGGCGGAGCTGAGAGAGCTTAGCAGAGGGCTTGACAGAAAAGCGTATTGAGTACGTTACCATCGCTGGATGGACCATTGATCCTCGTTGGCTTGCATCTCAGCTTTAAAGAAATGGTTAAGGTGATGATGTTGACAGAGGCAGTAGTGCGTTGACGGATATCGCTTCGGAGTGAGAGCAATGATGCTGGCCGGGCTTGTGGTAAGTTTAGTCATTGGACACATTATCTGTCAAAGACTGTCACACATGTAGTGAATTTATCAGTGTAAAGGTGACATACCATTGGCAGCGCCTACGCCTTCTCGTCGCTTGGGCCGCGAGCTGTGTTGGCGGTGGCTGCGCGTTTGTTCTTGGGTACAGAGACGTAGCGATCACTCTTCAGGAGCTCAATATCTAAGCTTATGTGAGCCTTGGAATACCGCCCCTTCTCAACAGCGGCATAGAGCTCAGGCCCGAATGAAGTTCAAGCATCGTGGGCGACTTTGACCCAGTCGATGGTCACCATCCTGAAGAGTTTGAGTGTGCTGGCCCATCTCTGTCGTGGACTAATTGGGCTCCTCGCGTATCTGAACTCCTTTGCGCTAGATGAGATTTTATACATCGTTGTATCGGAGTCGGTTGGGTATATTGTTCGAAAGTAGCGACGCTGCTGTCAGTCGAGTGTTGCTCTGTGAAGATGGTCAATAAGAATGTGCCTTGAGCAGGATCCAGAGTTGGTCACTTACCTGTTTTTGAGGGCTTCCGTTGACGAGAGTCAAAGGCAAATGTTTCATCATATGTCAAATCCTCCTCCAAGAGCCATATCATGTTCCATGGTAAACCTCCTTGCTGATGGCGTTCGCGGTACATTGGCGGACAGGCGCCCCTTGCAAGGTGATGGCTTATAGAAATTCCCAGGCAGCAAGTCCATAGCGAGTTGAAACAGGTGTTAAACTCAAATTCTCAACCGTCTCAACCGCAGGAGCCATCTCCGAATGACACTGCATGTTCCATTAGTTCTGGAATATTGGTCGCCAAGGGAGACCGCGTGTCGTGACATCACATGCACCCCCTTTCCGCTCACGTCGCCAACGTCTTGAGCCGAAGAGGTGTTTTAGCGGCGAAGAGGGCGTTGGCTTGAACATCAAGGGTCCAGAGCTTGGAGCGACGTTGGGCTGTCTTCGCAGGGCTGTTAGTGGAGTGGGGTGTTGGTGGTAGACTCGAATGGCCTGTCGGAGGAGGCACTGACGGAGATCGATGAGCAGAAGCAATGGGGAAGAAGGGTTCGAGTAACTTCGCACCACAACGTACTTACTCGGCCCCAGATATGTTGAAGGCATTGTTTGGCGTGTCTGAGCCAAGCTGTGCATGCAGTTCCTTCACAAGAACAAGAACAAGTCCCCAACTGTTCTCCAGCGGTAACAATCTCTAAAGTATCATCACCCAATACGCAGTTGATCAATTCATTCCACAATGCGACTTCTACAAATGGGAGACTAAATTTACTTGGGATCTCCATCAATGAATCTATAGTAGATGTTGGTGTACTCGTGGAAATGTCGGCGCGCAATGGCAGCATCCAAGAAACTTACTGAAAAGTCCGCCTCCGTGCAGCCTAACTGGGAGCGCACCAACCTCATGGCCTTCTAAGTTAACTGCTAGTTGTTGCGAGAACCAGTCCATAGCGACCAATCGCCCATCCCGGCGTCCAAGGACCACAATCCGTCACATCTTGTTGCAGACCAATACCATGGCCCCTCGCCAAGCTCGAGACGCCTCGCGATCCCGAGCGTCTTCATCTTCCAGTTTCTTTTGGTGTTCCAGAGTGCCTCGGATCGTTCACGAATGAGATTGATGTAAGTTGCAGAAAGGTCGCTTCTGGTTCGAAAACCCCTGAATTCAGGGCGGCATCCAGAGACCGCTGTCGACAAGACCACGACTGAAGAAGGAAGCCCTGCGATTCCGCATTAGTATCAATGAGCATCGTGAGGCAATAGAATCTTACCAAAGCCTTCATGTTCAAGTGTACTCCCGAGCTATGGGGGCTGCTGGTGCTTTGCTGTTGTAATTGCCGTGTTTGCTAATTCCTTGATTGCGGCCAAGGTTGATGAGGAGGCCGCAAGAGGCCGCAGCGAGGTCCCTACTCCAATTGAGTAGCTGTTATTAAACTTCCGGTGCGTGTTCTCTTTTGCATTTCAAAGTGAGACCTACTCATGATATGTGAAGACCGGTGATGGTGTGTTGTGTTTGTCGAAAGGGGTATCTCGCTCAAGATGAATTTGACGAGGGGTGGATGAGAGGATATCATCCAGACTCCCATAATATGACTTCTACGATTTCCAAGGATCAATATATTTAATTTCGAAGGCTCAATGTGCTTGAGATGTGGCGGTATCTGTTTGCTTGCGGTCAGAATCATGGAGTGCCTCGGGCCCACTGCTGGAGCGCGAACAGGGACATTGTTCAAGGCGTGTTCTTACCTAGCGACGTTGGCAACATTATGCACAAAGGGGCCAAGTCCAGCACTTTAAGACCTAACTAAGAGCTCTGCAAAACCATGGTGGAGGAGTGCATCCATTGATCCCCAAGTGTTGCCGTATTATCAAATAACATTGATGAGTAGAATAGCGAAGTGAACCTATTTTTTGAAGCTCATGATTCCGTGATGCATACTGTAACAACTGAACAATAGAATACCACAGCACTGTTGGGCGTGTTCGGTGGTCTGTTCAGGGCATCAGCTACCCGCGGGTGACTAGATAGGTGCATGTACGTCTTCTCAGGGGATATACGACGTACTAACGACCACTGGAGCTCCTTTCCGGTTGCACAAGGAGTCCCCTTAGTGTATTTCAGTCTGATATCATTGTTGCCAGTGTCAGAGAAGCACGTTTGGTGGAGGGAGAGGGCAGAAGCCCTGTTGTTGCGGCCGCAGCTCGGTTGCTAGGGCTATATCTTTCTTCCCTCCCACTTCTCCTCCAGCTCTTCTCTTCTTCTTCTTCTTCTTCTTCTCTCATCCTCACACACTTTTATGCCACAACAACAAATATCATTATCCCCAAACTACATCTCCCCTCCTTTCCTTCCTCTCTATATACTACATCACCATCCTCAAGAGTCTTCTGACTCGGGGCCCTGCGCGACCCTAAACATGCCACAGTGAGTCACGTCATCTCTTTCTCTCCTCACGAAAACATCTTGTGGTGCTTCTCGTTCACCTCCCCAAATCCCCTCCTCTCTTCCCTTGCCCCAAACACGCGGTGCTTCACCTTTCATTTCACTCAGTGATTCACTTCCCTCCGACACGCGAGGACACATACTCACCGTTCATCTAGATTTTTTGCGCTTTTGCGCTTGGGTCCGGACCTTTGTCTCGAGGTGATTGCTCGTACTTCTCATGGGCTCAACGAAGTCAACGCCCCAAGAAGTACGAGTGATCACTTCGAGACAAAAGTCTTTCGAAAGACAGGATTCCCTCGAGATTGACAACACCGACGACGGGCGGGATGTCCGAACAACCGTAAGTACCTGCTGCCCTTCCCTCTTAATCAGTCCTGATCTCTCGACAGATCATGCTCCAAAACATCCCCAACACTTTGGGTGAGTGACGGCCCCGGTCCTGGGGCCGCACTGTGAAAAGCCATCGTGGCTCAACAACATTGTCGACATCAACGAGCTGGTCGCCGGACGCGACGCTCACACCACCGTAAGTACCTACTGCCCTTCCCTACATCACAATCAGTCCTAACCTCTTAGCAGTCATGCTCCGGAACATCCCAAACAAGGACGGCCAACCTCCTTTGAGCAGACTGTTGACGTCTCCTCGGGAGACTCGGTTGTTTGTTTCAACTCAGGTTGGCCGGAATTGTTTGGTGACCAAGTTCGGGCTCGGCCGCCTCGACCCCCACCGCAAGGCGGGTGAGTGACGGCCTGAACAAGAAGCGGCGGCATGGAGGCTGTAAGTCCTCCTCCACTCTTGGTTTTCATCCCCATCCATTCTAACATGTCATGATAAGGCTCGTCGCAGCGTGTACGGCGCTCACATGGTCCCGCGTACCACCGACTTCGGGGTTACGGCCGACCAAGCCTGAGCTCTCAACGAGAAGCAGCGCCTGAGAGCGATGCTAAGGTCGTATGTCTCTGCCTTGATGTTGATTGCGTGTTGTTGTCACTTCGCTATTCGGCAAGTACGATTTCATGTAATCGTCGTCAAGGCGGAATATATCATTGATGTAAGTTATCTTCGAAAGAGTTCCCTCCTTCTCGACATGCTAACCCCTAAACAGTTTTCCAAGCCTGAGCCAACAAACGTTGAAACTGTTTCAAGTCAACCCTGCGGAGTTCGCTCCAAAGGGAAGACTGCTGCAGTCTTCCACGCAGAGGGCAGCCCTACTGTCGCAGGTGCGCTCAGTCAAGAGATGGACATCTCGCACCGGATCGAGGTCTGCGATACACCTGCGCCCTCCATCATCGAGCTTGGCAATTTTATCACTGGAGGTGTCGCTTGCTAGCAACCATGTTACTCGCAGCCATTCTTGTCATCATTTCACCGGTCTCGATCTGAAAGGCTCCCTCAGCTTCTCAAAGAGTACCAGGAAGCCTGTGATGATGTCAAAGTCGGCCGATGGGAGACCGACGTCAAGATCATCAACAGTTCCAGTGGATCGCATCACCAACATCATTACACTCCTTTGTATATATATATACTTTTCATTGCCCAACCCGACCGCGGCATTGAAGCCCCACGGGGTCCTGGCCACACGACACTTTGTATATATCTTGGCGGCGCTCTCGAGACATGTCCACTGTGACTTGCCGCAACTGCGAGAAGCAAGGCCACTACAGCAGGGAGTGTCTCGAGAACTCGAGAAGCCAACATTAGTTCGGCTCTCTATCCCAGCCTGGACGAGGTGGTCTCGTCGCAGATCACCAGCAATTGGTAAGTCTCTTCATTACTCTCTGAAGTTGACCTTGGTACTAACGTATTTAGTCCTGGCTCGTCTTGGTCTCGATTTATCTTATATTATACATGACATCCAACGGATGAGCGAACATCAGCTACGCTCTCTATCCAAGTCTGGACCAGATCGACTCGTCGGATATCACCAGCAACTGGTAAGTCTTCGCCCTTCTCATTGACATTCACTCATCGCTAACTTGTCATTTAGTGTTGCCTTAGAGCTTTCCTTTCCCCTCAAGATTACAACCTATCTTTGTTCACCCTCCTCCTCTCACTACTCTTTCTGCCATCTCATTCTTACTTTACGACCTGTCTCGAGATACCTTGTCCTTCCACGTCCCACTCATCACCGACTTCACACTTATTTCAACTTTCTCAATCATCCTGCCCGATCAGCCAATTCTGGACTCGAAATCATCTTCATCGTTTATTATTTGTGGTGGACATTTAGGATTGGCCAGCGCACCAATATAGCTAGGAAACAACTCAATATTCAGGATGTCAATAAGAACCTACTTCTCCTAACACGAGAGACCTTGCAAATGCCATAATGTGACTGTCCGCTTGCTTTGTTGCCATCGCCTACATCTTCCACTGTAAATATTTGAGCATTCTGTCTCCGCACTCACTCAATCGGAGGACATGCTGAAGACTGACCGATCGTCCCCACACAACTAAAAGAAGCACGCAACAGCCGCCAACACAACTCGCGGCCCAAGCGATGAGAAGGTAAGTGCTCTGTCAACAGCATGTCACCCTGCGTCAGACCTATCTTTGCCGATAAGTTCGAACGCCTAGAGAGACGCAACATTGGTGATGTCGTCCCATTCTTGGATGTACCAGGCTAACCCTTCTTCATTCTCCCGGACAATCGATGTACGTCCCTCAACCTCGATCCCAAGCTCCTCTTCCACGACCGCCGCACTCTCCCCACGATAGCCTCAGCAGCCACGAGGCAGCACGATTCGTTTAAGCTCCGCTTCCATCTCAATTCTTTTCACCTTCATACAACAACTGTCTCAAGCGGAGCAGCAAAGTCACTGCCGATGACAAACCACCAAAGTCGAGACCGGGTTTCGGCGCCAGTCACAGAAACTCCGACTACCTCCCGGTCAACCGCAGGATGCTGTATTTACAGTAGACGAAAGACCAATTACTCTCGTTCCCCTTGTCAAGAAGACGGGACGCCTTGCAGACCTCGAATCACCAGAAACTCAAGCATGTTCTTACGGATTTGCCGTGTCACGTTTCTACTCTGGGTACTCTGGTCTCAAGGCGCTTTTTTTCATCGGTCTTACAATGCTTGAGCTGGACAATCGCTCGCTACAGACTCTTCATCAGTCTTTCGTCGGTCGGTCCCTTTCAATGGAGCCATGAGGCAGCAAGCACGTCACAACAACATTCCAACTGACCGTCCTGTGGAAGTCTTGGGCAAACACTTCCCGCGGAGCACTTGAGAAGACTGAGTTTCTATCCTGTTATTCTAATGTTCGGCTTCTATTTCTGATGTGCTGTTTACAGATGATCCCGCCCGAGAGCTGAAGCTCAACCGCTCGTCCCAGCTCAGAATCGCACTTAACAGCACAAGCGCGGTCAACATATGAAACGACTCCAGGCAAGATTTAAGCGATAAGGAACTTTCAATCCACGACGAAGATCACGGAAGCCTTTGACATTGAGGTCGCCTAGCCTCAAGCGCCTCATATTCCAGTGAGCCTCACAAAGGGTCGTGAGATCTGAGGGCACGATCGTTTACGACGAGACTGTCAGGCTCCAATGCCAGCGGTCAAGACAGTACAACGCAACACTATTTTGAGCACGATTAAGGCCCCCTCGCAAGTCATTCGGCACTCGTTCAAGGGTGATTGCCGGGGGTGAAAGGTTCATGGCCCTCCATATGTTGGGGCCGCGATAGTTCACATCGGGCACTGAGCCACAACACTCGTCATTGTACCCTTCTGTTGGGACACTGGAACGACTGCTCATTGCATGGAGGATCCTTCGAAGTAAAGGATAAAGTTTGGCTAAGATGAGCAGGCCATGAAACAGAGGAGACGGAAGGGGGCTCTTTGTGTGTGTAGACAATTCCATTGAACACTCAGCCAACCGCGTACTGTTCTGCTCTAGTATCTCTGTTCCATCCCCTGCGGCTCTCCTTTACTGTGTTCTCATCCACAAACATGCATTGTTCGCGGTTCTAGTGTATGCAGCATTTTCACCCACGAGCTGAGGGTAAGTCGTACCAGGTCTCCCTTCGCGTGGACTGAAGGGGCTGCACAACGATGTTTCCACGGTTGGTTCCATCCATAACAACTGAGAAGAGGCTCGAATGTCACTAGGGAGGCTCTAGTCGATGTTCATCAACAGATGCAAGTACTTGTTCATTAAAGTGAAGTGTTCGATTTAAGCTAACAAATTGGTATCAAACTAACAAGTCTATAAACAAAGGAAAAGATGAATGTGGCGAAGCCGGATATCTCAAAAGCACATCAAAGACCGTCCATCGTAATCCCATCTCCATACTGTACATCCATCAGCCAGCCATCAATCTTTAATGGCTCTTGTGACCATTAGTCTTAGCACCCTCCTGGTTAACAGCATTAACACCAGCGTTCAACTTCCCAAACTGCCACTCCGGCAGAGTAATACCAGTCTGTTCGTTAATAGTGCTCATCAGCGGCGGCAGCATCTGGTACACGTTGCGCATCGTCTCAGTAGCATCGCCACCCTGAGCACCCTGACTTCCAGTGTTCCAAACACTGATCTTGGGCTCGAGACCGCGGATAGCTGTGGCGTTGGCCTTGGCGAGTTCAACATATGTGCCCTTCTCGATCATCATGTACTGCAGTAATCCAGCGGGACCGCCGAACGCTTGGGAGAGCTTGCCGTAGGCGTCTGCCATGGCGGAAATACCTTCTGCCTCGCGGAGCTTGGCGACGAGCTCGGCTTCGGCGCGCTGCTGGGCGGCGTAGTTGTAAGCTTCAGCTTCGTTACGGGTCTGATAAGCTGCGGCGTCTGTGTTCTTTGTGACCTTGGCATACCCAGCAGCTGCATCAGCATCCGCGGAGATCTTGGTCTGGTAAGCTGCAGCATCAGCCTTGCGCTGGCTAGCCTCCTGACGAGCCCGCGCATCCGCTTCAACCTCGTACGCAGCTGCATCGGCAGCCTGTTGCTTACTCTCCCTCGCAATCGTAGCCTTGACAACATCCGTCGCACGAAGACGCTCCATCTCCGCAGCAGCGCGCTTGATCTCGACCTCCTTCTTGAGATCCTCATCCTTGGACTCGAGAACGCGCTGGGCTGTGATGCGGGCGATGTCGACGTCGCGGGTGAGGCCTGTGCGCTTGGTGTCGAGGTGTGCTTCTGCTTGGGCGCGCTCGATGTCGCGCTCTGTCTTCTGGACGGCGGTCTCGGCGTTGATCTTTGCGATCTCGCGCTCTTGTTCACCCTTGCGCTGGGCTTCGCCGACGTTGCCGCGGAGTTGGGCCTCTGCGACGTCGATTCTGGCTTGGTTGGTTGCGCCTTCGTGGGCTTTGCGGGAGAGGGAGGCGAAGTAGACTGAGTTGGGGGCATCCTTCAACTCTTTGACCTGTAATTTGTTAGCTATGCGATAAGAAGCGTAACTGCAGAGATACGTACGTTGGCGTTGAAGATGAGCAGACCAAACTGCGACAGCTCGTTCTGGATGTTTCGAAAGATTCTCTTCTTGAAGACCTCTCGCTCAGTGAAGATCTCCTCCATGGTCATGCTAGAGACGAGGACTCGAGTTTCACCCTCGATGATACCCTTGACGATGTTGGAAACATGCTGGCTCTGGCTAATATTCTCCTTCTCCTCAGAGTTCGCCAAAAGCATAGCATACTTCATCAAAGCATCCCCTCGATCCTCACGCTCAAGGCCATCGGCTTCACTGTCGGCATCGGAGCGGTTGGCCCCGCGCTGGTTGACATCAGGGCCCACTGTGAAGACGACGGGGAGAGAGAACTGCAACTTCTCCTTTGTCATGGCCTGAAGGTCCATGGCATAGTCGTGAGGTCGGATGCTGATTGGGAGTTAGTGACTGTTGGCCAATTAGAGGGGGGATGCTTACCTGAAGCGTGTGCATCGTTGGAGAGGCCAGACCCATGTAGCTTTTGTGATCTTGACGGTCTTGATGCCCATGCCAGTGATGGCAAGGTACTCATCGGGGGCAGAGATTCTGTAAGACATCTTGAGTGGTGTTGGAGGGTTGAAGTGATTGGTTGTTAGTGTAGATAAGAAGTTGGAAGTGTAGTTGGGTATTAAAGTATCGGACTGGTAATGTGTGACCAGGTGTAAGTTGTTATTTGCAACGAGTGTTGTATATCTCTAGAACCAATGTTACGAGAGAATTTTTGTATAGTATGTTCAAAAAGAAGTGTCTCACAAAGCGGGCAACCACTCTCTTATATGCTTCCCATGACATAATCTTGACACAGGCACACAAACATTCATGTCTCAAAGCTTACAAGGATTCTCTCCATCATAAATGTGCCTCGCAGCCTGAACTTGCTCAAGCTTCCAAGATGTGGTGGCGGAGTCTGGAGTACCCCTGTCAATTACCGTCTTCTGGAAGAATTCCATGTCCACAAGGGGTATGCAGGTTGCTGGAATGGGGTCCCGTGATCAGATTGAGTTGATAAATAAGATTAATGAAAGGCACGTATGATATATTGATCGCCACTTGGGGAATGCCCGGGTTTGGTGAGGTGTTTTGTTGTGATGTTGGTTGGGCGTTCTCGGGTGATCTACAGTGGGGTCACCCTCTAAAGTATCACCGAAGTTTCAACTTCAAACTCTCGTGTAAGTTGGTTTACTCCCGACACATGGCATATTCTAATGCGTTTATTGGCAATTGATACTCAATGATTGCTATATTGCAAAACCATGTCCTTTCTATTGCTCATCATTCATAACTGAACTTACTTTCAGCCGCAAAACACTATCAACACAGCCCTGTAAATGGATCGTCTTTAATTTCCGCCCCATCTCTCAAATCGCGGAATTCATCAGCAAAGCATTTCCTGCCGGTATCCGAATTCATCATCTTGGCTAAACGCCCGACCACAATGCGATACTCACGTGCAGTAATTATGATTCGATGATACTTGGAATGTCCCAACACTGCCAAGCCTCAAATTGCATGACTGAACACCAGAATTCTGCTGCGCCACGATGAGTAACCAATTAACAGAGCGGGTGGTTCTTCAGGCAGAGATAATGTGCATCCCAAGGCTGTGACGGGTCCACCCTCTTTTGTGGTTTCGGCGATTGCTAGTTTGACGCATTTGATACTACTCTTTCAGACGGGGCGATACAAGGCTGAGTTGGTAGTGACCGAGCACTATTGATCGTGGGCTGACTTTCTGTGTAAGCGACGTTGATTCAGGTTCTTGTATATTCATCGTGCGTTGGCATTTGATGTAGCATTGACTAAACGTCTTGCAGAATCTCCAGACTTGGCTTCTTCACATCAACATCATGTCGAAGCAAGATTCCTTTGACGATGGGGATCTTCCTCCCCCATACACTGAATCCGGTCCCTCAGCATCACTACCTACATCAGAACCACGACAGTCAGTCACGACTATCTTTTCCTCACATTTAAACAATCTTCCTTTACGCATTCAATCCGTCCAAGCAGTCCGCAACTCAGCGCGCGATGAACGGGATAGTGAAATTCTCACTCTTCTGGTACCTCACATTGAGAATATGCTCTCGTCAATAGCAGCTATGGAGCCGCCACCACGAGTCGTCGAAATGACCATGGTGCCAGAAGAAGCAGTTGGCGAGGGATGGTTCTTCAGCGATGAAGATCAATCCCGAACTGTTGTGCGCGTTCGAGAAGACCGCAAATTAGTCGGAGACCAAAAGAAGCCTTTGAAGCAAAGTCAACCGCCCAGAAATAGAGCCTTCGACGACTGGGGTCGATGGGAAGACGATACCCAAGAATCTGCCTCAGACGACGTCCTCTGGTGGTCAGACCACGACATGGCAGTTCGTCTAGCAAAGTACATCTCCCCAGAACGAGTTGATCGTCAAACCGTCAAAGCGCACGTTGAACAAGCAAAGAAAGCATCAAGATGGGGCCTATTCAAGAAATCTGAACCATCTACTCCACCGGCGCCAGTACCGAAGGTTCAGGAGGAAGAGCCGGTCACTATGACGGTCAAGGCTGAGGAGGTTACGTTTCGGAGGGAGAATGAGATGGGCATTTGGGAAGGGAAGACAGGATGGGGCTTGGTGGTCAAGGTCAAGTTACGGCAGTGATGGTGTTGTTGGACATGGGCTGAGAATGAGGGCATTGTGGACACGAGAGTTAAGGGATAAATATTGAGTCAATTGGGAGCATGAAGCAATCAACGTTATCAGAAACAATATCTCTCCAAATGGTGTTGTGACTTGAAGACTTAGTTGTCTCTCAACTCATTGCTGGGTCAGACATGAGAATTTTACACATCGTAGATGGTCAAGCTCAGCAATTATTCTTGGCAGAACAAAACAGTCCTCTCTAGCCGATATTACTCAGTGACACATTGTATCCTCTCGGGGTCTTTTCTGTGCATTGGCGCGCGCGGCATGTAATACAGTGAGTGGTTAAGTCGAACGATGTCCTCACTACCAAGAGGTGACTGGATGCTGACAGCACACTCTGAAGCTATCACCAACAATGATAGAGGCACTTCCAGAGACTCCCTACTACCTGAATATATGATAGACACTCCATAAATAACATAAATAGCGGCCCAATCCTCACTAGAACAGAGCCCGTCAACACCTCCATTCGGCCTTACACCACGTCGTGAAACTCACCCTGCCTATTCTCCAAACAACATCTCACAACCACTGTATCCCCTCTCACAACATCCATTCTCACCACCAATCCTCTTTTTTCCGTCTTCATCCGTGATTCACTCTCTTCGTCTTAGTGCCTGACTCACTCGCCGGCTTAACCCCACCTCATCTACAAAACCCTCAACTTCACCCTTCACCTCCTCTAAACATCTTCTCCTCTGCCCGCTTCATCCAGAATCCTGCCTCAACGCCAACAAGCACCATGGCTTACAACGTCCTCGTAACAGGCTCATCCGGCCATCTCGGCACAGCCCTCATGCTCTCCCTTCCCACATTCGGCTTCACACCTCTTGGGATCGACATCTTGCCCTCCGAGAACACAACACACGTTGGATCAATCTCAGACCGCGCCTTCATAACATCTCTTCTTCAGAAAAATCCTATCCAGCATGTCCTCCATGCAGCGACGTTGCATAAGCCCCATGTTGAAAGTCACTCCAAACAAGACTTCATCGACACAAACATCACCGGCACCCTCATTCTTCTCGAAGAAGCCTCCAAACTCGGTGCTCAAATCGAAAGCTTCATCTTCTTCAGCACAACAAGCACTTTCGGCGCAGCGCTGAGTCCAAAACCCGGTCAACCCGCTGCCTGGATCGACGAAACCGTCGTTCCCATCCCAAAGAACATCTACGGCGCTACAAAAGTTGCAGCGGAGGATCTATGCTTCCTTGTCCAGAAACAAACAGGCATGCCTGTTTTAATCCTCCGCACGAGTCGCTTCTTCCCAGAGCAGGATGACGATGAAGATCGTAGAGCAGCTGTCTCAGACGACAATCTCAAAGTCCTCGAACTAGCCTACCGCCGCTGCGACATCGAGGACATAGTCCGCGCGGCAGTCTGCGCCATGAATAAAGCGCGAGAGATAAAGTTTCGGAAGTACATCATCAGCGCACCGCCGCCTTTTCCTAACGACGCTGATACTCTTGCGATGCTGGACAAAGACCCTAAGCAGGTGTTTGAGACTGTTGCGCCGGAGTGTGTGCAGGTTTTCAAGGATAAGGGATGGAGTCACTTGAAGAGGATTGATCGTGTTTATGATTCTAGTAGAGCGGCGGAGGAGTTGGGGTGGAAGCCGGAGTTTACGTTCAAGAAGGTTGTTGAGTTGGTTGGAGAGGGGAAGGAATGGAAGAGTGAGTTGACGGGGAGGGTTGGGAAGAGGGGATATCATGCTGTTAGTCATGGAGTTTATACTGTGCGATGAATTTGCAGGCCGAGAGTTGGCATTGGAGGAGAGGATACAGCGGATAGCTTCACGATAGTTTTGGGACAAGACAGACAATTGACACTCATAGGACTTGGGTGTAAACAAACTCGTATTCGCCATATATGCTATATCTACCAAGTAACAGTCGTCTAACAAGCAGGGTATCTATACAACTCCCCATTCCCTCAGCCAAACTTGATTCCAGAGTTGGGGTTCCACGTTCCAGGTGCAGGAGGTTGGCCTGAACCACCAGACGCTTGACCAAATTTGATACCCATACCAGGAGCCCACATTGCACCAACCGGTGTTTTCTGGGGCTGTACTGGCTTTGGCTGTTGTACTGTTTCTCCCCAAGACTGAATGTTTGCCTGAGCTGGACTCTGCACAGGTTGAGGAGGTTGTTGTGGTGGAGCATATGAATGTGATGGGTCTTGGTGTGACGGCATTGGGCTTTGTGCGGGAGGTTGTTGGTGGGAGATGTTGAGGTTTGACAACGTCGGCATGTTAATTTCCCTGTAATATCGGTCAGTAAACGATTCGCGTCTGGAGGGTGAGGAGCATACTCTTCCAATGCTCTCGCCTCCATGCGACGCTGAGCAACCCAACCGCGAATAACATCACGGAAGCCCTGTCCAACAATCTTGTTCAAATCGTTGTAGAACTTCCGTCCAACTTCGAGGTTATTGATAATCTCCTTGTACTTAAAATAGGCATTATCCAGCTTCTGCAAAGCCACCTCGCGTTCTCTGTTACCGCGTTCACCCATCTGTCGCTTCTGCGACTCAAACTCGCGGTTGATCCGCTGAACATCCGCCAACAGACGTTCTTGGTCCTTGGCTTCCTTGTCAATCGCTTCTACCTCGGGCTCATACAGCTTATCAAGTCGTTTGTCGAAGAACTCCTCAAAGTGAGCCGGGACCAGTGCTGTGTTAGGGTACGCTCGCTCCAATCGGGCTGCTTCCTTGAGGATATCGGGCTTGATGTCGTCGCGCCGGGCGTTCTCTCGCAAACTTTCAACCTTCTTGCGACGACGGCTCTCAAGACGAAGAACATCGTTGTAGGCGCCGCGCAATCTTCCTATAACGGGTTTCAAGGTCTCGGGTATGTCAACCCGTCGGCTCGACGGCACAGAGTCCATCAGATCTCGGTCCGGCCCCGAGAGAATAGCAAGCAGATCCTGGATCGCGCCGAACTTTTCCCTGACAACTGCATCGCTACTGATACTGCTTTGGAAGTAACTCTCGATCTCGGAAGCGTGCTGCCAAAGCTTCCCGCCTTGAGGATCTTGCCGACTCTCGGGTCGCACCCATCGGTCAGTTCCGTATCTCATCCGTAATCGCTGATCTTCCTCTTCTTCCGAAGCTAGAGCCGCCTTGCCCTCTTCAAAGATCGCCATATCTCCAGACCGCAACTTGTCGATATCCGCGAAGCCCTTTTGCACTCTGCCAATGGCATCTGCTTGTCTGATCTCCTCAGCATGTTGAACCAAGCTAGGCGGTAAACCTAGAGGTTTCTCAAGAGCTTGTAGCGATCCTGGAAGTCCAAGCGACGTCAAAATTTCGTGAATTTTGTCCGTAAGCGATTCAAGCTCCCTGATTATATTCTGGCTGACCATGCGGTCACGTCGTTCCTCGTAAATCGATGTGGCAACGTGCACTGAGAAGGGAACAAGTCGAGAGAACAAAGCTGGTCCGAACTCGGCGTGGTCGCCAAAATAATCGTAGGGATTGGCAACTTGTGGTGGCACCCGAGCTACGGCCATATTTGCGCGGTCGAGAATCTTGAGCTCCGACTTTGGTGGTACAGCGACTGCAAAATGTTAGTACTTTGCAAAGCAAGGGTCGCAGCGCACATACTCAGGTAGATAACATCGTTATCCTTCTCTGCTCGCTTCAAGTCTTCCTCAACCTTACGCTTCAACCCATTGAGGTCATCAACCACCGTCTTACCAAGATAGCCACTTCGGGCCTCCTTAATGCCTTCCGTCGCACAAGCAACTGCGTCCTTCAATCGTGCAACCTCCTCTCCATATTTCCTCTTCTCAAGACAATCACACGCAGCTCGGTATTGCGCAGCAGCTGCAAAATGATGATGCTTTGCGCTCATGTGGTGGATCCAAGCACTACTTATGGCCTCGCTCTTCATAGCAGCTTCACCAGCAAAGTTATACAGGTCGGACACTCGAGCGGCGAGCTTGGCGATTGATGCATCTTTGTAGCCGTCCATAACGGCTTTTTGCCAGAAGCATTCTTGACTCTGAGCGAGGAGTAGTTGGATTAAAGACTCGAGTGTGTCGTGATCCATGTCTTCGGGAGGATCGGACATTCGTAGTTCGGGAAGAATCTCTTTTTGCATGTGTGATAGAACGCCGGCCGCGAGGGAGAAGTAGTTCGCTGCTGATTTGAGGCCTTCGGTGTTGCCCCGGGGCGTGTTGATGGCGAGCTGGGAGTAGAGGGAGGCGAGGTTGTAGAGAATGTTCATGAGCTCGTATTTGAGGTTGTTTCGCACCATAGGACGCTCGGTATTGTATCCAAGGGCAGGATACCACGAAAACTCGGCACCAACCTTTCATCAACGTCAGTTTGTGCTGTTAGCTAGCATCGCGTGACACTCACATCTATGGGAAACTTGGCCCCAACCCAAACAAGCTGTCCCGCATATGCCTGTAGTTTCTTAATGCCACTCGGATGCGGCTCTTGAACGTTCACCGCATCGCGCCGAAGTGCATCAATGACCTCGAGGTCATGCTTAAACATATCCGGGTGTTGATCATATTTGGTGTTGATATACTGCCGTATCGTCGAAGCAAGCGAAAGCTGGGTCGACTTGCGAAAGGGGATGGAAAGGATGTTTCTGACACAGGAAATGTTAGCTGATCAGTCCAGGGATTGCCGGTATAGCTGGGTCTTCTTACGACGACATGGCTTCGTTTGCGAATCAAGCTTGCGGGTTCTTGAGCCTTTGTAAAGTTGGCTTTTTTGCCAAGGTCGCTGGGCTGCTAGAGTTGCAATGACTTCATCAGAGCTGTGGGGACGCCACGTTGGAGGGGCAATGACATACGATGTGGCGCGGCAGCCACTACCCTAGAGCTTCCCGACCAGACACTCGGAAGAGCAAATGGTACCAGCGCCCATAAAAAGTAACAAGATAGTGTGTTATTTGTTAGGGCCAAAGTTACGATGGATGGCTATGTTTCTGTCGTTTTTTATTTACAGTATTCTCCTAAGTCGAGCGTTATTATGACGTCACGATACACACGAAGATTGGATGGTCCTTGTTAGAGCGCGAAAGACAAAGCGTTATGCTGACTCGAAGTAACAATTTTGTTTGCGATGAGGATATCGGCGAGTAATGTGATTCATGCATTTAATTCTACTTGCTTTTATAAAAATCACGTCAAGAACATTCTCACTTCGAGGACTTGTTAAACAAAACAATTCTGATTTTGGCTAAAACTACTAACATTTCATAGCTAGGGACCGATCAAACCATTACCTCAGTCTCTTGTGGTATCTCATTATTCATCATTCTCATCCCTAACGATACTTCACATCGCCAACTTCAGGTCGGTGAACTCCATCATCGACATATCCCGGAGGCTGTGTCTGTCCCGCATTAGCTCCCGACGCCACCGGCGCCGAAGGAACAGAGGGTCCGGCGGAAGTGGGGTCCCGATCGGTCGGAGACACGGAATTGACCTTGAGAGATCCAACCTCAGCACCCTTCAGAGTCTCGAGAAGGTTGCGAGCACCAGCGGGCCACATGCCGCTCTGGCGGGGAACTTCTCCTCGAATGATCTGCTCGACTGAGACGCGCTCACCGTAGAAAGCGGCGTTGGCATCCTTGCGCTCGACGACGACGGTGCCGTCGACTTGGATACCGGCGTAGAAACCGCGGGACTTGACGTAGGAGAAGACAGGCTTAAAAGCGCCGGTGCTAAGGCTGCGGCGTTTCTTCTTCTTGTCTGCCTCTGTCTCGGGCTTCAAACCTTGGCTGTCCTCCGTAGGGCGGGGAGGCTTGGGTGGAGCTTCTTCGTCCTTGTGCTCCTTGTCCTTCTTCTTTCCATCCATGGCGGCACCGATTTCGACAGCACCTCCAGCGCCATAAGGACCAGCGACAACAGCAAGGTCACTACCGAGTGCAACACGGGTCTTGGCGAAAGCGTTGAGAGCTTCTCGGCTGTTGATGACACAGACGCAGTCGTATATATCGAGACCAATCATGAAACCAGCGCCAACAGAGTGGACCTGAATACCTGAAGGAGGACCCCACGATCCGTCGGGGAGACGAGAGATCAGAATACCTGAACCAGTGGCACCAGAGAACGCGTAGCCGGCACGAAGAGTTGTGAAGATAGCGAGACCTTGGGCCTTGGCAATGACCTTGGGAGGAATGTTAACAAGAACTCGCTTCTTGGGCTTCTCCTTGGTGGGATCGATGATCTCGTCGTTGGTCTCCTGTGCCTTGGGGTCGGTCGATGTGGGAACCTGGCTGGAGCTAGGATCGGCGTAGACACCGTTTTCTAGAGCATGTTAGCCGATGTTCTGGTCAAGCTGCATGAACGACTTACTGCAGAAGGACTTTAAGATAGAAGCTGCTTTGTCACACTCCTTGTCGATAGTCTCGGGAAGGAAACTCTGGCTGCCAAACTTGTGCGCCAGGCTGTTGATAGGTGCAGCGGCCTTGATACCAAGCTGGCTGAACTTTTCGCTCCAACCAGGCTTCTTATGTGTCTCAGGATGCGCAGAAGTCGAACCCTGGGTTGTGGTTGTCTCGGGACCATGACCGAAGCCGTGGCCATGGGTAGGAGCTGTCGGACTTGGTTGAGGCGGCGCCTGAGCCTGAGCTGGCTGGTTTGTAGGAGGGGGCGCGAAAGTGGGATGAGCAGGGTCGTACTGCGGGATAGCGTAGTTTTGCTGGGCCTGCTGAGACTGCTGGGCGTCAAAGGGCTGGTGAGTCTCTTGGTGCTGCTGAGACACAGTAACTGGGTTTCCCTGAAGAGGGTTCGGGTGAGCGGCGGAAGCTTGGTGTTGATCTTGCGCAGGAGGAGGACCTGGAGGAGGGGGAGGGAAGTACTGCTGTTCTAGCTTGCGTTTCTCATCTGCAGCACTTGGATATTGTTCGGTTCCGGTAGTGGGCGCAAACTGAGGAGGTTGCTGCTGGTTCTGGGATCCTGCGAACTGAGCATGTTGATCGGGATTCTGGGGTGCGCGGGGCTTCTCGTCTCCAGGAAGCTCAGCGGATCCTTGCTCGTACGCTGGAGGCAGAGAGGAGTCTTGAGATTGATTCTGGGAAGGGTCGGCGGTAGGAAGCAGACCACCTCCGTGCTGGTCGCCAGCAGAATACTGGGGAGCTTTCTCAGGATTCGACATCGGATTAGAGTATGTAAAGCTGTAGGTGTTGTAGTTGTAAGGTTAAGGTTGAGAGTCAATGGCGGGGTAGCTTCGTGTCAGGTATAAGAGCTAGGAACAGGGAAAGAAAGTGGACTGAATCTCAAGTTCTGGGTGAGAGATGTCTTTAATAGATGAACAGGCATTTATTAGAACGATTCACTGATATGAGAGGCCTCGTCACTTCTAGACTCAAGAGTGGCGTGCGAGACAATTCGAAACCGGTTCCATGACTGCAAGGAACCAACCTGCGACAAGCCGCACAGGATTGATGTCATCATGGTGGCTTGGCGATAAGGTGATTGCGTGGCTGAATTTCAGGGTTCTACACAGCCACGATGTCAACCAATGCGAGCTCTTTTACCGTAAAACAGAGAAATTGTTGGGGAGATCTAGCATGTGAAATTGTGGAAATATTGGAACGATGGTGATGGTAACATTTCTTGAGCTTTTGTAGATATTGCCTCTTCTATGATGCGCTGGTGTACGGAGATCATCGCTGTTTTTCGGAGCCCGAAACGGGTGTCGTTCGGGGAATGTTAGGAAAGCTTACCCGAAGCCTGTGATCCTCGGTTTAAGCTTACACAAAGACCGAAACATTGTCTTGTAAACCTTTCATTGTCCTGTCGTGATAATCGCAAATTCTCCTCAATTCTTGCAGGGGACATTTGTCACTGAAGCAAAATGACACAAATACAGACCTCCAGCGACCCAGAGACTCTCCATCTCCCCCGCATTCTCTGCCTTCACGGCGGCGGCGTCAATGCACAAGTCTTCGAACTACAATGCCGCGCTCTCATCAGAAGTCTCGCTTCCTCACTGCGTCTCGTTTTCATGCAAGCACCCTTCATCTCAGCACCTCACCCCGACATTGTCAGCGTCTACGGTGAATATGGACCTTTTCGGCGCTGGCTCCGCTGGCAGCCCGATCATCCCGAGATTGAAGCAGAGGCCGCCGCCGAGCTACTTCGGAACCAGACCCGCCGGGCTATGGACGCCGACCCCGGGACCGGAGAGTGGATCGGCATTCTGGGGTTCTCCCAAGGCGCTAAGATTGCGGCGAGTTTATTGTGGACGCAGCAGAAAGTGACGGAGCAGTTTGGTGCGGATGAGGCTTTGACTCAGTTCAAGTTTGGTGTTCTCATGGCTGGGAGAGCGCCTTTGATTACGCTGGATTCTCGGCTGCAACATCCCCCACCGGTTGTTGATGCGGCTTTGTTGAGCTCCGAGTTCAAGGACTTTCCTGAGTCGAACGTGGGCGACCATGTTTTGAGCATACCTACACTACATGTTCATGGACTTCGAGATCCTGGACTGGAGCAGCACCAGATTCTATTGAAGACGTACTGCGCAACTGGCATGACGACATTGGTTGAGTGGGATGGTGGGCATCGTATACCGATCAAGAGCCATGACGTCCACGCCGTGACAACTGAGATTTTGAAGTTGGCAAAGAACGCAGGCGTGAAGCTGCCTAACTGAGTATCGCACTCGGTTTCTTTCCTTTGCTTTTCCTACGGTTTACAATTTACTGAGGATTTCATGGTTTCTGAGCGATTTATACACAAAGACTAGAACGCTATACATATATACATTATTGATTACCCAGGAACACCTGTCAAACTCTCAGATTGAACCCTTCGACTGAACTAAATGAAGCGAATCATTCACAAGTCGTGTGTCTTTGAGTCTATAAGCTTGTACTTTAAATATAACAAGGCATGCAAGGCCAGCTCATTGTACTGATGCGTGGTATCATTCCGCTCAGAGTTGACTTGGATAGAGAGCCTCAATTTTGTGCGACCCAATCGAGAAATCAAATCAAGATTGAGACCAACACGTCAAGAAAAGGACGGCAACGAATCGTTTAGTAGCCAATCCATTTCACTGTAAGTGGGGTTTCCGTTGCTCATGAGGCTGGCCTACATTATCAGATCTCAGATGTACCAACGCATGGGCTGTGTAACTTCGCCAAAACCATAGACGGCGCTCACAAAAGCGGTGGTTTCTCGCAACGCCCAATTTTCGAACCTTTCATGTCGCCATTATTTGCCCTTCACATGGCTATAAAATCCGACAAACGCATATCTCAAAATGGCTATTGCTGACTCTGCCACAATTGGTGCTATCAATTCTACGCATCCACCACTGCCTGCCTAAAACCCTGCAAGTTTTCTACTGCTCTCGAGAAGCTCTTTGCCGACGATGATGTCCAGATTAAGCTGGGAAAAGATGAAGTCTGCGATCAATTTTGCACAAACCATTATCCATTGTTCCACTGGATCGAGACGAGTTACTGCGAGTATCTTGATCGTCTAGAAAAGGTCCGCACTTGTCAATCGTGGCGGATACGGATTACTCCCTCGGCACAATCCTGTTCTTCCGTGTTAGCGGCGGGATCCCTTGGCTCTGGGTATACAGCAAGATTGGCATCAGACATGGGACTTACGAAATCCTTCTCCATTCAAAGTTCTCCCGAGAGAAGAAACTAAGGAACTGCTCTTCCAGTGTGCTAGATCCCGAGTGGGTTGACCTGGGCATAGTAAAGGGTGGATGGAAAAGTGCTTCGAAGAGCACGAATCAAAATGTCGGAATCCCAAGGAGAAAGATGTTTCTCCTGCATGGCTTATAGATACTAAGGATGACTGCTTAGTGCCAGGCAAGGATAATCATCCATTTGTAGCCTTGAGTTATAGATGGGGTTCTTCAACAAGTCGACAAATGGACAAAGAACGTTCGAGCAGCTGAAGAATCCTGGCTCATTATCACAGAACAATATGTTCGTCACAGCCACTGTACAAGACGCTATTCACACCGTTCGTATAATAGGCGAGCGCTACTTATGGGTTGACACCATATGTATAGCGCCAGACAATGAGGAGCAGCTGGCCGAGCAATTGCAACTTATGGGCGGTATCTACGCTTCTGCCAAACTCACCATTGTTGCGCTTGATGGTGATGCCAGGTCCGGAATCATAGGGCTCAAGTCCCAGTCACCGCCTCGCAGTCTGTCCAAAATCTTTCCTTGGAAATATGGCAAAAGTGTAATTATAAGGCAGTTGCCTTCCATGTCCATGCAGAATGAAGTGGTATCGAAATACTTCGAACGCGGATGGACGTTTCAAGAGTACACATTATCACAAAGACGACTTATTTTTGGTGATCAACAGATTCATGAAGATCTTCGTTTGGATGACCCTACACATACCCTAACATTCCCCAATATAAGGAAGGGATGGCTGGACTTCAAAGAATTGAACGTACTCCTGAATGAGTACAACAATCGAGAGTTGACATATCCCGAGGATGCATTTCCAGCTGTCAATGGTCTTCTCACATACCTTGAGAGCTTTCATTCGAGTATGGATTCCTCTTCGGTCTTCCAAGGGCGTTCTTCGACGCCGCTTTGATGTGGTCCTACAATATTGATGCAACCGATATGAGCGCGCGAACACGACCTGGTCTACATCGAAGAAAGCCATCTGAGAGACGACATTCAGTCCTCCCAGATACACACCTACCATCATGGTCATGGATCGGCTGGCAAGGAGATTGTATCAAGATGCTGGACACAGAAGCCCAATTCCAGTGGTCCGACTGGTCCCTTGATTCTGGTAGTGGACATTTGGCAAATTTGGTTCAACCATCAGTTATCACAACGCCCATCACGCAATGATTTAGCCATGCGTCTCCTGATATAAGTGATAAGCAACTCATACCACGGTATCCCACAGTCTATAAGGAACCCTCGGAGATCTCATACGACACAGTCGTCTGGAGAGTAAAGGGCCCCATGGGATACGGCTACATACCCATGGAAGATGGGGGAGGTACATATACGAGCATGTCAACTTTCCAGGCAGAAGCTTTCTGTGGCCTCTCCCCAAAATGAGCACAGAGGAACATGAAACAATGGCCAAGCTTGAACAAAATCCTTCTATCTCCTGCCGCACAAAGCGCGCATGGTATGGAGCTCTCCGGGAACACCACCAAAGTTATCAAGTGTGGATGTATACTCATTTATGCCTATTCGACAGCCAAAGACGACTATGCGGCTGGCTCCAATTACCAAAAGACGAGGATTCACTTAACTTTCCTGGAGCGGAATGCAGAAGAATGATGGGACAATTCGGCAAGAAGCCCCTAGGTGTGAAAGGCACCTTTATGAATCCATTTCCTGAACGCAACGAGTTACTTGAGCTGGTGGCAATCTGTAGACGCAAGTTCCCAGACAGCAATTTCGGGGACAATGGGTACATTGGGAAGAGTATTATGGGGTTCTGTGGGATAGAATGGATTGAGGGGGTTGCTTATAGACGAGGCTGTGGATATGTGCAGAAGGAACTTTGGGAAGAACAAGACTTGGAAGACGTTGACTTGATACTTGGCTAGGTATGGTCAATGACTTTCTTTCACCAAGAACTAAGAGAGTAATAAGAAAGTCACCTTCGAGAGGTTTTGCAAGTTAAAATGGGTAGTTGTTCAAAGGGAGAGACGGTGCCCCCACCCCATCCGTGTCAGCCACTCGAAGATCTCCAAGACATGAATACAAGATTACCACAGTACCCCAATTAGCAAAACACTAACGAAAAAAAATACATACAACTCCGGGGATTCGCTGGTCGTCACCGACCCAACTACTGATCCAGCGCTTCGTGGCTTAACTAAGGGAGAGCAGACGGGATCCCGTGTTCTCCACGAGCTGTGGTCGTATGTGAGTGTTGAAGCACAAATTTGACTCATATTCGAGACATTGGTGTAGAGGGAGGCGCAATGGCTGTCATACTTCTTGCCTGAAGTCTGCAGCTCTAGGATGGTTGAACTGGATGTTTCCACGCCTGATATGCTATCCAAGCTTGATATGAACTCACAGCAAGCGAGGCTATTCCCAAGAGCACAGCAAAGATGACTCCTATCAGTGTAGCCATCATTACATGTCTGGCACCACTCTTCCTCTGCATTGACTGCTGGAGCCAACCGCGAGGCCGAGGTGTCTGAAGTTCGTTGTACAGATCTGCCAGTCTATCGGCCAAGTAGACATACGGAACGCTTTCTTCTCCTACACGCCTGACGGAACTGACTTCAAAGTTGAGAATGTCTGGGTCGAACGAGCACTTTGAGACGAGTGAGCGGAGAAGTTTCTTCGATCTGGGGTCTGAGAGCGGGAACAGTGTCCCTTGGAGAGAGTCCAATACTTCGAGGACTAATTGGCGTGGTAATACTCCTCTACGCAATGTTAATAACCAAAGCCATTCCTTTCTGCTTGGACTTTACCTCTTGAGTGATGAAGACGGACTGGAGCAATCTCCAACATCCCGAGTCACTCTCAACTGTTCTTTGAGAAAAGAAGTGTAGTGATAAACTTCGAGGTAGTTGTTTCTTCTGTCAAAGTGCAGGTGGTTGCGAATATCTGATGTTGCCCTAATAGTGATACCTAGTCGCTTCTTCAGGTTGACAGCTTTGAGCTCCTTCTTGACATCTGCGAACGACTCGCTGTTATCGTAACTGAGAATGCTGTGATTGCCAAGTGGAAACGAGTCTTGGATGTATTTGCTGAGAGGCACGTCCTCTTTCCAGTGAATGCGGTAGGTCCCTTTCTCAAGTCTGTCTGATGAATGGTGAAGGGCCGAAGGGTCGATCATTAATAAAGTCTTGACCCCAAGTGCCATTGCATCGACTTGTCTCGTTCCATCAGCCGCTTGTGAGCCTGTGCTTTGACGGGTCAATCGACACAGCTCTGATAGAGTGGCGTCTGGATTCGTTTTCAAGATGGAAATGATCTGAAATAGGTCCTCGTGCGTTTTTATTCTTCTTGTTGTCGCAGAGGTTGCATCCATATAAGTCGAGACAATAGCTTTGTAGTACGTGAAATATCGCTGAAGTTGAGGAATTCGCCCACCGATACAGCGCTGATGGATACATGCATGAGGTCGTCGTTCATTGCAGGGCTGAGAGAGATCCCATGACCATAAAGCCATCGCTATATCAAGATATACATCCTGACTGAAGTCGCTGCTAATCCTTGATGCCATTGTAGAAACAAAAGTAAATACTGTATGAGTATTGAAGTTTTCGATGGGCTTCCAGTTGGAACCTTGGGAGCGCAGACCTCGACATCATCGCACCTTTAAAGACAGCCTCATGCAGAGCCTGATTTGATTGCAGATTGAGGCTTGAAAGTCGACCTCGAATTGGTTGTTGCGTAGTGATTGGCTGGTCATGGGATGCGCATGCAGCTACTTATGCAGTATTGGTGCTTAGCCACCGCCCTCGAAGCTGAGCCCCAAGCACACATGTCACGTCTTACATATGCTGCTTTACTTGACAGCTTGGGTTTTGTACTCAGATCAATCCCATCTTATCCAAGGGTTAATGGCATGGGACTTGTGTCGACATGACGACGTTTGAAAGATGGCAGGGGCAACTGCCATCCCATCTTGGGGCTGGCGAGGGAAGCTCAACCCGGGTCGCTACTCAAGAAAGCCATGGTGTTGAATGTCCGGAAGGGTTAAGGCACAAATTGTCAAACTGGCGAGCTTCTGTTCCTTTTCGTTCAGCTCCAGACATTCCATCAAAACCTACGCAACAAAAGGATTCCAAAATACCGCAGCATGACGAGTCTGATTCTGGCATCGGCATCACCACACCCTCCTCTCAAGATCATGACAACGAGCCGCTTGGCTTGGAATTGCCCGGCACGGAGCTTAGATATTTTGACAGGCCTATATCTGAGCGGCTCAAAGCTCGATTCTTCGACATCAAGGTCCTGTACACTCAACCGCTACTGGACTACATTCTCAAGAGGAAGAAAGATCCTGGAGACATTTCCATGAAGCTGAAGCATCTGGGGCTCAATTCTCGAAGTATCAAGCTCCATATCGTCATCCAGTGTGAAAGAAAAGTCGCCAAAAGAGTGAAGAAGTTCTTCGCGCAAGGTCATGTCGAAGAGGAGCTTTTGCCTGACTTTCGGGTCTTTGTGCTGGAGAAGGCACTCTTGCGATTAACCGATAACGAGGCGATAGAGGTTCTGGCGGATTCTGTACCAAAGAGAACCTGGTGTGGAACACCCATCAGATTGATCCGAGGCAATATGTCTGTCATGGCGACCTTTGGCGGTGTCATTGTAGTTGAAACTTCTCACAAGCGCCTAGTTGGCTTGACGGCTGCTCATTCTCTGAAGAAGTTGCATAGTCCTCTTGCCAACCAGCTTTTGACTAATGATACAGAAGTCCCCTTCTCATCGTCGTCTTCGGATGTTTCCGAGAGCGGAAGCGACTCTGATTGTGAGTCCACAATCACGACTGAAAGTTCAGTGGAGCATCTCGAACACTCGAATGGCAAAGGACTTGACACCACTGCATCTCAAAACACCTTGGCAATCGGCACCATTCTTTGCGATACATTCAATACTCCGATAGCCCAAAACTATGACTGGGCTGTTATTGATTTGAGCCAACAAGATGCATTGCCCAATAAAGTTGACCTAGATCAACAGCCTGACTCGTCAGATTTTGAGGAAGAAAGTAGCTTAGAACCCACCCTTTTTCCAAGCCGGACTCTCTTTGAATCAGTGTCCAGGCAAGTCTTGGTACTGAAGCAAGGTGCCTCACCGATTGGAGGGATGTCTCTTGATACTTCCTCTGTGCTGATATCCCCTGGATCATCGTTTGTTGAGGTCTACGATCTTGCTATGGAGCATGGCTCTTGTAAGTGAATTTGAATACTCTATTAGAACAAATTGACTAATAGGTTCCCAGCGTTAAGTCCCGGTGACTCCGGCTCATGGGTAGTCGATGCGAAGACTTCCGAATTGTATGGCCATGTAGTTTCGGTTGATGCCTTTGGAGAGGCGCAGGTGATGCCTATTCGTTCGACTCTCGACAGTATCAAGGTGCAGATGAATGCTACACGAGTGTTCCTGCCCAATAGTGATGAGATTCAACTATTGGGGGAGACATCAAGGCCCCCTATACCTGCCAACCTGGAAGCATCGCCGATCACTGAAGCACCCGAAGAGCAGGAGATTACACAGGCAACTCACTCGGAAGACATGACGGGAGACCAATTTGGGCCATCGCCACCTTCTACAGAGGCCTCTGGCAAGTCTCCAGCTGGATACGCAGTATCTCAACAAGATATTGTCGCACAGAGCCTTGAGATCGCCCGTGAAAGCCCTGAAGGAGCTTCTTATCCTTCGATTAGACAGATTCTTGAGTCTGCTTTTGAAGAAATCTGGTCCAAGATAGGGAATCAACCCGATTCATATGTCATGACGAGAGATGAGTTTGCCGTGTTCAATTTCTTCCAGCACCGCTACACCGGCGATAAAATCGCCATCGCTGCTCGAAAGAGATACTGGGAATCACTATCTATGGACTCTTCGGAGTCTGCCAAGACTGAAAGTGGCCATCTCGGTCAGATTGACGCCGTTCGGGAATTGGTTCAAGCCTCGTATCGCCGCATTGGAACTTATGGCCCAGATTTCGCCAATGTGGCTACTAAATTGTACAAACTTGAAATGACCCTCCGGCGGCTGCGAGATGAAGTCGCCCAGGAAGACATTCCTGTGCATCTCGAGGAATCTTACTCCAGTCACCTTCATTCGCTCATTGAGGATTGGGATTACGCCATGAAGCGTGTTAATTCTTTACTTGATACGTATCATGACGAAGAGATAAGTTTCGAAGGCGAAGAGGCTTCCATGAGTGGTAAACTGAAACCCATAGAGCCTATCTTAGCTGGCAAAAGGATGGCCATTGAGCTGTTGCTTGACTCAGTCCAGTTACAAAAGCCTCAGATACACGATAGACGCCAGTCTGGCCTCGAATATATTAAGGACAAGGTCGACCAAATTGCTTCTCAACTTTTCGCCAACTGGGATGCTGGATCCTTCTCGGGAGAAAATGATGATTTATGGCAACATTTCCAGGAACTGCTTGAGAAAGAGGGATTTTCTTCTCAAATCCTAAACAAAAACAAAGTCAGTCATATACAGTGTTTGAGACCGTGAATGAATGCTGACATGGAACAGGATGTCCTCATGGCGTATATCAACGAACTCAGATATGTTGCCGATACCATGACAAGCACGCTCTCTCGCACTCATGTACCACCCGAGCCACCTTTGAATATTGTACCCAGTGAGCGGAAACCGGATATTAAGCACAAGCTTTATGATACAAGTATACAAATGGATGTTATTACAACAGAAGACATCATTGCTCTGGACAGAGAGGATTCAGTAGTGCAGCAGATCCAGCCTACACTTTCACCAATGGAAGCAAGCCCTCTACAACAGCCCATACCATCACAGGATTGGTACACAGAAACCTCTCGCCTAACCGAGGACTTATCTCATCATGTCTCGTCTCGGTCCACATACAGGCGCAATAATGGTCAGGCCGGCTTTGCCCCAACATCTCAACTTGTGGCTCCGGATCAATACGGTAGAGCAATTCCTGATGACGCCCATTGGACGAAGATATCGCGCAAACTTATTAGTGTCGAGGTCCTACAACGAGCGGGTGTACGCTACGAAGCAAGACCAAATTACGTCGCCATCCTGGGTACTCTGTCCAGAGAACAAGTGGCAAAGCTCGTTCGTGAGAGCGAGGTGGCGATATTTTCTCGTCCTCCACCTCCGTATCGTCGAGCCAGAAAGATTTCCCCGCAGGCCCGACTTGTGTCCCCATCCGACGACGACGTATCCTTTATCCCTTTGCTCGATAGTGGCAGCATGGGTAGTGCAGTTGTTCAGGTCCCCAGCAGGAGGCCTAGCAAAGCTCGTGATAGCGATGCCAGTGCTCGCAGAGAGGATGAATATCCTCCACGTCGGAATGCCGGGATGAAGCAAGAAAAGCCCGGGAGTAAACAAGAGAAGTTCAACGGAAGGCAACGGCGAAGATCTTACAGGAGCCCAAGTTATGACCCTTACAGAGGAAGAACTGACTGGGGTGGACTTCAGCACAGCGTAAAGGCCTATGATAAGGGTGGTCCAGGTGGTGTGGTTGGAATTGGCAGCGCAGCAGTGAGTTTGCTGTGTGTATTGTCTGAGGCTGCGTCAGCTCTTTAGACACTGGATCTGTTTTCTTTCGTGTTTGTAAATGGGAATATTAGGGAGCTGTATGCAAATCATGAAGATTGGACAAAGGAACAAGGTATTGAGACGTCTAAAGGGTAAGAGAAACATGAAGCTCGATCCTAGGTGGCAGAAATCCAAGGCTAGCTTTGTGCAAATGCACCAAGGCGTCTACCCTCTCTCGTTATCATTTTATCTGCCAGTTTTACTATCATACTCAGTATAATATACTATTTCATGCAAATGTCATTAAACTCGCCTGTGATCCCCAATGCATGACACTAGGAGCCAACCGGAAAGCATTATATCCGGTTGCAGCCAGCTTTGCGTCGCCTAACTGTCCAAGACCTCATCTATTTCATACAGTCTCTGCCCATTACTACCGTATTCCAGCTTTCATGTAGGATTCGTCGTCGACTCTTGGATTTCCATCCATCTCGTATATATCCACTCTTTGCAACTCCTCGTGCGCAGGGTAAAAGTAGTATGTATCTACCAGACATTGGTCAGTATCATCACAGCGACACGACGCCTTTCAATTTACTCACTGGCTTGCCGTTTCTTCTTGATCAAAAAGTAAGCGACTCCCAATCCTATCAACACCGCTCCAGCGACAGCGCCAACAACAGCGCCGCCGATAACCGCACCAGAGAGTGAATTCGAATTTGAACCAATCCCTCTATCTGGCTTCGAACTCTCAGAAGCAGAGCCCGTGTAAGACGCAGAAGGCTGTATAACACCCCTAGTATTCTCACACTTCTTCCCCGTCTCTTCATCGAAGACCCTAATGAGGCTCCTTTCCCGTGTGGCATTCGCCTGCCAGAGCGTGAAAGTCCCTGCATCATGATTTACCATGAGATATGCTGCTGTGAGGAAATATCGCCCGAGGATAGGTGGTTCATCTTCGATGTCTGTTATGAGAATATCGCGTTTGGAGGTATCGCTGATTCGTGAGCCGTTGGAGGCGATGTCGACGGAGGGAATCATGTATTGGTTATTTGGTACGCGGATTTTGAGACCGGATTCGAGATGGAAGGTGAGATCTGCCAGGAACCTACTGCTGTCAGTGATTTAAGGTGAGACTGGAATTCAGGGTGAACATACTGCTTCTCGAGACCTGTTTGAAGGGCATTCCAGTGAAGTCCACTAGACGAGTAATTCGTCTTCAAACCACTAATAGACTCAAAATTCCGTATATACGGTGTCGGAGCTTCCAGTAGCAAATGGCTCGCCGGATCGACACAACACTGTAACGTCGTCCCCCTAGGAATGATGCTAACGTTTGTTCCACCGAGATAATTGATCTGTATATCAGTCAAAGTCACCTTCATACCAGTCCAACACCCATCCGACCCATCAAAATCTCCATACACAAGCGGTGCAGTATAATTAGCACCAGTGACTTTCTTCTCATCATAACCACCCAGAATTAGAGATCCATGGAGAGGCACTTTGATCCACATACGTCCCCAGAATATCGACCATACTCGCGAGCCAATCTTTCCAGCTTTGCGTAAGGCGTTGAGATATGTTGAGTTTCTGCCTAAACCAAGAGGACTTAGAGTACTGTATGTATCGTCCCATTTACTCGTTGGTATTCCAAAGGGAAAGTTGTCGAGTTCGGCTGAACCTTGGAGGTTAATCTTGTCAACTGCGCCGTTGGCGCTTTTAACGAGGTTGCGAACTCCGTATTGGCCGCCTTTGAAGAATGTCTCGTTTGGTGCACCGCCTGCTTTGACGATATCGCTTGCTCCCGTGAAACTCGTAGATTCCTCTTCGTTGAATAATCCACCTCTTCGAACTTGGCAAGATTCATCGTTTGGGATACCTGAGTCCTTGCAGAATGGTTCGGTGTATATCCAAGTGTTGTTCAAGTCACTGTCCATGTTAGTCATAGATAGTCTTCATTGAAGTGAGAACGTACGCCCAAGGTAGAAGAACGATATTTTGAGGTGGTGTTCCGACTTTAGCTGGAATTCCTTTCATGAAAGAGTTGGGAATATCCGGAAGCACTTGTATGTCTTGAAGGGGAAGAACTAAGGGTTCGGCATCGCAGGACGAGGCGATTGCCTCTCGCAGAAAGAGAAGAGTCAACAGGAAACGATACATGGCGAATTATGGTATTACTAAAGGAACAAAATGGTAACAATAATTCAGTAAAAGGTCTCAACGAGTGCGGGCAGAAAGTGCATATTGTTATTTGTCGTCCAGGAAGACTCAGAGGCTCGTGCCCAAGGTCTAGCCAACACCATGACGACTTTCCAACCACTTACACAAGCCAAGTCTACTCAAAGAACGCAACCTTCTCATCATCCCAATGGCCTATTTTCGATCTTTACTCGGGATTCGGCCAAGGCGAAAGAACCTCTTATACCAAGTATAGCATCGAAGCCAGGATTTCTATAAACGGAAATAGTCTCGTTTTAGGCTTCCGGACCATCCACCCCATCAAGTAAGACACCACCTCACAGGGGTCTAGATAAAGACGATAGGCTGCTTATCACTAACTCAATTCGTAAACTGCAACAAAGAAGCATTTCTGATGCTTACACCTTTTGTTTTTGTTTTCTTTGTCTTTGTCTCAGCACACCATGTTTCGTCGCCGTGCTTCAAGACGCTTACCATCACGCGTCGTGCTAATCGCCGCTTTCCTCACAGCACTCTTTCTATGGCGTCAGTTATCGCATCAAAGCGGTGTGGTGTTTGTAAAGAGTTCTTTTGACTGGTCGACCGTTGGGCTTGTTCATCCGCCGGCGGATATCAAGCCTTTACCCATTGGTCAAGCAAAGCGTATGCCGAAAATTCAAGCTGAGAAGGGAAAGTTTGTGAAGACGGGTGAGATTGATAAGAGGAGAGATGCTGTGCGGAGGGAGTTTAGAAGAGGTTGGGAGGCGTATAGACTGAAGGCTTGGGGGAGGGATGAATTGATGCCACTGACGGGACAAGCGAAAGATCCGTTTGGGGGTTGGGCTGCTACGTCGGTTGATGCGCTCGATACCCTGTGGATAATGGATCTGAAAGCGGAATTCAATGAAGCTGCAAGTGCAGCTGCGGCGATAGATTGGGGGAATACGCACGAGAAAGCAGTGAATCTCTTCGAAACGACAATTCGACACCTCGGCGGTCTTTTGAGCTCATATGAACTAAGTCGCGAACCAGCATTGTTACAAAAGGCCACGGAACTTGGGGAAATGCTATATCTCGCCTTTGATACACCGAATCGACTACCTGGGTTTTGGCTTAATTTTGAGGATGCGTTAAAGGGTAAACAAGTCGCTGGTATTCACGACCCGTCAGCTTCGCCGAGTTCGTTGGTGATGGAGTTTACAAAACTCTCACAATTAACCAACGATCCCAAATTCTACGACGCAACAGATCGAGTAACGCGATTTTTGCTCAAGATACAGAATAGCACTCTTTTACCGGGGATGTGGCCTATGTGTCTTGACTTTCAGAATGAAGCAGTTCACGATAATACGTTTTCTCTTGGTGCGTTGGCAGATTCTCTTTATGAGTATTTACCCAAGATGCATGCCCTTCTCGGTGGTTTGGACGAGAACTACGAGACCATGTATCGCACGGCTGCGGATGTTATTATAAAGCATTTGGTTTACAGACCTATGTTGCCGAAACAAGAGGATGTGCTGTTTTTGGGTGATGTCAGGGTCGGTGAGAAGATTGAGTTGAGTACCGAGAGTCAACATCTTACTTGCTTCGCGGGAGGAATGTTTGCACTCGGTGGGAGACTATTCGGTATTGAAGAACACGTTGATGTCGGAGAAAGACTTGCGAGGGGATGTGGTTGGGCGTATAAGGCTTTTCCAACCGGTATAATGCCTGAGATCTTCGACTTGATAGCCTGTCCGACCCTCGAACTCTGCGAATGGAACGAAACACTCTGGAAGCCGCAAAACAAACAAAAACTCCCTCCCGGATTCCGTCACGCGCGCGATCCGCGATATATTCTCCGACCAGAAGCAATCGAGAGTGTTTTTATAATGTATCGGCTTACAGCTGATCCAGTATGGCAAGATATGGCGTGGGATATGTTTCAGGCGATTGTGAAGTATACCAGCACTGAGCTTGCGAATGCGGCTATTGATGACGTTACGAGTACGGAGACTTCGAAGACTGATTCTATGGAGGTGAGTGATTTATTAAGCGTGATAGTTTGGGGGAAGGGAGGTTTGCTAATACGTGTACAGAGCTTTTGGTTCTCAGAGACGTTGAAGTATTTTTATCTGATCTTTTCAGAGCCGGATTTGATCAGTCTGGATGAGTTTGTACTGAATACGGAGGCACATCCTTTTAGAAGGCTTTTGAGTCGGGATTAAGAAGGGTCAAATATTACTGAGAGTTTCATCTTGCTGGTCGAGTTGGAATTTTGGACGGTGGATTGTAACTCTTTACGCTGAGTGTACTACAGCGCAGCTCGTATCAGACAGGGCATGTCTTTCACGGTCATCTTAACGAAACATTAAAGGTTGATGTATGAGGTTTTGAAAGAATAACCTCGCTCTTTGAGGGCGTTGGGCGCAGGAGAACGATGTTGAGGTCTTCTGTCTCATGGTAGCATGCGTCCCATGATCCAATCCCTCTTCAGGTTTGAAAGATCATACTCAAACAAGATGATCAGCATTCGAGTCAGTATTTATTTAATTTCCAAGTTCTTTGAAATACCTTTGTAGTCGAGTCGCAATGTTCTTGAACCGAGCTCACTTGCTGGGCGATGCCGATGTTTCACCTTCTTTGTTCAACACCTCGAAATAGCAACTCGAAGTCACGGCAAAAGGGCCTTGACCGGGTCTGACATCCAGTCAAAGAATTCATACGAAATTGACTTGTAGTGATCCCTATTGACGTGACCATGGGTGTCTCGTATAACCAGGTTCTCATGGCAATCGAAGGTGAATAATATATAGAGCCCTATCACCACCACTCCCAATCTCACCTTATGGATCAAAGATCAAGCCAAATTATCAAATTTATTATCAAACACTATCAAAATGTTTTCCCCTCTCCTCCTCCTAGCCCTCACCCTCAGCGCCCTCGCAACCTCCCCTCCAACCCTCAATACAACCCAGCAACATCCCTCCCGCATCGCGCCACGCTTCATATCAGGCGGTTTCTACGACAAATGCAAAGACGTGCGCTTCTACCTCGCCAAAGCAGACGACACACATCCCCGCAAGAACAGCTTCGACGGCTACAAGTCTTCTCCATGGCTTGTAGCGAAATGTCCTGATAAGAATGGAAAGTATCTCTGCACGTGGCTGGCGTTGAGTAAGTGTTTGCTTAACTCTGAGGGAGAGCTTTACCGTGGTGCAAAGTCAGTATTTCTCGCCGTGAATTTTGTTTGGAGTGGTGCTAATGCTGTGTAGTGGAAATTTTCACGGGTCGTGTACGGCGTGTAAGTTGAGTGGAAGTAACTTCAACTGCGGTTGTTGGAGTGGATTGAAAAAGGGCAAGAATGATTTCGGGAACCGAGTTCATCGAACGAGTATCGATTTGAGTATGTTTTTCCCCGGTTTTGGTGTTTTGTTGCTAACTGGTGTAATAGATGTTGCTGTTGGGGCGGTTGATGGGTATTTGACCTGTCATGGGAATTGGGGAATCCTCGATTATTGCAGTGGAAGGCCATCGCATGATCCTTTTCTCGATTCGAAGTAACGAGCTCGTAAAAGCTTGTTGTTTGCTATTTATTGCTTGTTATTTCTTGTTGGGTTGGCAAAGGAGGCGTTGATGGTTGCTGTTAGCTGTTTCTCTGTATTTTGTCTTTCCTCGCATTCGTTCTGTTTTTATCCCTCTTCACATTCGTTTGTATCGCTTCGTTATTTATTAGACCTGAATATTTAGTTTCGCTTCTCCTCTTTGTTGTCGCCATCGATTCGTTGACTCAACCAACTCAGGACAACCCTTCAACAACCATCCCCATTTTCTCAGAAATCCCACACTAACCTCCCAACTACTCGCATCATGCGCCTCTCCCCAAACAATCAAATAAGCATCATCCAAACCCTGACTGCTCATCAGTCCCAGTATATCAATACACAGCTCATCCTCATCAAAAACACCACTCGTGTAGCCCTTTAGCATGTTATCTCTCAATTGGGGAATCGGTAGTAAATCAACCCAGGGATGATGCTCAATCTCGATTTGTAGCTTTGTAGGACGTAAAGACTCGGGACATGAGGATTTTACGAGGGTGCCGTCTGCGGATGAGGGACCTAGGGCGTTCCAAGGTGATATTACATCGTCGCAGCATAATCCTTGCAATGGGATGCCGATATGAACTGCGTTGCTCGACACGGCATTAACGGCGTTGAGACGGATTAGTGAGGGGAGAAGTGCCGGGCGATGGCTCTTTAAACTATGTTGCATGTGAACCAGCTGCATGAATGCATATGCAACCGCACGTTCTCTGGCGGTAGTGAATATGAGGATTCCATTCGTGTGGACTTCTTCCGGGGTGACATTGGCATATTCCTCATTCCGGGCCTTCCGTTTCCCTGCTGGGGTCAGTTTGCTTCATACACAATACAGTAAAATACAGTATGGAGGGTAGTAGGGGACTGACGATAAGCTCTCTGATTCAGACGGTTCTGTCGTCTCCGTCTGTCCCTCGCCTCAGTGATTCCCGTCCAATCATCATCCGGATCTTTGAGCTCCGTTAACTGGGGCAGTTGACCGAAACGTTTCGGAGCCGGAGGTTGAGTAAGCTTCTGTGGTTCTGCCATCGGGATTCTTACGTGAAGGGTGCGAGCGATGGATCCCAGCACTTGGTCAAGACTTTATGTACTTGGCTGACGTGGAGTTGTAAACTCCGGGAGGGAAAAAGAAGGAGAAAATTAGTACTGAGCTGGAGAGATAAAGACTACGTAGACCTTGACTGTTTATTGCTTACAATTGAGGCTCAGCATGTTTCTGTTCTTCGTTGAATTTGATGATTAGTTTGATCGAATCTTCGGTGATGGGCTCTGATTTGTTACGGAGATAGCGTTGATTGCGCTAATGCAACCTGCTGACATCAAGACCTGACAGAAGTTAGACATCCCTGTAAAATAAAACGTGACGCTGATGTCAGACCTTTAATCCAACCAAACACTCGGATCAAAGAAACACCGTCAATTCCAAGATCAATGACATCTCCATAGATAGTAACACTCTCTATTCAGTCTAGAGTCCCCATTGATTCAGTAACTGCCGATGCATCTACCTCGTGGCGACCCGCCTCAATCTGGAGACGTCACCCTCCTTTACGGGCCTTTTTTCACTCTTCGGACTTGATTAGTGGGCTAACGGCGATGGCTTCCTTTTTCCGTCCAGTCCCAAATGGAAAACTTAACTCCGTTTATATCCATTCCATAGCATAGCATTACATCGGTCTCTGATGCTGATAAATTCTCGGGTCTTCGATGACGTTGCGGAGTCCGAGATTTTTTCCTGGATGGTTGTAGAATCTTGGATGTTGGTGATATATATAGCCTGCACTCACGTAGGTAGATAGATCAATACAATCTTTTTGCTTTTACATTACAGTAAATCTCTTCGAAATATACAAAATGTCTACCGATTACGAATTCAAGGGCTGGCTTGGCCGTGATCCCGACTCCGTCAATGGAAAGATGGAGTGGGATACCTTCGAGCCCAAGAAGTGGGAGGAGAACGACGTCGATATCAAGATCACACACTGCGGTATCTGCGGTTCTGATCTTCACACTCTTCGCTCCGGCTGGGGCGAGACACCTTTCCGTAAGTCATCTCACAATGCTTCAACCAATACAGACGATGGAGCAAATACTGATGACTAGCAGCCTGCTGTGTCGGTCACGAAATCGTCGGCAAGGCAGTCCGCGTCGGCTCCAACGTAACCAACATCAAAGTCGGCGACAGAGTCGGTGTAGGCGCCCAGGCCCGCAGCTGTCTCCGCGACGACTGCTCCGAGTGCTCCGCCGGTCGCCTGAACTACTGTCCCAAGATGGTCAGCACCTACGGCTCCATCTACCCCGACGACATTGGAAAGTCATACGGTGGATACGCAGACTACAACCGCACTGATTCTCGCTTCGTCGTAAAGATACCAGAGAGTCTTCCCTCAGAATACGCTGCGCCCATGCTCTGCGGTGGTGTCACTGTGTATGCACCCCTTCGTAACAATGGCTGCGGTCCTGGAAAGACTGTTGGTATCGTCGGTGTAGGCGGTCTAGGCCACTTTGGCGTTCTTTTCGCCAAAGCTCTCGGCGCCGATAAAGTCATTGGTATTTCTCGCAAGGCCTCCAAGAAGGAGGAAGTCCTCGCTCTCGGCGCAGACGCTTACATAGCCACCGACGACGACGAGGACTGGGCCAACAAGAACGCCAAGACCATCGATCTCATGATCTGCACTGTCTCAAGCAGCAAGATGCCTTACAGCGATTACTTCAAGCTTCTGCGCCACGGCGCCGACTTTGTGCAAGTCGGTGCTCCTGACTCTGGTGAACTGCCCCCCATCAATGCGTTCAACCTCATCATGGGCCAGTTCAAGCTCAGTGGAAGTTTGATTGGGTCGCCGAAGGATATCGAGGAGATGCTGCAGCTTGCTGTTGAGAAGAATGTTAAGCCCTGGGTTGAGAAGAGGCCCATGGAGGATGCGAACCAGGCCGTTGTTGATATGGAAAATGGAAAGGCGCGATACCGATATGTTTTGGTTAACCAGAAGAACATTGATTAATTAGCGGGACGGAAATGATAGAGATAGACTGTATATAAGATATGAATGAACAATAGAATAATCTTGAACAAGAATCTTACTGGACTTTGTGACTGGATAGTGGCATACCCCGCTATTTACATCACGCCCTTCAGCACCATTAATCGGCACTTCGTTCACTGAACTACGACAGCCTCACTCAGCTCATATAGCATTTATTCTTCACTGTGACTACTCGTATCAATTACCCATGTCTCGCACACCATCATAATGCCCCGTTCAGACGAAGCAGAAGCCTTCTTCCACGCCGTATACTCAGCCGTTCAAGAGATCCCCCACGGCAAAGTCACAACATACGGCCACATCGCCATGCTCGTCGGAACCCGTAAACAAACCCTCACACACCCAAAATCTCAGATCACTAACACTTTACAGCTCAAAGACCTCGTCAAGTCGGCGTCTGTCTAAAACACCTCCCCGCCGATCCATCTCAGCCCTTCAACCATGAAAACGTCCCATGGCAAAGAGTCATAAACTCCAAAGGCCAAATATCACCAAGGTAAGCCCATCAATCCCATAACACACTATAATAGCTCACTATGTAGATCTCAACCTGGAGGTTCTCGCTCACAAGCCGATGCCCTCCAAGCAGAAGGCGTACATGTCGAAACAAACGCAATGGGCGAACACTCAGTTGACTTCTCCCAATACGGCTGGTTCCCCGAACTACTCCCCTCAGAAGAAAACGATCAAGGCGAATGATTAAGGTCTTTGAAACTAGTATTTACCACTATCGTTTTTGGGAATCAAAAAAGTTTCCCTATATGTAATTTGTAATGCGGAACCCAAAATCAAGGGTCCCCCTCATAAGAATCATCCCATCTTCCGCTTCATTCTTTGAATCAAAGTCCGCCACCCAAATCCCCCAGTATCAAAAGGGGGGTGAAAAATCGAAAAGAAGAAAATTACACATGTACAAAGACAGAGACCCAAAATGACATCTTTATGCATCGAGCCGCTCGTGTATGTGGAAATCCCCCCTTCTTCACAAGGTTGAAAAAATCAAAAGAGTAAAAATAAAAATAAAAATAATCCTCCAAACTCCTGGCCAGTGCTGAAAACTTGGTTGGGATGCCCGACGAAAAAGACCGTCAGACCGACAATAAAACTCGAGGGGGAATATAGTGAACAACATCAAATCAGAAACGTGATGACACATAAAGGCGTTGCAAAAAGAATCCCATCCCAATCAACCCCCAATGCTGAATGTGTGTCCCGTGATCAGACTCCGGAACGGGCCGCGCAAAGTCGGCTAGTCACAGCTTCGCCTCCTCTAGAAGCAGTTCAAGCTTCCCTTCTTCTTCTTGCCCTTGTTGATGGCATTCATACGCTCCTCAAGCTGGCGGCGGGCAGCCTCGGCAGCCTGTCGCTTCTTGCGCTCCTCCTCCACAGCTTGAAGACTCCATCTGTTGTCCTGAACAGGCTCAGGAGGAGGGCGGTCCTTGAGCTCCTTGACCTCTACCTCTAGCTCACCAGCACGCTTCTTCCAAGCATCACAATCGGCCTTAACTTTATTAGACTGACGTTCCAGGTCGGTAAGAGCCTCCTCGAGTGTCTGGGTAAGCTGACGCTCCGCATTAAGGTGCTTCTCGATGGTTCGGATACGCGCTTCCTGGTCTTCGGTGATATGAGAGATGTTAATGTTGTCCTTGCTGATAGGACGTCCGTTGGTGGGTGAGCTGGGAGCTCCATTGACGGGAGATCCCGCACCGTTTGGCAGGGGTGGAAGAGGAATAGCTGGTGGGGGTGATGGCAAGGAGACGTGAGATGCGCTCTTGCGAATGGTCGAGTTAGAGTTTGACCGCTGGACGCCAGCCGCCACCTCGTCCATCTTAGTCTATGAAGTGTCAGTAAAGTCCACAAATTATCGTGCAGAGACAAGCTTACCTGGAGAGCTGCATAATCTTCCTTCAGAACCTGCAATTCGGCAGTGAGGCGTGCAGTAGCGGCATTGGCCTCAACCAATTGACTGTTGCGTTCAGTCTGCAGGGTGCTCAATCGGTTATTGGTGATTTGAACCTCGTCAAAGTTATTCTGGAGCTGCTCCTCAAGCTCCTCCACAAGTCTGCTGTTCTTCTTGCTTCGGTCATCCAGATCTGTCATTCTCTTCTTGGCGATCTTGATCTGCTCAACCAGAGGACCAGAGCCAGCACCGCCATCAAGCATCTCAGCCAAAGCAATCTTGGCGTCTTCAAGATCCTTCATGATCTTCTCATTAATAGATGTGAGCTCGTTGACATGTGACTCAATCTCGCCCCGCTTGGCTTGTTCCACGTCGAGAGCCTTCTTGCTGGCAGCAAGCTCATCGATACGCTCCACCAACTTCTCAGCATCGGCGTCGAGACCAAGAGCCATGGCGACATGTGAAGCTGCCTTGTTGAGTTCATCGCGAACCTCTGCAAGCTCAGTCTCCAGTCGGTGAGCACTCTCGGCATGCTCGGACAGCAACACTTCAACCTGCTCTTCGTAGCCCTTCTGCTCGGTCGTCTTAAGATCAGCCAGGGCCTTAGCGTGCTCAGCCTTGAGCTCCTCAAGCGTTGTCTCGTTGCTCTTTGCACCCTCGTCGTGAGAGGCGATCTGCTCCTGAAGCTTGGCAATAAGCTCCAGCTGGCGGGAGTTGTCCTCCTGCACGGCGTTGTGAGACTTGTGAAGCTCGTCCAACTCGGTGCGAGCAGCAGCATGAGCCTGCTCTAGTTCAGCAACCTTGGTAGCGTTGCTGTTGATGATCGCCTTGTACTCATCAATCTCGTTGCGAAGGAAGCTGATAAGGTTTTGTTGTCGCTGCTCAGCTTCGTTGGTTGGCTCATCCTTATCACCATTCTGCGATCGAGATGCAGAGGTTTGAGCATGGTCGGAAACAACTCGGGCCTCAAGCTCCTCGATCGTACCCCGCATCTGGGTTTCTGTTGTTGCCATGGAATCAAGGGCCTCCTTGTGCTTCTGCTCCCAGGTGGCAAGCTCAGTCTGAAGCTCAGCAACACGTTGCTCATGCTTGGAGTCAGCGTTGTCGGGCTCCTGGAGACTAGACTTGGCAGCAAGTGCTTGTCGTAGAGACTCAAGCTCAGTTGTGAGTGCTTGCTCACGAGCCATGTGAGCGTTCCTCGTATCAGAAAGTTGCCTTTCGTTCTGCTCAAGCTGATCCCGCAGTGTTGCCACCATAGACATCTCTACAGGGCTGGCCTTGAGACTGGATCGCTCTCTTGTCAGTCCTGAGATGATGGTCATCTTGGTTTCCATCTCCTTCTTAGCGGCTGCGACGTCTGCTTCTAGTTCCTGAATGCGTTCGCTCCTGACGTGCAGTTCGTGGATAGCGGCATTCAAGTTCAGCTCGAAGCTCTGCATGGCCTCGGGCTGACTGCTGAAGTGCTCAGAAGCAATGTTTCGCAGTGATGAAAATGAGCGCTGGGCACGGTCGACAACGAGCAGGTTCTGACTTGACTTACGTCGAATAACAGGAGTGCTGGAACGAGGTGATGTAGCTTCCATGACACGGGCGCGAGATAAGTCAGTCTTGAGCTCCTCAACAATATCGAGGGTCTCGTTGTGCTTGAACTCAAGCTGAGCATATCTCTCGGCCAATTCTCGTTCAGCAGCTTCACGTTCCTGGGCCATCGACTTGAGTCTTTGGAGCTCTGCAGCGATCTCAACATTATCATCCTGGGGCAAGTTCTCCGTCGATGCGGCTGCGGGCTTCGTGGTAGCGGTTTCGTCGTCAGACAAGATGTCACCGTTCGATGAAGCGGCAGTGGCAGGAGAATCCATAGCTGAGGATAATTCCGAGGAGAGCGATCGCGTAAAGGATGACCTCGGCCCAGCCTTCAGATCATTCGTTCTAGAGTCAGAAAGGAAAGACTCGGGTCGGGTATGGGTTGGTGTGGCCACAGAAATAACCGACTCGCGCTTGGGGTTGACATGACGGGCCTCATCAACGACATCCTGCATCTCAGCAATCTTACGCATAGCATCCTCGTACTTGGCGTGGAGAGAGTCGTAGTCATGAAGAGTCGACTCATGCTCCACGCGCAAGTCAATAAGCTCCTGCGTAACGTTCTCAAGCTTGTCAGCAACAAACTTGGATTGAGCTGGGCTTGGTGGAGGGCCCTCTTCAGTTGGCTTCTCAAGACGCAGAACATCCTCGTCCACTTCCTTGACAGGGCCAATCTTGGTGTGAGGGTGGTCTTCCTCGTCGCCCTCAGGAATCGGGTCCTCCATCTGGCTATGGCGACTAACATGGGAAAGGTTTCGAGAGTGTTCGGCCGTAGCACGACGAGACACAACACCGTTGGTTTGCTCGGCATTCTGATCGGCTCCGTTCTCGATTCCAGGTTCCTTGCCATCCTGGATCTGGTCAAGCTCGTGGAGAAGCGAGTCGAGCTTACCCAGACTTCTTTGTCGCTCAACCACTTGCTCAAGTCGGTCAATCTCACGTTGCATCAACTCGGCATCTTGATCCGCCTCAGCAAGACGCTCCTCAAGGGTTGAGATGTAGTCTTCACATGACGCCTCATTCTCTCGAACACGGGAAATCTCCTTACGAAGTTCCATGATGATGGTGGCGTTCTTCTCTTCGCCGTTGGTATGTCCATCCAACTTGGCCTCAAGATCGTGAAGGTAACTCTCAGTATTATTCTCTCGGTCCATGAGCTTCTGTAGACGGCTCTGGAGCTGTGAATTGATAGTTTCGACATAAGCGCATTTCGTCTCCTTCTCGAGAAGGTTGGCCTCAGTGTTAGAGAGAGTGCCGCGAGTAGAAGAGAGGGACTGCTCGAGAGACTGAATTGTCTTCTCGTATTCCATAACGACTTGCTCAACAGCTTGCGCGAACGAATTCGATCGGTTGAGGCGGTCATCTGCTGTATCACCCGAATCTTCATGGTGGGCCGCACCCGATTCGTTTTCACGAGCGCGCGCCAACTCAGCAATAAGTCGAGCATGACGTTGGCTCAAGGCGGTATAACTCTCTTGAGTATCCAGTAGTTGGTTCTGGAGCTCAGTCTCGCGCTCGTTTTGACGATCGGATCGATCAGTAA